GCCTTTACACACAGTACATGTACCTCTATAATGCATAACAAGGGAAACATAGGTCTTTGCCCCTAAAAATTATATTTTCTGACTATAATTCCATGCTCTGTAATGATATGACTTGTGACATCAAAAAGAGAGGCTTTTGATGATAATAATTATATACACACACGTCTACACTGTGTTTTGTTTCGGGCTGCGTAACCAAGAGAGGTTGCACAAAGCTTAGTGGTTACCCCTCAATTAACCTCTTCACTGTCAGGGGGCTAGTCCCTCTGGCAGAGAAGAGGTTAACCCGTTGTGCGCTGGCTTTTTATCCTGCAGGGCATTCGCCAGTGTTGTGTGCAGCCAGCTCTGTGATTCTGTCCTTTGTGTGTGTATATGTACGCCGGGGTGATGGTTTAAAAAAGGAATTAGACCCCACACAATGGGATGCATCGTAGAGCCCCTTGCAGAGCGTGCTTCTGTGTGTTAATGATTACTGCTCACCCCTCATTGTATCTACAGGGACTGCATGCAGTGCCTTGTGAAAATTAGTGTTAGGTCATTGTGTGTGCACGCACTCACCACGCGCACAGACCCCTTATTGAGTCCCTCTAGAATGTGCTTGATAAGAGGTGACATGCACAGTTTAATTCTTGTCCACTTTTGTTTTGCAAGTAATAAAAATCTATGTAGACAGGTTATTAGTGGACATGTTTAATGGAAGGATTTCTGACTGTGTCTACCTTTTCATTGTCTTGTACATGCCTCTTCATGCAACTTTATATGCTTCATTTCTAACTTTTCACCTAATATGTAAAATGGTGCATGCATAAAGAGTTCTGCATTTTGTTTTCCCTAAAATTTTGGTTCAATATTCTGACAATTAAATAAAGGAGTCAGTTTAAAGCTTTTAATAAATATTTTTTTTTAAACAACCAAAAAAAACAACTACATTATTATATTTAAATACAATGTAAATTTATAGCTCTAGTAATTAAAGCCAACGTTAATTGAGTGTAGTATATAAACTAACATCCGAAACACCCACACATGAAAGAATATAAATATTCTACTAGTAAGCAAAAATACATGAATACACATATTTGAATAAAAATCAGCCAGAGAAGATTATATATAAATATATACAGATAAATGTGATATATGTGTAGATTAAAAACACTAGACAATAATCTTTTCACAAATTTATTACAAACATGTACATACATGTATCTTGAGAGATAGTTATAATTAAGCAAACAAAAGCATGAACATAAATGTATCTATCAGGTACTTTTATGTAGCAAGACATGTATAGTTGGTGACCCAGCATACAAACAGAAGCACACATTAAAAATGATACTGTTGGTGTCTCTGTGTACTTAGAACTTTTATACACAATATATTGTGATGTTTATTATATAAACATATCAATACATGGATCTATATATTTTATTAGAATAGAAATATATAACTTAAAAAAGAAAATGATTATAGAGTTTCTTTATTTTATATATGTGTATACCACATACGCACACACACACTAACCATCGTATTTATTTACACTCACAAATTGTACAGAATCATTTCACGGCTCGGTTGGATAAGGAGACCAGATAGAGGTGTCCATGTTATTAAAATCTTTTGACACAGAGGTCAACCTCCTCCCCCAACCCCTGCTGTCCCGATTTCAAGTATACGTGTGTGTATATATATATATATATATATATATATATATATATACACACACACACACACAAACTTGTGACTGTATATATGCAAATGAATGTAAAAGTATATGTATTTTTTATTTTCACATCTAACACCCAAGTGCATTCTGCGACTTTCTGTACAAGAGGCTTGTGCCACAGGCAATTTTTACGTTCCTGACTGCCTCATTTCCTATATTCGTATATTTTTTTCACTATTCTTTTAGATTTCTCTATTTTATCCACATTTACACTTTCCTACTATTTGTCCGTCTACTTTTCAAATCTTGCCCTTGATAACCTCTTACCCTTTTCCTCTCAATGTCACTCTTTCACACTCTCTTTAATTCTCATTTTCCATCTCTGTCTCGAGCTGTCTCTCATCTTAGTATTACCTTTCATTTGTAGTTCCTATTCTCCAAGCTGAAAAAAACTCAATGTATTTTCAGCTTAGATTGCAGGAGAATTAAAACTGGCTTTATTGTTCATTTTATAATTTCTGATATTTTTCCTTTTCCTTTTATTTTTTTTTTAATGAAATGGATGGGTTAATATTTCTTGTTTTAGTACCATTTCTGGAAATATTCAAGATTTTTATTATTTTTCATAAATATTTCAGTTATACTGGTTTTTTTTCTCTCTCTAACTGAAAAAAACAAATTGCCTTTTTCAAATAAATACCTTTTTTGTAGTTAAAACCATATCTTACATTAAAATGATCTGTAAATGAGAAATAGTGGCTTAAAATTTGCATCATCCATCTTCAAATTTAAATGTGATATATTTTATTTGATTTTTACTAAATTTCCTGCTCAGCATTTGCTTTTTTTATTTTTAAAATAATTTTGTTTTTCCTATATGTGATTCTTGTTACGTATCTTGAGACTTTCTTTTGACATGTCTTTTTTTACCCATGAAGGTCTAATAGTCTTTTTCCATCAATACTGTGTTTTCGATGTCCAGCCTTTTAAGTCAAAAACACAACATATTCTTGGTTTGTGAAAATTGAGCTTTGCTAAAAGCAGGAGTGAATTTCAAAGGAGAAAATCCTAAGAAAAGGGGAGAAAATGAGCGAAAGAGTATATGTAGTGAGAAATCAATGGGGTACAAGAAATGAATAGTATAGAAGTAATGAAATAAAGAGAAATTAAAAAAAAAGAAAGATCTTGGAAGGAAATGCAGGTAGAGGAGAGAGAGAAAGAAAGAGACAGGTAAATGATATACAAAGGGAGATAATGGGAGACAGGTTGGCAAAATGAAGTGAAAAGTGGAATAGACAGAGAAAAGAAAGAGATTGCAGAAAAAAAGGATAATTATGCATACAGAAGAGATGAAAGTAAAAACACAAAAAACAGGAAGGCAATGTGAAAGAGTAAAAAGAGCAACAGATTGAGAGAAAGTGTAGTTGGGAAAAAGAGAAAGAGACAGATATATTGAAATCAAAAGGTATCGAAACAGACAGGTAAGCTAAAAAAAAAATGTAAAAAAAAAATTATAAAAAGGAAGAGAGAGAGGGATTGAGGCAGAGCAGAGGGTAAGAGAGAAGCAGAGAGCCGTGTCTGGGGGGAGGGGAAGCAGTATCGATCCATGCCGCTTCCATCATTTTGTGACACAGAATGTCAGATGTGCTGAGGTCCCTTTAACTCCTTCCCTACCAGATCCCCCGCCCGCGCCCCCTCAATCACTCCGTACCAGCCGCTCGATGAAAGAATTGATTTTCTTTTTAGCAACTCAAATGTAGTTTGTAATGAATTAACTCCCGTCCCTGCACGCTGAGGAGAGAAGCGAGGGAACGAAGGAAGCAAGAGAAGAGAGCAAGGGAGAGCTAATGAGGGGGATGCAAGGGAAAGGGGGGCATGTGATTGGAAAAAAATAGTAAAAATAAAGGGGAGATGGAGAGAGGAAGGGATACGTAAATTGTAAAGCGAGAGATTAAGGTGGATAAAGAGAGCTATAGCAATGGCGAAAGCAAGGCGAACAATGGTTGTAAAACAAGGTAAAATGTTTAATTTTAAAAAAGGATAAAGGAGCACATTGGAAAATAGACTGTTTATGGAAAGTATAAAAATGATAAAATAAAATGAATTAAGACAAGAATGTGAGAGAATAAGATAAAGACATACAGGTGCTACAAAGGGAGAGAGAAAGTATGCAGAGAAAGGGGGAGCAGGAAAGAACTACGTGAGGACGAGGAGCCAAAATGGGTGTGTAGAGAAATGACTGAAGAGGATATGTTTTTTAATTGTGGTTTATATCACCAGTGTATTATATTACGTTGGAAGAATTATTTGCATGTTTTGTTAAAGTACTCTTGAACTTAAGAGAGACAGATAACAAGCACAGTCAGTGAAAGAGCAGATACAGCCATAAAAAGAGAGGGATATCGAGATCAAGCACATTCAGACAAACAGAGAGAAAAGGAAGTTTATGTGCAAATACAGGCAGTGAAAAAAAAGTGAGACAGATCATGGACAGCCAAAGCCAGAAATAAGATGCAGTCACATTGAGAGAAAACAGATTCAGACAAACAGACAAAGAAGCCACCATTGTACATAACAGTATACTATTGAGGAAAATGGGCATAATCTAAAAGAAAAAAGGCAGAGTCAAACAGTCACTGAGTGCAGTCAGATTATGAAGAAAAAACACACAAAACTGGTACAAAGAACAAACACAGCCTTACAGAAAGCAGGTACAAAAAAAAAAAAAAAGAGAGAGAGGAACAATCAGAAACAGAACATACATAAGGTATATATAGAGAAATAGAGCAGGTACAGTCAAAAAGAGAGGAAATAGGCAAAGCCAGACTAAAAGCAGGCAGGTCAGAGAAAGAGTATTCAGGTACCATTAAAGGGAAAAAAAGGTAGTCAGATGGAGAGGATGCAGGAACAGTCACAAAGAGAGAAAATAGGCATAGACAGAAAGTGAGTATTCCGGTACCATAAAAGGTAAATTAGGTACAGTCGAAAAGAGGAAGCAGATGCACATCAAGATAAAAAAGGTACGGTCTCAGGCACATGCAGATGTCCAATAAAGAAGTAAAAATCAGGCACATGCAGATGTCCAATGCAGAAGTAAATTCAGATCGAATGCAGGCACCCCTAAGATAAAGTAGGTAAAACAGTTAAGTAAAGAGGTGCTCTAAGGTCGTGAACAGGTACAATCAGATAGAGTAAACAAGCATAACCAATGAGAGAGAACAGTTATAAACAGAAAATTCCTAAAGAGAAGTACAGTCAAAGTATTAGTGTGACAAAAAAGAGAAAATATACAGTGTCAGACACACAGAAAGGAATCACACTAGGTAAGGGTTAGACTTAGAGGAATAGGTCAGTCAGCAAGAGGTAGATGATGCATAATACAAGGCAGATACATTCTTACACGTTGACACAGTGGGGCAAAGAGAAAAGCAGGTGCATTTTACACAGAAAGGCCTCAGACACAGCGGCCAAAAGCGATAACAGGTACACTGCTATACATATAAGCACCAGCAACAGAGAGAAAGAAGGTGCACCGGTAAAACAGAGACAGCAGACAGCTTGGGATAAAGTGAGAAAGCAGGTATACTGTTACCACAGAGGCAGCCTGCAGCTAAGGACAAACAAAGTGAAAAGGCAGGTATACTGATAGCACAGAGACAGCCGGCAGTTCAGGACAAACAAAGTGAGAAAGCAGATATTCTAATAGCACAGAGACAGCCAGCAGCTCAGGACAAACAAAGTGAGAAAGTAGGTATACTGATAGCACAGAGACAGCCGGCAGCTCAGGACAAACAAAGTGAGAAAGCAGATATACTAATAGCACAGAGACAGCCAGCAGCTCAGGACAAACAAAGTGAGAAAGCAGGTATATTGATAGCACAGAGACAGTCGGCAGCTCAGGACAAACAAAGTGAGAAAGCAGATATTCTAATAGCAAAGAGACAGCTGGAAACTTAGGACAAACAAAGTGAGAAAGCAGGTATACTGATAGCACAGAGACAGCCTGCAGCTAAGTACAAACAACGTGGGAAAGCAGGTATACTCATGGCACAGAGACAGCCGGCAGTTTAGGACAAACAAAGGGAGAAAGCAGGTATACAGAATGATGCCAGGCACAGTAGGTAAAGAGAGAAAGCGGGTACATAGATAACACAGAGAGACATCAGTGACAGCGGGATAAAGAGAGAAATCAGGTACACTCTTACACAGAGAAGTAGCAGAAACAGGAGGATAAAGTGAGAAACTAGCACACTTGTGCTCAGAGAGACATGAGTGGGATAAAGAGAGAAAGCAAGCACACTTTCACAGAGAAACACTAGACACAATAGGGTAAAGAGAAAACACATTCACTCTTATACAGAAAGGCACTAGACACAGGGAGACAGCAGGAACAGTCGTGCAAAGAGAGAAAGCAGGTACTGTGATATCAGCGATTCACCAGAGACAGTTAGATAACAATAGAAAGCAGGTTCTATCTTACACAGAGATACAGTAAACACACTGGGAAAAGAGTGAAAGCATGTACAGTGTTGCACAAAGAGACACAGACACAGAGTGGCAATCAGAATAAAGTACATACAGTTCCCTCTTATAGAGAGTGACAAAATGTGAATCATACAGAGAGACAAGAGACAAAGTGGGGCAAAACAAGATTGGAGAATATTCTTACAGAGAGTGACTGCAAACATAGCGGGGTAAAAAAAGAAAGCAGGTACACACTTACACAGAAAGATAGCAGAAATAGCTGGGCAGTGTTAGAAAGTAAACTCTAACAGAAAGACTCTGGACATGTGCAGCAAAAGTATAAAACAGGTATGGTTTATACAGAGAGACAGCAGACACAATGGGTCACAGAAAAAGCAGGTACAGTCTTATACAAAGAGACATAAGTCATAGTAGGGACCAAAAGAACCAGTTAGCTGATAGACACTAAATATAGTGAGGCAAAAAACTAAAAGCAGGTACACTTCTATACAGGCACGCACCAGATACAGCGGGATAAAAAGAGAAAGCAGGTATATGCTTAAGGTGAAAAAGAAAATCTGTACACTGATGACACAGAGAGACAACAGACACAACACACAGCACTGGAGCAAAAAGAAAATGTAGGCCCACTTTTACATAGAGAGTCTCCAGACACAGTGGGTTAAAGAGAGAGAGTGGGTACACTCTTACCCACTGTGTCCAGACACAGTGGGTTACAGAGAGAAAGTGGGGACACTCCTACAGAGAGTGTCCAGACACAGTGGGTTACAGAGAGAAAGTGGGGACACTCTTACAGAGAGTCTCCAGACACAGTGGGTTACAGAGAGAAAGTGGGTACACTCTTACAGAGAGTCTCCAGACACAGTGGGTTACAGAGAGAAAGTGTGTACACTCCTACAGAGAGAGAGTCTCCAGACATATTGGGTTAAAGAGAGAAAGCAGGTGCACTCTTACACAAAGAGATCCAGGGGTGCAAGAAGAAAAAAGCAGGTATCTTTTAAAGCGATCATTTGGGGACCAACAAACAAGGAAGGCACACCTTTTACAGTGTCAGTAGATAAAGTGAGAGATGGGCAGTTTTACACAGGCACACAACAGAAACATTTTACACAGAGACAACCAATGGTATTGATAGAGAGAAAGCAGATACAAATAGAAAGCAGAAACAGACTGAACACAGGAGACCAGTCTCAGAAAGTATAAGGCCAGATATAATCTGAACGAATAGGTCCAATCTAAGAATGAGACAGAACAAGCAGAGTCTGGCGTGACTGCGCACACAGTATGAGTGAGAGACACCTGCTATAGACTGAAAGAGAGAGGGATACAGTGTCAGATGTGATCCAGAAGAACCGAAGAAGAGGGAGAAGGTGTTATATGACTACAGTGGGAAGGATAGATTGAGAAAAAACTGCACCTTCCCTGAATGTCTTAGGGTAAAACCATGTTAGGTAGCTAAAAAAAATTTTTTTTAGACCTTTAAAATTGAGGTCACAGCTTTCTTTCTTAACCTCTTGTGTACTGAAGTAATGTATAGCTGACCTCTGTGATCCCGGTATAGTTTAGGGTAATCAGAAGAGAATAGAAATTAAGAGCATCAAAGAAGTTTAGCTGAAGTAAGAAGTTATAGAAAAAGTGAACTGTGAGGAGATGTATTATAGATTCCATAATGCAGGAGTAGCAATGAGGGCACAGGACAAGCAGTCCAGAGCACTAAAATCATAGTCAGGAAGTAAGGGACCCTGAGACCTGGAACAATCAGTGACAGCAGGGAACATCGGTGGACAATGCATGACAGCATGAGACAGTGTGAGACAGCAGCACCCAGTGTGACATAGCAAGACAGTGAGAGACCCCCATCAGTGTCACCTGTCACCTTACACCATGTTTGTGTTTGTATGTAGGAGGGATTAGTTTAACCCCTAAGTTCATTTTTAAATGGTTGGATGTGGGAATAGTGGGGGGTCTCAAGCTTATTTGATTTCACCCTCTTTGGCATTGAAGCAGTGTCCAGAGGATGGGGGAGGAGCCCCTCCATTTAGCCTGTGCTCTGTCCCTGTTCCCTCCTGGAAATCTCCATTATTCCAAGGAAATAATTCCTTTTGTGTGCATGGAATGGACCTCGGGGCTGAACAGTGGACAGGGTGGATGGAGGATAAAGGGGGAGTAAGAGGTAGCCAGAAGGGGAGGGGGGAACCTGGGCATCAGGGGGGGAGGTCTGTGAGGGACGAAGGGGTCGCTTATACAGCTGTCATCAGACAAGGAAGAGGGGAGGGAGAGAAGGGGGAAAAAAAAAGGAGGAGATATTGTGAAGTGTAAGATGAAATAGCCGGGACTCACAGGCAGTGTGTGCTGCTGTGCAGGGGGGGCCTTGGATGCGTGGGGGCCTTATTGTAAAATTAACCGGTTCCAGAGAAAGGAGGAGAGAGAGAAAAAAAACAAAAAAAAAACAGAGACTTTAGCCGGTGAATGAATATCCGAGAGGTGGAGAAGACATCTGTATCCTGCAGAGCATCCTTTCCTGGGATGATGCTCTGCCTGTAATTCTGACCCGCACACTCCCCACACACACACACCATATCCCTAACCACAGTCCACAATCTGTGGTTGTACAGCAGGCAAAACACACTCACACCCTCACCTCTCCCCCGCACCACACACACACGCACCAACAGATTTTTTTTTTTTGCCTGAATCTCTCCTCTCCATCATTTCTCCCCCCACCCCCCCCCTCAAACACACTCACACACCCTCCCTCACTCACTCATTCCTGCACCGCACAGCGCACCCTGGCCTAATTCATCGGGTTATGAAAGCTGACTGTACGCTGCTATGTTTGTTCCGCTCTCCGTCCCCTTTCTGTTTCAGCGATCCGGCTCTGAACACACATGGCCCTTTAAGTCGCCTCTGTCTCTGGCAGGTGCTGACGGTAAGCTATACATCGGCGTGGTCCACAGCTAGCAAGCAGGAGAGGCAGGCAGAGTGTGCCTCGCTGCCAAACCCCGCTGCTGCCTTTTATTCATGTTTGTATTGATCTCTGGCTGTCAGAGGCAGCGGATTCAGCTCTTCTGGTCGATAGACAGGGAAAAAAAAAGAAAGAGAGGGAGAGGGAGAGGGAGAGCTCCGATTCAGAGACACTGGGATGTTTAGAAATTAGAGGAAAGATTTTAGGGGGGTATCCCAAATCAGCACCCCCCCCCACCTCTACCTGTTCCTGTGCCTCTCTTTTAATAAGACTCTCCCTCAGCCCCCCCAAAATAGAATTTAAGATTGGAACAGGCTACAAGGTGTCTCCCCCTCTCCTAATGTGGGAGTCCCAGCCTGTTAGAATAATTAAGGCTCATTAGCTTAATTGGGAGAGACATGGGTGGGAGGATAGGGAGAAGGGGGTGTACAAAATGGTATTTGCTAGAAGAGACTCTAAATGAAATAATCTCATGTTAAGTGACAAAAGAGGACAGGTTTAACCATTTCATATCAATACTGTCTTCTTGGTCACACTCTTTAGAAGTCCTTAACTACAGTCTACTCATAGACACAACATGTACCCCCAAAACACTGTCTAACAGTTAACTGGTATGTGCACCCCAATTGTACCTATTTTGTTTCAGTCTAGGGCACTTGGAGAAGCTGAGAAACTGCTGAGTTTTTATATTTTATTTTAAATTCCATTGGCAGTTGTGTCTTGATTTTTTTTAATACTACAACTTGGAATGTACCCCAACCTGGCCCAATTTATGATTTGTCAGAAGCCCCACTTTCAGGTTATAACAGAAAGTAAATGTCACTGTGCACTATTGCATCATTAACATTTTAACATTCTATATAACCAGAGTCAACATGCATGTGTCACTGATATATTGGAGATAAGAACAAAAATATTTTTTTTATTGATTATGGATTAGGTATATTTATGTAATGGGTTGTTTGTGAGGCGGGGGACAGGTAGGGAGGTAGTTGATCAATATAAATGCCATGGGGTAGTATATGTGTTCTTTTAAGTATTTTTATTTATTTTTATATTTATTTGTCTCATTTTACACTGCATTGCTAGTGAAATGTATGTTATTGGTGGTGGTACTGGGTATAGTAGATCGATGAATATCTATTAAAACTGGGAGTTGTTTTTTGTTTTTTTAATTATTAATAGTAAAGGGGTGCAGGTGCAGGCAAATGATGATATTATTGATAAAGAAAGATATAGACTGCATTTAATATTTAATTGGTAAGGGGGCAATTTGTAGGTTCCTAATATTTATTGTTAAAGAAGAGGAATTTTGGGTCCTTTTTTATTAACTGAAACTATTTCTTAGTACTTTGATGTCTAAAGCAGAACACAGCTCAAGTTGTATAAACATTTTTTAGCTATTTAAATTTCTGTATTTCTGCTTAAGCCTACACTAGATTATTAGGGTGTGAAATGTTTTTATTATTTTACTTATTTTTGTTTATTTTTTAAATGATTTATCGAAATATATATTTATCCCAAAATATAAATTTTCCTTTGTATTTTAAAACCACATATTTATTGCATCTTTTGCCTTTTGTCTACACAAGACTGTCACTAAAACCTCACTGTACTAGCCCTTAATATATTCTGATAATACACAGTGAGCCTATTTAATCAAAATATATTTATGCATATGTTTCATAGACTGTATAGATTTATCTGTGTGCGTGTGTATATGTATGTATGTATGTATGTGTGTGTGTGTATATATATATAAATATATATTCCTATAACATTATATCAGTCTAAGTAAATAATATTCATACCACCTTTTTATTCCATGTTCCAATTAACAGTTTTGGAATACTTAGTTTTGGGTAGCTCACTTGTGCTAATATTTGACACAACATCATGAGAATTTCCCAAGTGTTTGACTTAGGCCTTTGTAAATATCTGTCTAGCTAGTAAAATACATACACACATACATATATATATATATATATATATATACTTACTTATATTTGCATTTCTCTATCTTTAATTGTTTCAAAATGAAGTTTGTTACAATGTAATATTATATATATATATATATATATATATATACATATATTTATATTTATACATTCATGCATATATCTAGGTTTCAGTAGTGTCCTTATTAAAATATGATATACTGATATTCCCCTATGCTATATATATTTAAAGGAAGTGCCGATATTTTGTAAATACTAGCGTCCCCAGAACATCCCCACTTTCTGGCTAAACAATATAATGCAAACTACACATATATATGCAAAATGTAAATATATACATGCACATTTAAAATATAATCTGAACTCAATATGTCTGTCTATTTATGATAAAAATGTACCGACATGTTTTGTTTTTGTTTCCAATTGCTTTGCCCTTGGTAATTTGGGTGAAAAGCAGCTCATTGGACATTAAGTAGTGTGACTAGTTTAGTATGTACCAGACTGCATATTTGCACGTGAATGTCTTGTAATGGCCATTTAATGAAGTGATTACATTTGATATTGACGATCCTTCCTCAATCCATTCATGGATTTTTGGAGACAGATCTTGTGACGCCCTCAGTGCATAGAAAGCTTAAATTTAATACCTCTTTTGATTCAAGGAATAAAACGTATCTTGTACATTTACGAGTTTGATTCACATTAAAGTTTACTGTTCTCACAATTAAAATGTCTTCAAATCTTCAGTTATTGTGGATAAAATGGTAGGGTCTGTGTTCTGTATGGTGACTTCATAAGATGTACAGGAAAATAGCGTATAGTAAGTACAGATTGATAGACATGCATTAAGGCTTTTATGATCTACAAAATGTTTAGCAGGCCCGATAGACTGTAAGCTTTCTAGTTCAGTTATTTCCTCTGTAGGAAGACCCTGTAGATAGATAGTATATAGATATATAGTATATAAATATATATATGTAGATAGATAGATAGACCTACTTGCATCAAGCTTATCTATGATAAAGGGTGTGTAAATTCATATTTCTCCTTTACAGTTTATCATACATTGTTTCTCATAAAACAATAAAATTATTTTTCGATGATCTGCTTTAGCTATATATAACATATATTCTATGGGATACCAACTTCAAACATGTCAATTGAAAGGTTCACCGAAAACCATTGTTAATGACAATGGGAATTTTGATCTGGAGCCGTCATCTCATAAGCTTCCTGGCAAGAATATTATTCTCATAAAAACATGAAAAGTTTGCTTTTCATGGAAACCAAATCCTAGGGATTTTCAGCAAAGCCGTGAGATGTGCCATGTTGTTTATCTTTTCTCAGCGAGTTGTCTTTTTTTATATCGTATGGTTTGATAATTAGTTACTTGTAGAATTGTGTGCAGCTAGATATATAATATAGTATCTTGTCATAAAGACTAGCATTTAGTCAAAATTTGGAAAAAACAATTCTTTTTTTTAACTTGCATCATATTTATGATTTTTGACCACTGGGTAATGGACATTGACCAGTAGGGCAGTATTGGAAGTATACTGGCACTGGTGCTAAAGTGTTGATATATCTACTACAGTGCCGCTCATTTACTTATCTTCCTTTTACCGCTGTCCTCCAATAAAAGGTGTGATGCACAAGACAGCGAGAATTTTGTATAATGTTGTCGAAGATGGAATGTTCCTGCTGCTAAAAGCAGGCTTCTTAAAGTTTTTTTTGTACAAAAAGATAATGTCAAAAGAAAAATAATTTTGGTGCATGTGTATAAACCAGCTGCTTATTCTTCAAGTGAGTTCAGAAGTTGTTCCAAAATATTGTAGGAAACTGGCTTCAAAGAATATTGATATGAGACCTTCCAAGTGCGGGGTAATGTGGCAGCTTCACTTGCGTTTGGTGTAGGTGATCCAGGTGAAAATCTCTAGGGATCTTGTGTTACATAATTTTCCTTATCCATAACTCATACGTCTACAATTCAGCGTACGGGCTTACTGAGCAGGCAGCCATCGATGTACAGTGCGGTGTACTTGACAAATATGGACGCCTGTGTTGTTATGTGTGTTTAGAGCTAAGGCTCAATATTTTGGATCATATGGTGTCCCGCCATACTCCTTTTTCTAATGCGTATTCCTTTTTATTATATATTTTTTCTTGCATTGTCTGAACTGTTGTGGACTAATACCTGTTTAAAAAAATGGATTGCTGTATGTGCCACAAAGGCTTAATATCTACTTATTAGTTTAATCAGCTGAAATAGAGATGACCTTTAACCTCTCGTATGACCAGACCTATGTGAGCGTCCATCTATTGGTTGTATTAGTGTGAGTGTATGTTGTCTTTAATTATAGACACGCACACACATATTATTTATACACATGCGCACATACACATCAACTATATAAACACATGATATTTTATCTGTTCACAGCAACTAAAATCAATACAATTTGAGAGCCATTTTTTAGTCCTATATTCATTTTCAGGCTGCCAGAATAGTTCACTGTTATACAGCAATTATAGATTAATGATATATGTATGATTGGTGAATAATCTATTTTATTTAATATATTATATCTGCAGATTAGCTATATTCATCAATAAGTGCAATAAATATGTGCACATTAAATATCATTGCTCATATGTATGACACATTTTCAAAATGTATTTGCAAGTAAATAGTGATAATATATGAAAACAGAATTTGATTTATACTGTGTAACATTATGAAATCTTAATAGAGCTGTTATGTATGTCATATGTGCTTTAAATATATATCGGCTCAAAATCTCTGAGACAATCACTGCTAATAATATACATTTTATCTAGTGTTTGCTGATTTCTTGATGAATTAATAGAATATAGTTGTATATTGGCAATTCACAATTAACATTAAATTTCCTGTATCTTTGTGCTAAGTCTTCAGCCTGTTAGTTGCTTATTAGATTCATATTTCTAGTAATGCATCACATTAATGAATTAAATTGTAAATCTTTGTGTTTTGCTATTTATTAGTTTCTCATCAAGAAAAACAGAAATTCAACTAGAAATTCCAAATAGTCCGGTAATCTCTAATACAATAAAAATCTACTGAACGAGTGAAAAATGATAGCAGGCAATATCTATAATATTGATTTAACAAGCAATATTTTCCTTCCTATTTCCCTACCCACCAATAACTTTTTCTCCAGGCTGGGAACATGTGTGGTTTTGTTTCCAAGACTGTTTATGATATTTACTTTATTTGACTTGCAGAATATTTTGTTAGTTGATGTGAGTAGCTTGATTCATAGGCTTTGTATAGGTCTATTTATTTGTTTATACATCCTTAATTTTACTGGACAATTTCATATTAGCTGAGCATAGCACATGCTCAGCTAATATGTGCATTTTATTATACAGTCATTTTCTCTATATAAAAGACAATCAGAACCATTAGGTAGTTATTTTTATGCAGTAATTCCATACTTGCTTTATAGAAATATGGGTTTTTAGTTGCGTACATCCATTTTATACTGTCACAATTGTTATTTTACATGTACATCATAATAAATATATATATATATATATATATGTGTATGTGTGTGTGTATATATATGACTATTTAGTGTTAATTCTGCATAGGTTAATGTTTCAGGTCTCATGCAAGACCTTAATATAATTTATAACAAGTTATTTTAACATTTCAGTTGTAGGCCACAAGTTATTTATACAAATGAGTGGCAGGTGTGTACATGTGTGTGTCCATCTATGTACCTGCACCCAATTGTTGGATCAATTGTTTAATTATTGTTAAAATAACTTGTCTTCATTGTTGCATGTTATACAAGTAGAAAAACATAATCCAATCGGGAAATCTCTCGTTTGGGTAGGAACTTAAAAGGGCACACACGATATGGTAGAATTTGAGGGCTGAAACTCTAATTATGACAGTAGAATTATGCTATGTCTAATTTTAAATAGTGCTTATAATCTTCTATTGCTTCTACGACCCTCGAGGTTGGGTAAAACAATGTATATCCTGTGGCAAGAGCTGAAATGTATGAATCTCACAAGCACCTGAGCTGGTCTCAGACGTCGACAAACTGGCAGCTTCCTTTAAGATTGCACAGAATGCTGCACGAATAATTGCTGAGCCTGGCACTCACTGGGTTAATTTATAGACAACCTCTTTGACTGTAATAGTCGCAGTGCTAGATATCTTTATTCTGTGCTTTTTTAACTTTTGATTTTGAATAAATTTTTTGTTTTGTCATTTTAATGTTTAATATGCCAACGTTTTTTTCTGTATTTTATGTTTTGTTTATTATTTTATTGAATCAGTTTCTTCCAACTGACCAATAATAGACCAATGTATAGATTTTGAAGATTATTATTATTTTTTAAATATATAATGTTGGGATGCCAGTAGCATAGAGAATCTGTAGAAAGTCTGTGGCTTAACGCAGCAAAGGGAGTTTGACTTTTTGAGTTTGATCATTTGTCTGTGCACCATAGCTGCCTTTGAAATAATAAAATCATTACAGAATTGGAATATGAATTCAGAATTGGAATATAAATTCAAACCCAGACTCTACAGTCCAGAACCAGGTGACTTATAACCTGAATCCTGTTAATGCAGGGGTGAGGCCTGATCGTCATGTAGGCTGGTTCTTCACATATGGAACTTGTTTATTCCATAATAGATATTTTAAGGTGCATAATTCCCTTGGTCACAGCTGAAAACTCATATCCCTGAGCGTGCACTTAGAGGAACATAGCAGAAGGACACTATATCTTCTTCTTGACATTGTGACCTTGACATTAAGCCTGTCCTACAGGACAACCTCCTGGAAGACAAAGGCACCAATACAATTTACTTCTACATAGAGGATGATGGAATAACTCACTGACTCTGTTTGTTGCCCCAAAGGTTGGAATTTGCCTGATAGGAGGGTTGATTAGTTTTCTGTCATGATATTATGGCTTATGGACATCTCATTTTTGCTGAAGACAAGGTCTTTCTTCACTTTTCTACAATTTTTTTGCTTTTATTTTCATTTGGCCAAGTCTACTGGTTGGTATCAAGTAGAAAAAAACTAAATACCCAGGCAGAGATTTCTTTTAAAAGGCAGACTTTTTATATGAAACAAGAAAGTGGAGACAATGTTTTAGCTCCTCTCGGAACCTTTATCAAGTGACTGGTACATTCTTGCAGTTTGTTAGAGTTACCTTGGTAGCTTGCATGTTATATTTTATTACATGGAGAGTACTGACTATCTATATTGTGTATAAGAAATATCTGCACTATCTTGTACCTCTCTATCTTTTACAGCAAGAAAGGTAGAAGAGAGGGAAGTACATTTTATTATTATTGTCACTTGCTCCACCTACTTTTTGTGTAGTACTGACTATCTGTTTAGGTCCATAATGGATGCTCATTAACTAAAGAGCTTTACTTTTATGCGGTGGCTGGTACCTGCTTATGCTTTTGTATGACTGCTTTCCTGCTGTATTACGTAATCTTGAAAATGTGCAATTTTGTTTCTGAAGAGCTTGTGCGGTGGAATCCTGAAGCAATAGTTTGTAGTGTAAAATGGAATACAAGACACATGGACTAGAATCTAAAATGTAACTAGCATGTAGTTCACCTAGCATGTAGAAACCATGAACTGAAAACACAATATATGAACTGTATTGTAGAAGGATGCATGAACTGAAATCTGGAATCCAAGAACTAGAGTGTAGAACCCATGACCTGCAATCCAAAATGCATTAGTTACAGTACTAAAGCCAATGACTGTAATGCAGACAGTGTAGAACTGAAATTAGTATCCAGAACTCATAAACATGAATATAGGACCCACAAACTGTGATCCAAAATCTGTATACTTCACTATAGAACCCATTAGCTGAATTCCATGCCCCATGAGCTGGAAAGTTGAATCAATGAACTGAAGTGTATAACCCATGAATACTGGTATAATGGTCACATTAGTTGTTTTCCCAGGCCAATGGTCCTCGATAGCAAGGGAATTAAATCTCCCCCAACACAGGGGCACAGGCACAAGATTTATTACTAAAGGAAAAAGATCTGCTCTTATAAATGGGAATAAAGCAGACAATAGCTATTAATTCTTTGTTGGCAAGGTTGGTAAGGCTTTATTGTACAGAGTTGCAATATATGTTGACTCATAACAGTAGTAGTAATAACTATAGTAATATAGAGAGCTGGGTCCTGTTCTCTTTGGTTAAATTCCCTATATGTATTATCTTACCATTTTTGTTTTGTAGGGGGTTTTTTTGTTACACACTGCAGCTGAATATTTTGGCTTTCTATATATCAACATATAATAATCTGTTAATTGTCTTGAAAGGTTCGATGTCTGCACTGTAATTTCAGGAATCACGGTGAGCTTGATTGGTCTATCCCTGGTATTTGTACACTTCAATTACTCACACACTAATCCTGACATCACCTGGAAAAATGTTTCCATTTCGTAGACAGGAAGCCACCAACATCTAATGCTGCCTCACTGATCACCTTTTGCCCTGACTACAGTCTAATGTTCCTAGTCCACATTCACCTAATCCGATTATTTTGACTCCAATCCATCCAAAATGCTTCTGTCGGACTTTTTTTTCCCCTCACTCGCATATCCATGCCTGCTGCATCCGCGTGTGTTTCCTAGCTCGGCCTGCCTATCTCCTCCAGAATCAAATTTAAAATCCTTTCACTAACCTACAAATCCCTTTACTGCTCTGCCCCCTCTTATGTTTTGGCCTCATGAGTGAATATTCCCCTAATAGCCACCTGCGTTGTCTCCTCTGTTTTACCCTCATCCCATTCTTGCTCATTCAGAGCATTCTTATCTTTGCAACTAGTCGCTATATATATTGTAAATGAACCTAAGCTGTGGTAGAATTCAAATTAGGTTGTGTTATGGCATCAGCTTGTGCACCATATTCTTACTTGGTCATTCTCATTTCGTTCTCTTAAAAGAATCTTCTTGTTGATTTGACACATTTTATGGAAGGAGTGTGCAGCATGTGTCCTTCCAACTTCATATAAACTACGCACTCATAATCCCCCACCTCCCTTTGTGCTGTAACTGCAGAGATTTATGGGAATTATTTGTCAAGTACAGCAGGGTTGTCAAAGGTTGCTTATGACTGTTCTGTACGAACCATTGTCATTATGCTAACCTGTACATTCTAATGTTTTTATTATAATTTTTTATATTGTATCTATGTGTGCATAGTGTTCTTACTGCCCAGTTACTTTTTTATTCTATTTCAACTATTGCATGTTCTGTTTATTTTTTTATTTTGTAACAATTGTATCTTACACATTTTAATAACTGTATATTAAATATTTTAGGTGTTTAAATAAATACAAGGTCTAAATGTAATTCGAATTACAATTAATTGTGATAAACTCTTTTGAAGCTGTTCATTATATGCTAATGCCAAAAATTAGGTTTATACTTGCAGCAGTTTGCTAAAGAAAAGCTCTTGCTTGATACCATTACTTTTCTTGCGACACAAAATGTTGAAATACTTCATATCCCTTAATACTTGTTTGGACAATAGGTCATATTAACATGCAAATAGAAATATCTTCATCTTTTTCAAACTTTATTTAAAAACAAATCTTTAGATTTGCGATACCAGTATGCTAAGCCGGGTAATTAAAGTTCTGTGAATTTATCCCTGTATGTTAAAACTCTGTACATCAGTGAAAAAGAACAGTAGGAACATCGAACAATGTATTTTTCACTCCTTTTCGGATATAATTGCATACATCCATATTCACTATCTATCCTGCATGTTGCATGTTATATGCATCATGTCTTGTGTATTTTAATTCTGTCCCTGTGGTGTTCAAAACGGCCACAACCTCTAAATAATGCATGAGATATATCACTATTTCAAAGGCCCTGTAGCTTTAAAACAATCTGATATTAACACATTGCGCCCATAGCTATTATCCTACAGAGAAACTGTATATTATATGCATGTACTATTTGTATATTTGATGTATTTTACCTGTGTATGCATTTTAATACATTATAAATATTAGATGTATCTTGTATCTGTATAACTCATGCATATTAGATATATTTGTTCTCTCTCTCTGTATAATGTATATATTAACCCCTTACACACACATAATATAGTACCCCATGTCACATCAAATTCTGTTTTCTCCCATTTATAATTTCACATTCACCAATCTGTACATTTTAAATTCCACCATGGCGTTCATCACCATTATGCATTATCATCAAGATCTAGCAATATGACGTGGCATGAAAATATTTTGCTGTTTTCTTTTTTTGTTTGTTTTAAATGTAATTTAAAGGAAAATAATATCTCAAATTTGTTATAAATATTACTTTATCTTTCGTGTTGAGACTGGGAGAAAGAATGAGGTAGAATTTGGTGGTTAATATTAAAAAGCAAGATGCAAAAGCAATATAAAAGTGTAAAGTTCAAAGAAAGTAAAAACAGGTCCAAGAATCTTCATGAACTTACTGTCTCTGAAAATTCAGGTCCTAAGATAATTTTGAGGACATCTTGCTGGCTTAGCATGTAAGCCTGTTAAATGCAAGATCCTATCTCAATGAAAAGGGTGGTTATAGATTATATAGACACATCATACAGACCCAGTTGCTTTAAGGTGTTCTCCAACAACCATGGTTATGGTGCCTGGATTGCCCATGTTGTCCCCCTTCCTTCCCCTGACAATATGTAATCAAACCATTTTAGAAATGCTTGACTTTTTACTTGGGGTTTGCTGAGATAGCTGGAAACTCTCTGCCTGAGCTACGCATGATGTCCCAGGACTTAGCTCATTGGCTGAGAGCAGTCAGCTGGCAAAGGTCTTATTTCAGAAGAGCTAATGGTGGCTCCTAGCAGGAGCTTCTGGCGCTCTCACTTTCGGCTTAGAAGATGTGGAAAGTGGTGCATGGCAGACACCAGGTAATAAGTTAAGACATTATCAAAAGTTTGGCTACTTACATTGGGGGGAGGCAAGGGTATTCTTTGCACCATAATCACTACAACAAACTTTGGTGGTTCTGGTGTTTGAAATCATTGTTTCACTTATTGATCAGCTTTATGGAGCATGTTTGGCATCATCAGATGGTTATAATGCACCAGTATAATTCAGGCACCAAATGTTTTAACTTGCTTTTTACGGTACACTAGAAGGGAGGCCTCTGTTTCATTGTGGACCATACAGGCTGCCAGAGCCTCTGTGAGGCACTGCTACACATAGTATGAGACTTGATTTCTTACAGAACCCATGGAGGGGACTTTGACGAGTCATCCTATATGATTTCACACCAAATCTGAGTTGTATCACGTTAGAAGCAATGAGAGAATTTCCCATTTTTATTTAACAGATGCTGCTGCTGATTGGTTGGTCATTAAATAGGGGATTGTCTATGCTTGATTAAGGAAATTGCACATTTTAAGCTGCAGTGTTTTCAATTAATTACATTTCTTCAGATTTTTAGAAAGTGTTAATAGGCCAGCCTCTTCTGCACCGTCCTCCCTCCTAATCTTTAGTGTTTCCCTTTATGCTTTAATAACACTGGTGTACATGATGTCAGGTTGCTGGGAGTTGCATTTAGCTGTAGAAAACTGACTAGTAAAATATAACTCCTGTGCCAGTAAAGCACTGTATATGAAATAAGCCCACCAGCGATTTAGAAGGTTAACTGGGCTCCACAGATTGATGACTTTTAACAAATGCAGGAACTTAAAATGTGAGTTTGTTTTTTTATTTTTTCATTTTTGTTAGTTTTTTAAAATACGTTTTTTAAATGTAATTTATTTTTTTAAATTTGGCTCAATTTCTGCAGAGTGTCCCAATGGCACTGATCTAGATTCTTGAAAATAATGTAGAGTGACTCAAAGTCTTTTATTTATTTATTTTTTAATTGGGAAAAAAAAAAATCCAACCCTAACTTTTGACTAACAGCTGGGGCTCATATAAGAATAGCCACATAAGTGTTTCAACTAGTGGGTTCACTGGAGGTCCAACTGAGACTGAGTTCATTCTCCAAGAAACTGAGGTTCAGCAGATTCGGGGACCTGTAACCTGGCATATAATGGATCTCCAAAACTGCTGGCTTATAACTGCTAATGTGTAAAAACACAATGTATTTTTGTTTGACTTCCTCCTGTGACTTCTCATTATATTGAATGGGAATTGCTTGGGCGTTTTCTTTTTGCCCATGCTCAAAGGCTTGTGGTGTTCCTCAGTGTACTATTCTGTATTCACAAACTTGACTTTGTCACATTGACATGTCTATTTGTGCCTGACATTGTACTTTGGATCCATTGGGTCTTCTTTTCCCCACTGTGCTACTCATTTTGATGAACTAATTCTGTACATTTATACCACTCTATTCTACATATTCAATGCATTTGATGGTGTACTTGGTGTGCCATTAGACCACTCTGTCCTCCACATGCTAAGCAATTGTGAACATTCTTAACCTCTGTACTGTTACATCCTGTGCATTCCTCACATCTGAACCTGCACATTTGTAACATTCATATCACTCTATGATTTTTTAACACTGACCCTGCACATGATAAATAATTATACCATTCTTCTGCACATTTTTAATATCTGACACTGCACAAACTGAACATTCATGCCATTTTATACTGATCCAGCACATTCTTGAACATTCATACCAATTTACATACCAATGGCTGACCCTGTACTTTCTAGAAACTTTAGTGATTGAATAATATAACACATAAAAAAAAACTTAAAACAACAGTCAAACTGTGCCAATGTAATTTAGTTTCGCTCCCAGTGTTCTCATGACATTTGTAATTAAAATAGAAAGGGAACTAAAGCTTGTGCCTCCGATGTGGATAAATGCCCATGTGTGTTGAATCTGGAACCCAGCCACCAGAGATATAGAGACCACACGTTTCAGTGTTCCAATGTTTGTGCATGCACACTTACTTGCAAGTGCAATAGACTGGTCGACCTTCTATAGGAAGTCCGTATAATAAGGCCATAACATCAGAGCAAGCCTTACAGTGAGAGCTGGAGCCACAGTTCTATGCAAAACACAGCTTAAAAATGAAATATTCCCTAGGCAGTAAACTGAATCCAGATTAGCTCACATCCTGTTAATAAAACATTATTAACCATATCAACAGAATTGATTTTTTTAAATGTCCGATAACATAATTTGACTACCGCAAAATGAATACATATCTGTATTAAAGCAGCTCTATCACCCTATACTTACCTTACTTCAATCTGTTCCTCTTCCCTTGCTCACTCCTAACCCATTCTTATTTTCCTCTTCAATTTATTTCACCTAAGATACATAAGGCAAAATAGGGACTATTCTTTTTTCTCCACTTGACAAAAGGCAAAGACAATATCTATGGAGGCTCCTGCGGGATCCTGCAAAGACCTCAGTACCGTACTTTTGTGCATGAATGAAAGTACACCACTGACGTGGCCTCCTGGACGATGAAATGTCAGGAGTTGATGAGGAGCCAATAGACGCAGATGGAGGCAGCTGTGAAGGACAGCTACAAGTAAGTAAAACTCACTTTCCCCCGCTCCCTGAAGCCACAGGACACCAAGTGTGCAAAGTCTGGGTCTTTGCAAATTATGCAAAGATTGACTTTAACTTGCAAATTTCCTACTTATTTAAGTAGTTCTGAAAAATAAGTTTGGTGTAAAATAGCTGTAATAGAGAATTTCATTAGGAAATTAGTTTCATTTCCAGTAATTATCAAGATTATAAATCTTTTGAGACTCCGGTTAATGCGTTTTTGAAACCATTGAGCTGAACTGAGTTTATATTAATTTGTGTTGTTACAGAAAAGAAAGATGAATTGGTGGGAAAAAGTAATTCTTCATAAGCAGTACATGGCTCAAACATTGTTACACTTCAACTTCAGTTACCAAAACTACACTGTTCACAGAGTTTTATGTATTGTATGATATGTGATGTCATGTCACTGAGACTGTAAAGCTGTACAAGTGATGTGAAATCGGTGCCATCTGAGAAATAAGTAAAATTAGAGAAGGTAGGGTGTCTGGGAGTGGGCGACTAATGACAGTGAAGGTGGAGTGTGCAGAGAGGGAAAGAAAAAGCCATAGATTTGACATGTGAATGTGCTAACAATAGTAAGGTCTGTTCAAGGGAGATGCAATCATGCTGGAGAGCCAGGAGTCTTTACAGGCAGAGCTCGGGAATCAACAGGCACTGACAGCATAATTGAGCCACCTCCCCTGCTTTCCCATCAAACCTTGCTGCGAACGTTGCTGCACAACCTGGCTGTCCACTAGGCACTGTAGGATTTATGTAGAAAGAGCAAAGTTCTAAACATGGAGCAGTCACCATGGACACCAGTGGAATGTTCCTGCTTATTGTTCCACTTTTAGAACCCAGAATAGCTCCTTCAAGATACACCCCATATGTGCTCAGTCACCTGACAGAATTCTGTTTTACAATTGGATAGACCACTTGGCGGTGTCTTCTCTCAGTTGCTGCTTTCTCAGTCTGTCTTAAATGTACTCTGTGGGATATGTTTGGAATTCCATAGGTTATTTCAGCTGTTTTATTTCAGATTTAACATTTTTTAATTAAAGAATAGACCAAAGGATACAATAATAGAGTCATGCAATAAAGTGTCCATCAGAGTCGCAGCTTGATCAAGGATATAGTACGGCAGCTGGCTGGTAGTGTAATTTTTCGCCTTTTTCTTATCCCCCTTCTCTTCTCCCTCCAAAACCTCATATAACATAAAGCAGAACAATAACAAAAATGTACAATAATATTCTCAGAAGTGAACATTTAAAAGAAGTGTAGGTAGTTTAATATGCACAATAAATGCAAAATAGTAGTAGTGCAGATTAATATTGTGGCAATAAAGAATAGCTGAGGTGAGTGAAATTTACAGGCAAATTTAATGTGATTTTGTTTTTTATAATTAGATCCAGGGGGTTGATATAGGATCCCCATTATGTAAAACAATTACCCTGTCCTCCTTGGATAAATAGGCACTCGACCAATCCCTGCAGAATGAAAAATGGACTTTGTTTTGAAAATAAACAGAATGAGGTGGGTTAGGGTTGAATCCATTGATAGAGTGTGGATCTGTGGGCCACCATCGGGACTCAAGCATACATTTATTGTTAGTTTGTGGGTGTCCTGTTCCAATGTTTAATATAGCAGCTTACTGAGAGTCTAACAGCAAACCCTAATGTGTATCTCGTCTACTCCAGTTCTTTCCAAAAATCTCTTAAAATCGGGCAGCTCCAGAAACAATGAACTGGATCCACTCTTGCATTTCCACACTTGAGACAAGTGCCAGATTGACGTAAACCCATGACATGTTGTCTCTTGAGTGAAAGTTCTTAAGTGCATCTCATGGAAAGTGATTGCAGGCAACAACTTGAATAGTACAAGCAAGGCTTTTTGCATGTCCTCTAAAGAAATGTCTGGAAATTGGGCAAGCCATCAGTCCATAACACAAATGTAGCAAGGTCTATTGTGGTTCTGATAAAAGAATAGATCAAACTCATAGACAGTATGGATGGAGATGCGCTTAGTATCAACCTGCCAAGAGGACTGTCATCATCCACAATAGTAAGGTGTATGGGAGGACTTAGCTTTGTAATTGTAGATATGAAAAGATGGGCGTGGGGAGAAATGGTAAAAAAGTCACAACTTTTCTGCAATTGAATTTATAGTTGGATAAAGGGGAGGTGAGGCAAAGGCTGCATAAATAGAAACAGAAGTGATTTAACTTCCAAATGACAGAGAATTGAGCAATGAGACCACAGGGGCATGATCTATACAGTAAAACTACTTCAATAAGCTAACGTTGTTTTGATGCTTATAGTGTCCAAAAATGTGAGTGACTGTATAACCGGTGTTGCCTAATCTCACATTTGTGTTGAGTCTTACGTTTATCCTTTATGATTTCTTTTAGGGCCAATAATATTCACTAAAAAGTACTCACTTTGGTGAGTTAAAAAAACAAAATTGAGAAGTATAGACCAAAATAGACAAATTAATATTTTTTTTTTCTAAACCATTTTAAAAAACTTTCCTGTTTGGGCCCTATATGTTGCATTGTGTTACTGATTCTTATTTTCGTGAATAACCCCCTTGGTTTCATTTCACATCAGCACTAATTAAAACTTGTTGAAGAAAAAAACAGCATTCATTGTGTCGTAGTTGCCATCTTTTCCATAACTGTAGCTATGAACTGAAATAGCTTCAGTTTGGTGAATAGATTCCAAAATGTAATGATTTTGTTGAGGAAAAAAAAGCAACAAACATAAAAATATATATACTTTTATTCCATTTTGTGATACGATTTGTCGACATGTTTCAGTATCAGTTGATTGCACTTTGTGCTGTTGATTTCGTTGATGATTAATATCACTCTGGTTTAGGTATGGTTGTCAATTGTTGGTCTTGTAATTTAGTGGTTTCCTAATTTGTGACCATATTGTTCTTTGCTGTAATAATAGCTCTTACTGGTTGTAGATATATTTGGATGCTGTTTTATTCACCAACCTCCCTCTGCCCCAGTCCCCCACAAAAATAAAGTGGCAAATGTAAAAACAGGTCGACATGCGGACACTCTATTTATGTATGATTAGGTGAAATTATACTTTGAGGTTTCTTCACGAAACAGTGAATTGTGATGAGTCGAGAATGGCAATATAGGTGAATTGGACAAATTCACTTATTCAGCAATTTTTCAAAGGGGCTGGGAAATGATAAAAGGAGACCTTTAAGAGAGGAGGCCAGGTGGCCGAGGACCCAGCATGCATGGGACTACCAGAGGTACAGATATACTCTCCACAAGAAAAAAAAAGGACAAGCAGAAGGGGAGTCAGGGCACTGTAGCCCCCAAAACCGATGGAGCCCCCTCAACTTGGATCTCCTCAGGGCAGAGAGCATGGGGGCTTCAGTCTCAGTAGAATAGCTACCATGATACATATGGGTAAGTGTCTTGTTTCCTCTAACTTTCTAACCTTTCCTGCCCCAGTTATTCCCTGTTCCAGTCCATTATCTTGCCCCAGTTACTCTCCACTCCAGCCCCTAATCCTACCCCAGTTACTCTCTGGTCCAGCCCCTTAACATACCCCAGTTACTCACTGGTCCAGCCCCTTATCCTGCTCCAATTACTCCCCGCTCCATCCCCTTATCCCACCCAATTTATTCCCCGCTCTACTGCCTTATCCTGCTTTAGTTACTCCCTGCTCTAGCCCTTTATCCTGCCCCCGTTGCTCCCTGCTCTAGCCCCAAATCCTGCCCACCTACAGAAAACTTACCCCATTACCCACTTGTCCTGCCCCAGTTATTCCTTACTTCAGCCCCTATTCTGGTTTAATTACTCCCTGCTTCAGCCCCTTAACCCTATCAGCCACCTATTCTGCCCCAGTTACTCTCTGTGTCATCCCCTTAATTCAGGCCTGTCCAACCTGCGACCCCCCAGATGTTGCCAAACTACAACTCCCATGATTCTTTTAATGAAACAGATAGCCAGGGAATCATGGGAGTTGTAGTTCAGCAACATCTGGGGGGCCGCAGATTGGACAGCCCTGCCTTAATGTTTATTAGCTACTTTATCTGCCCAAGTTACTCCCTGCCTGAGACTGTTCAACCCGATCAGCCCCCTATACTGTTCTAATTAGTACATACTTCTGCCTCTTAACCACTTCAGCTCCCTATCCTGTCCTAGTTTCTTTCAACTTCTGCTCCATTAACCCGTTCAGCCAATTATCCATCCCTATTTGAAAAAAGGGTCTGTATTATATCTGATACTTTATTTTTCAGGACTGTATATCTGCACCGTAATGTGTTCGTATATTAGCATCACAATTATGGTTTACCACTTTAGTTTGTTTACTGCTATTTTATTTAATAATTATATTTATATAGCAATTAAAAGATAATAACAGTGAGTATGTTTTATTATTTTTATCAGCATTTCTAATCTCTTTTGGGTTAATAATAGTGTAAGGTTTTAAATGGTGTTATGTGGTTGGGTGTGTGTGGCCAGAGATTTGAAGATTATTATAAGAAAAAGTTTATCCAACTTACCTTATTTGTGTCCTCTCCTCATGTACCCGTGATGTCCATCCACCTGTACCCCCTTAGCTTGTGTCCCTCGGCCTTTATTCCCCTGATATCCCTTTTCTCCATATTATGCAAATAATTAATTTTATTAATAATTTATTGTTTCGTGATTTTGTTTCTACCCCCCTTCTATCTCTGTCCAACCCTATAGTGTGTGCCTTCCTCCATCTCACTAGCCCCTTTCATCTAGCCTTGGAGTGCAGCCAAGTGGTACTGATATAGAGGGTATGCCATCTCCTCTGCCCGGTCTGACAGCTGAGTGAGTTCAGCCTGATGCAGATTGGGGCAGTATATGACGTTAAGGCCCCACTTTCTCAGATCACAGTGTAGCCTAAACTCTCCCAGATGACAGACGAGCCAGAGGAGATGGAATACCCTCTTTCTCAGTACCAGTCATTTGTGTTACAACGAGGATTATGCGTTGCGTGTCTAATGCAGCTCATTGTGAGCTACCTGTGGGCGATCAGCTTGCAGCTTGCAAGTTGTGCAATAAGGAACTTGGCTCTAGTGTATCACATATAAATTTGGGAGTTAACTACACCCGAATCATTCAGAATTCAGAATGTGTTTCCTTAGTATATTACATTATATTTAATATTCATTTCACATTCATATCTCTTTCATTTTAATTTGATCCTATTTAGAGTTTGTATAGTTATTAAATGTACAGTATATTAAAGGACCAATATAGTGCCAGGAAAACATACTCGTTTTCCTGGCACTATAGTGCCCTGAGGGTGCCCCCACCCTCAGGGACCCCCTCCCGCCCGGCTCTGGGGAGAGGAAAGGGTTAAAACTTACCTTTTTTCCAGCGCCGGGCAGGGAGCTCTCCTTCTCCTCTCCTCCCCTTCGGCTGAATGCGCACGCGCGGCAGGAGCTGCGTGCGCATTCAGCCGGTCTCATAGGAAAGCATTGACAATGCTTTCCTATGGACGCTTGCGTGTTCTCACTGTGATTTTCACAATGAGAAGCACGCAAATGAGACAGCCACTAGAGGAGTTGGAGGCTGGATTAACCCTATTATAAACATAGCAGTTTCTCTGAAACTGCTATGTTTATTTAAAAAAGGGTTAATCCTAGAGGGACCTGGCACCCAGACCACTTCATTAAGCTGAAGTGGTCTGGGTGCCTAGAGTGGTCCTTTAAAGGTTCATATATACCCATAAGGTAACAAACAACATTTTCTGTGTATATGCTGAACATAATGTAGAGTAGTACTGTTATTGGTAACTTATTTACTTTGTACATTTGTTTTTTCTTGCTTCATCCTACTTTTTTATGTTATCTTTATGGCAGGCTGTAGTTGTTATGGTTCTTAAGAGTGTTCATTTAATGGAGAACAGCTTCTAAAGCAATAAATGTACCATTTGTCTTATAGATAAAATATATACTTAATTACTTTAGAAGATGTTATGTTAATGCTCACTTCCTCTTAAGCGCTGCCTCCACTGCCATTAAACACTGCTACCCGGCTACTGGCCCTGCTTGGAAACATCTTCCCAATCAAAGCAATCCTCCTCAGACACAGACATGTCGGCTTCAAGGCCTACAAATTGTCATCAGAGTAGAGTGAAATCTCTTACTTTATTCTACACTAATCTAGCAAACACAATATATTGTTTTCAGAGGAGTAAGACAGCAACTACATTGCATGTGTTGTAGTTGCTGTGATAGAGAGCAGGAGAACTACCTTTGTGTAAGCTCTCCTGCTCTGTTATGTCTCTTATTCTGAATGCAGAGGCCTGTGCATCTAGCCTACGTCTCGCTTCTAAGATTTGATTGACAGGTGAATGGACAAGCCATACCCTTATGTTTTTTAAGGAATATTCTGCTAGATATTGTATAGATACAATTGTTTGGTTGTTCCATTTAGAACTACAAATTGTTTTCCATTTCAGGTACTCTGTAAACAAAACTGAATAAAATATTGTTGGTTCTTAAGGGGTTAAGCTATTGATTGATCCTTTGTAAAAAGAAATATGTATAATGATTGATGGCCTAATTTGTTTTGCTCCTCTGTAATCAATTCCTACTAAATAAAAATTTATTTTAGCTTTTGAATTAACTACCGAAACATGGAGCAGTGTGAGTCCGCAAGAAAGTTACAACTTGACAAGTAAATTTTTTGCAAAGGTGCACAAATACTTATACAGCTGAGCACTCTACATTCTCTCTACTGAATACAGCGATTGGCTCTGTTTTTTGGCTAAACTTGGTATAAGGAGGTTTCTCACACATTCTTGCAGTGGATTTAAATATACACTCCAGCATTAAGAATAAATATATTTATATCTAACATTGAAGTTTTCATTTTTTGATGTAGATTTATGCCCCCCTCTCCACCACTGCATAATAATGAAAAAAGTTTTTTTGGCAGCTCTTTTACGCGAGTACAGAAAAAAAGTTGCAAAATCTATATAAGTGATGATAAGGCGCTTACAAAATAGTAATTAGGAAATATATATATATATATATATATATATATAAAAGCCATTACAACAATTGTGTGAATCCTTCCCTTACACCACACAGATAATATACAATAATTAAAAAACTTGTGTGACTAGATGACAAAATGCCAACACCAGTATGTAAGTGGAGCGCTTAAAAGGTAAGTATATAATATATGAAATCACTCACCCTTTATATAAACTGAAAAAAGCGAATATGGCTCACTCAAAAAAAAAAAACAAGATAAATATATACTGCAACGCTGCAATAAATTATTTTTTTTAATATGTGGTCACACAGTATGTGGTCTTTTATGCCAATAGTTAAGCCAAACCAATGCCTCTTATAGACAAATCTTTGTCGACCTACGGTACCTACACAGCAATGACTACATTCCAGTAACACAAGGCTTCTTATAGAGAAACCTTGAATACAGTGCGTTCTATGAGACGTGCTCACTACCACTTTGAATGCTGAGTCAAAGCAGTTGAGGCTGGTAACCCTCCCAAATGTTTTATTGACAGACAGTAGGGTAAAACTACTGCCATTTATAAAAGGGCAGATTTCTTTTGAATATGCCACTATTATAAAATAGGACAGAGGAGACAGCCAGTTAACCCCTAAATCACTTCAACTGACAGGGGACAGGACTGTCCCTTTAAGGCTGAAATGGAAAAAATAAGCTTTCAGGGGAGTGGGGCATGGATGCATCGGGTTCTGACTCCAGATGAGCTGCAGTTGAGATCTGTCTATTACACTGATTTTTAACCTTTGCGTCAGGATTCAAATTTGTATCCCTGTTGTTTGAAAGAGGCTCATAGTATATATCAGGCCCCAGGCAACTACCCTAATAACAAGTTTACGGTAGCAACCCGCCCTTCTTCAGTGCTACAAAGTACGTTGTGACAATTTTTGGAGTTTTGTCCTAAAATGGTTAGGTATTCCTGGTCCATATTTACTGACCATATTGTGGCACCAACCCCCATCTAAATCCAATACTCAACCAAATGGATATTGGTATGTACTTGATATATGCTCTGTCCTCTGTTGGACCTTTTCCAGTAACTGTCCTTCACTATTCCTTTAATGCAGTTATATTTTGTTATTGTTAATCATCTTTATTTGGATTGTTTTAATTTGGATGCATAGTGTCCAGTGCCATTTATTTGTAATAATGTATTTTTCACCTGTGCACCCATTTGCTTTCTATTGTATATGGTGCACTTTACCTACTTGGAGGTTTATGAATGGTGCCTTTTTATGCTTAATGCTCTTATGTCTTTTGGTGCTTTATATGTTGTTTAAATCTCTGATAAATATAAAAAGTCACATGAAATCTGCTGCACTAGTAAGTTCCCTAGATAATAAGTAGTAATTCCACTAATTCCTCTGCAGATCACTTGGGTAGTGAAACTTAAAACTACTTACAGGGTTAATTACTAAAGTGTAATTTGTGATTTGAATTTAAGGGCAAAATAAATGAATAGAAAACATTCTTCAAGCAGGTATGTCTTCAATTTGATGATTTTGACTTACATTTTTTCATTCTCTTTGAATTCCAAACAATTCACACATTGGGATCCAGCTGTGGTTTTTCAAGCGTTCGAATTTGTCAATTCATTGTGATTTGCATGATTGCTTTCAAACCTTTTTTGACAATCCATTACGTGGCAATATTGATCTGAAATAAAAAATACTATAAAATGAAATTCATTGTGATTTCCACCCTCTCTAAATGTAATATAAGCACATATAGTTTATAGTACTGCTTCAGAACTAGTAGTGCCCGAACTATTGGTAGTCATATAAAGAGATTTGCTATTTTTATTCTATTCTTTAAAACCTTGTTAAACTGCGCAGCAAGGATGAGGTGTTGAGTAACAGGTGGTTAATATTTGCACGAAGACCTTTAAACTATGCTGGAACCACCATTGCATAAAGAGTTCCTGGAGGTTGCACAGGAGGAGGAACATATAATCAGTAGTCAGCTCACAGGCTGTGGTTGTAGTAGTTTGTCTGTGTTTAAAGGTGGTAAGACCATAAGACAGGGGTAGGCAACCTTTGGGAGTCCAGATGTTGTGGACTGCATACAGCCCTAAAGTTGGTAAACCATCAAGGGAGATGTAATTTCCCATTTGGAGTGCTGAAGGTTGCCTACTTCCTGCCATAAGAAGAGGTGCATCATGGGAAGACATACAGTTGTGCTATACGCCAATTATGCAACAAACTATTGGTTGGGTTTGCCAGCAGTTAACTTAGAGCTGTCAGGATCATCGCACATTGTCTTGGCTATCATAGACTACTGCTCATCTTATGCATCTATGGAGGCTGAGAATGGGGAGAGAAAGGGCAGGTCTCCTGTCTCAGACTCTTCAAATCACCTTTAGGGGCCTCCTGCCCTTTAACATGCAGCACATAATGCAGCCTCAGCAGCACACCTTTCTCAAATTATCTGTAAGCACCGAATACAGGGCAGCAAAAAATTTAATAAACAACTGTGTAATTGGGCAGTAGGTTAGGGCATGCAGAGAAAACAATTGAGGAGTTCTCTGAAAGCTAAAGTGAAACATTATTTATAGCTCCTCCTATAGACAGCACCCTGGTTCCATGCCTTAATACAGTGCCGCTCGTTGGCTCCACTTGTTTGGCCTTATTAATTATTGATCCTGCAGGTTATTATACCTTTGGCTGTTCATCCCTTGCTGGTTGGTCACTTTTGTTGCTGACCCCATTACTTGCTTTTCTTGTCATTTGTTGGTCTCCTGGTGGTTAATCTAATAGCCCATATTCCTGCAGTGCAGGACACATATAGCTTTGTCAGTAACATTTACCTAAAAGAAACTAGTCTGTATATCTGTCAATGTCTGTCGGTCTGTGCATATACTATATGTCTGTCTGTCTATCTATCTATCCATCCATCCACATTTTACAGTTAGTACATACTGCATTGTGTGTTTACATTATGGGGCAGCACTGGGACTCATACATGATCCCAGCAGATGGTGCTATTTTGCCCTCTCACTTTACTAGTATGCCATACTGTAAGAGATTTCCCAACGCATCTCCTGGCATGTCAGTAAAAGGAGAGGGACAAATACCTGCTCCTGGGTGGGAGTGGAACTCCCACCAATCACAGACAGGCTAACTTGTATTAACCCAGCTCTACCTTAATTTTAAAGGAACCCTATACAATCAGAAAAAAATACTGTTATAAAAATACACGCGCACACACACACATTTATATGTATGTAGCAGAACAGTTCATATTTACAACACATGCCTATAAAACATAAAGCTATAAATATCCATGTAACATACAGAGTGATATATAGCTACAACTCACAGCAATATATATCTGTTACATCATATATGTGAAAATCAATATATCTGTGCGCAGTAACCAATGCAGTCTGACCAATGAGCGAGTGCTCTGTAAATCCCGCCGGTACTCATTTGGATTCTCTTTCTCTCTCGTTTTATAACTCCCATATCTGTTTCACCGTGTTTATAAAGGCTGGCGGAGAAATTTGTAGCTCTATCAGCACAATCTTCATTTACAGCTTCTGTACATAATTCTGATGGAGCCTAACTTGTTTTCAGTAGTTTGCATATAACTCTGTTTTCATTTGTAAAAGAATAGCTACAACAAATTCCCCTGCGCCGTAAAATGAGATTAATGTAATTTTTCTACATCACCTCTAAAAATGTGATTTTTCTACTGAGTGGTTTGGTTTCCTTACTTTTAAATGAATTTACATGGTTTGGTTTCATTACGTTTAAATGATATAAATACATTCAAACCTTGACCTGCACCATGTAAAAAAACATACTTTCTTTATGTGTCCTTTTTTTAAATCCTCACTACTTTTGTCACATGCACACACCTATTTCCACCTGTCTGTCTCTCTTGTTTGCTGTGTCTCCCTGTGTTTTGTTGTATCTAAGGATATTTCTCCTCCCCCCTCTATGGTTCCTCCTTTGTTATCCTTTGTGGGGGGGTCTTCTGACCTCTGACCCTGGCTCAGCTCTCCATGCTGTAAATGACACGTTCTGTCCCAGGCTCCCAGCTTGTGTCCCTCTGCCAGACGCCAAGTGACGGACAGCTTCGCCCATCGCTCAAATTGCACAGGGGCAGCGAGGGGGGAGCCCCAGGGGAGGAGAAAGGCTGGTGTGTGTGCATTGGGGGATCTCAGGGAGGGAGTGACATGGGAGGAGGGGATGGGGGACACTAAAAAAAGAGAAACAGATAGAGAGACAGTTGTATGTACTACGTTCTAAGTTTATAATTCCCCTCCCTTTATTTATTTATTTTTTTAACGTTGTGCCCATTTAAACAAAATCTATACTGCACGACTCTACAGCGGTGAAGTAATTGATACAAGATTTGAGCAGTTTGCATCACTGGGAAATAGACAATGGGCTCATGAAACCAGTAGATATTGAACATAAATGTAATTGCCAGTAAGAAAGATATATAAATATACAGAAACCCTGCTAAAGACTTCCACTTGTCAGTGGATGAAAACCCCCCACCCCATCTCTTTTCCACTTTATGGCACAAATTCATCACAATATTGTGTCACTAATCAAAACACGCACACACAGAATTTCCAATCCATACAGTGCACTCATTGGATTGTTACATACATTGTAATGTAGAGAAAGCAATTATTCTAACAACATAGTCAAAATTTACTTTTTGACTATATTGCTATAACTAAATGTTTTTACATTACAATATATACAGGTTGTGTGGGTTCCCTGACTTTATTTTGGAAATTGGACTAGACTCCCTGTTTAGCCTGAATATATTGCCTGACAAATGTAGTCATATTTATTTATTTGTTATTTGGTATCTGCATTGATGTCTAATATGATTACTCAAAACTAAATACACACACTTCAAAGTTAACTAATAAATAAGGTAAAATTATATCTTAAATCAAAGATGGAAAGACAATGAGACAGATAAAGAGAGAGGGACATCTAGGGGTAAAGAAGAGAGAGACAAGTAAACAAAGAAATATCCGACAAAATTTAGTCTAGTTAAATCTGAGTATTTATCATAAATTATGTTTGGTGGCTAGTGCTTAACTGTTTACCAATAAATTAATGTGAACCTTTATCCCAGCATTTCCATGCAGAGCCCAGCATTAACCCAAAAAGCACCTCTAGTGGCCACTAGAGGTGTTCCTGGGCTGTAATGTTAACACTGCCTTTTCTATGAAAATGCAGTGTTTAAATTAAAAAGCCTGCAGGGACTGACTATACTCACTAGAATAACTACACTAAGCTGTAGTTGTTTTACAGTCCTTTAGATGTTGTAGGAATTCATATATATTAAAGGAATGTAAGTAACTCGCTCTGAGTAAATCATTATATGAATATAAGAACATATTCATTTATCAGGTTTCAATATATGCCTTGCTGTTTGACATTATCACCATATATCTAAACTCAGACATTGCAAAGATTAATGTGAAGACAAAAAAGAAATGTGCTTTGTAATTTGTTAAACTAGTCTGTTAGCAAAGCAATTAGTATAAAGAATAATCAGTAAATCAATATACATCAAGATATTGATGAAGATGCGTATAACCTGCTCATGTAATATTAAAATTAAAACTAAATAATTGAAATACCGATAATAATTAGAACTTTTACTCCTTTTCTTATTACTCCATATGGCTCTTCCTCTAATTCCATATAACCCTCCCTGTAACTCCTCCTTTTATTCCATATAGCCCTCCCTGTAACCCCTCCTATTATTCCAGATAACTCTCCCTGGAACTCCTCCTATTATTCCAGATAACTCTTCCTGTAACTCCTCATATTATTCCCTATAATACTCCCTGTAACTCCTCCTATTATTCCATATAGCTCTCCATGTAACTCCTCCTATTATTCCATATAACCCTTCCTGTAACTCCTCCTATTATTCTAGGTAACCCTTCCTGTAACTCCTCCTATTATTCCCTATAATACTCCCTTTAACTCCTCATATTGCCCCATATTACCTCTCCCTATAACTCCTTCTGTTACTCCATATAACCTCTCCCGATAACTCCTCCTGTTACTCCATATAACCTCTCCCTATAGCTCCTCCTATTAGTTTTAATAACGTCTCCTTGTAACTCCTCATATTACTCCATAACTAATCCCTATAACTCCTTCTATTACTCCATATAACATCTTCCTATTACTTGATATAAACTTCCCTATAACTCCTCCTATTACTCCATATAAACTCTATATATATCTACTCTTATAGGTTCTCCCCATAACTTCTCCTACTTCTCATCTAACCCTCTCTATCATGCCTCCTATTACTCCATATAACACCTACCTTTTACTCTTTAAGGGATACTATAGTCACCAAGCAACTTTAGCTTAATGAAGCTGTTTGTGTGTATAGATCATGCTCCCGCAGTCTCACTACTCAATTTTCTACCATTTAGGAGTTAAATCACTTTTGTTTCTGTTTATGCAGCCTTAGCCACACCTCCCTTGGCTGTGACTGACATAGCCTGAATGGAAACAAAATGGTTTCATTTTCAGTCATATGTTAACTCATTTTAAAAGTTTTCATCTCCTGCTCTGTAAATTGAGCATTAATTACACACAGTAGTCTCCTGCAGGGTCTAACAAGCTATTAACAGAGCAGGAGGTAAGAATTTCTAAATTAAACTGAATTTGCAATAAAGGAAGTGTAAACATTAGATGACTCTTTACGGGTAGTGTTTAGGAAGGCTGTGCAAGTCACATGCAGGGATGTGTGGCTAGAGCTGTATAAACAAAGTGATTTAACACTTAAATGGCAGAGAATTGAGCAGTGAGACTGCAGGGGCATGATCTATACAACAAAACCGCTTCATTAAGCATACATTTTTTGGTGACTATAGTGTCCCTTTTATTTTTCCCACTACTTTATATATTTTTTCAGCATAACTTATCCTATTTCTTCATATAACGTCTTCATTGTAGATTTCGTATAGTTTTAATTTGGTCAAAATGTCATTATTTAGGGAAATTTGCTACAAGGATCAGCATCGTTCATTAAGGTGCAATGCTTTTATTACAATCACTGAGTTATCTTTGTATTTTGGAGACAGAATAACTGAACAATTTAATGCTAATCATTAGACTTTCTCGCTAATTACAAATTTATCTAACACTTGCATGACTTATTGTGGGAAGATACTCTCTGTCATTTGAGGGAAGTCTGTCTTGGTGGGGCAGCGGTATCTTAAGTAATATCGACTAACTCATTCCAGCCTGAGCTACTTGAAAACGTTTCTCGCTAATTACAGTTTAATCTATATACTTCAGTCTAACTTGTTAAAAGCCTCCCTTAGTCTTGGGAATGAATTTCCCTTGTTGGAGTTTCCCTTCTTGAATTCATTCCTTTTCGAAAGCAGAGCCTGCTATTAGAATCAAGGCTGTCTTATTGAGAGCAGTCTACTGAAGGACCTTTCTTTCTTCCGAAGGCTCCTTCTTCTTCGAGACCTTTCAAAGCAGTCTCTCTTCCTATTTAGCTGTGTGGTTCCTTGGAAGAAAACCATTTGTGTTCTTGTAAAGTGGTGTCGTTCTTTTGAAAAAAGTGATCCCTCTTCTTTAAACAGTCTCTTTTCTTGGAAAACAGCAGTCTCCTCCTATAATGCAGTCTTTCCCTTTGTAAGCAGTTTATTTCATTGAAGAAATAGCCGTCTCTCTTTCTGTAAAGCAGTCTAATTCTATTATATATATATATATATATATATATATATATATATATATATTATTTTTTAATTGGAATATATGTTTTCAATTCATTAAAAGCAACAATTAGTTTCCTTCCTTGGAAGTTACTTTTCTTTGTCAGCTGTCTCCCTTTCTTCCTTGAAGGCAATCACTTTTCTTTGGCAAGTTTTCTCATTACAAATCAGTCTCTCTTCTTGAAATGAAGTCCCCTTCGATTATGTTTTCCTTGGTGGAAGGCTATTTCTGTTGCTTTCTTCCTGGAAATCTTTATTTCTTCCTGGAAAGCTGTCTCTCTTTGAGGAAGATGGTCATCTTCTTCTGATGACATTGCACCTTAGTAGAAGGTTGTCTGTCTTCCTAAAAAGTGGTCCCTCTTCCTGGAAGGGTGGCTCTCTCTTCCTGGAAGGCTGGCTCTCCCTTCCTAGAATGCAGTCTCTTTTCCTAGAAGGCTGGCTCTCTCTTCATAGAATGCAGTCTCTTTTCATGGAAGGTTGGCTCTCTCTTTCTAGAATGCAATCTCTCTTCCTAGAATGCAGTCCCTTTTCCTGGAAGGCTGGCTCTCTCTTCATAGAATGCAGTCTCTTTTCCTGGAAAACTGTCTTTCTCTTCATAGAATGCAGTCTCTCTTCCTGAAAGACTGTCTTTCTCTTCATAGAATGCAGCGTCTCTCCTGGAAGGCTGGCTCTCTCTTCATAGAATGCAGTCTCTCTTCCTGGAAGGCTGGCTCTCTCTTCATAGAATGCAGTCTCTCTTCCTGGAAGGCTGGCTCTCTCTTCATAGAATGCAGTCTCTCTTCCTGGATGGCTGGCTCTCTCTTCATAGAATGCAGTCTCTCTTCCTGGAAGGCTGGCTCTCTCTTCATAGAATGCAGTCTCTCTTCCTGGAAGGCTGGCTCTCTCTTCATAGAATGCAGTCTCTCTTCCTGGAAGGCTGGCTCTCTCTTCATAGAATACAGTCTCTCTTCCTGGAAGGCTGGCTCTCTCTTCATAGAATGCAGTCTCTCTTCCTGGAAGGCTGGCTCTCTCTTCATAGAATGCAGTCTCTCTTCCTGGAAGGCTGGCTCTCTCTTCATAGAATGCAGTCTCTCTTCCTGGAAGGCTGGCTCTCTCTTCATAGAATGTAGTCTCTCTTCCTGGAAGGCTGGCTCTCTCTTCATAGAATGCAGTCTCTCTTCCTGGAAGGCTGGCTTATGGAAGGCTCAGAAGCTGTCACTCATTCTTTAAAGTAGCGTGATGATTTGAGGCTCCATGCTGAGACATGTGGATCTGTGACACGTGTGCTTATTACATGTTTGGCGGAGGAAGATGACTTCTGTTACCGCCAGCTTAGATTCCATTACATTTCCTTCCATCCATCTTACATGTCATTTTTACCTTTCACATTTAAAAAAAATATATATTTTTTCCTTTTTCTCTTAATTACTACTTAGATCTTTTTTTTCCATTTGCTTACACTTACTGTTTATAGTCCTCCTCGCTTGCATGTATATAAATAAATATATATAGCATTGAGCACATTTATGTTTCTTCTTTTTTTATTAATAGTTGTTGTGATATGTATCTTTAACTCCCTCCTGTCTTTGTTTATCCTTTTTTGTCTCTCCCAGTATTTTCGTACAGATTAATTAGTATTTCCTTACCCGTATACATTTCACACCCATCTTTGTTCCTTTCAGACAGTATATTGGCTGTTAAACTCTGTAGGGCTGTCTTCTGTGGCCTTTCTTTCGCTCGGAGTGTTTGTTTAGACCCTTAGTTTTGCTCACTGCCTTGTATACGATCCCACCTCTCTCTTTCTTTCTTTCTTTCTTTCTTTCTATCTGTCAAATGTTGATCCTCTCTCTCACATTAAAGAGTTTTAACACTTTGTGTCCTGTGTAAATCACCGTATAGCAATATATTGCACAACCCTCGGGTGCTTAAATTATTACACTTAGGGTGGTCTTTTTATCTAAATTCATGTATTGATGCTCTGTATGGCAACTGCCTAGTACATGGTTTCCGGTGCAGGTGGAAAAGGAAATATGCCTGCTATATCAGTTGGCAGTTTTTGTAAAGGTCTCTGCAAGCTATCAAGATTTATCCCTGCAGGTTAATATGGATGTGTTCATTTGTACAGGTGAAGAGGGAGCGGAAGGAAATCCGTGCTGAGACAGACTGGAGAAAAAGGGAATTTAGAGAGCTAATTGGAGGAAGAGTGTTTAGAGTGATAATCACTGAACGTGAGGCTTGAAAGAATTAGGGTACGGGGGCAGTTATCGGAGAAGAACAGATTTCGGTATGTCATAGTTACGTAAAATTGAAAATTGTCTAAAAGTCTACATTGGACGAAGTGCAAAGGGCTGTGCCAAAAAAGAGAGAGCTGTAAGGGATCAAAGAGACATACGGGAGAGAGAGAAGGGAGGAAGGATGCACAGCAGAGATTTGACTAGTGTACGTTTGCTTTAATGACCAGTGATTAGGAAGCCATTAGACATTAAATTGATTTTCATGGAAAAAATAAAGTGAGCTATTGGAGAGAAAGAGACAGGAATGATCAAGAATGATATTGTAGTGAGATAATAGCTAGCGAGACAGAGCGAGAAAGACAGTGAAATTAGAGTGCTCTAAAGACCTTTCCACTAGAACCTAGATAAAAGGATGGAAGGTACAGGAAGGGGTAGGGAAAAAGTAGGACAGGCTATAATGAAAGAAGAATGGAGGTGAGAGTGTAGCTTCAGAGAGACCGAGAGACACTCACTGAGTTGGAGTGTGAATAGAGAGGGGAAAGAGTGTGAATAAAAGAAGAGAGGAGGCAAGGCAGGAGCAGTGGGGGCTGTGAGGAGAAGAGAGCCGCAGAGGTGTGGGGGGAGAGAAAAGGAGGCTTAGAGAAGCAGTAGTGGATTGTGCAGTGCAGCACAGAACCCCCCCTCGAGCCCCCTCGTCACCGATCGATACAAGACTAAGCAATAAAGCATTTTCATTGTCAGATGCCCTGCATATAGTGACTGGTGTGAGAGCGCCTGTTCTCCCCCCACCTCCACCTAATCTGTACTGGAGAGCTCTGCAGATTCATTCCCCCCCCCCCACCTCAAGGCCTGGTCACCCCCACTCCCCCCGCCCAAGCTGAACCCCCAACCCCCCCTCCCCTAGAGCCTCCACCTTCCGACTCTTCAATAATTCAAAGCTAGCACCTTTTTATTACTCCATAGAAAGCCTCCCTTCTGCCAACACCCCCGTTTTATTATTTTTATTTTTACCTTTCCTCCCCCTCTACCTCTCTTCTTTATCTCCTCTCTGTCTCTTTCTCTTCTTTTCCTTGCTCTCCTATTTTTCCACCGTCTTTTCATTGTTGCTTTCTTTAATTTTCCAGTTTTCCTTTCGCTTCTTTTGGCCCACTTTTTTTTATCTAATACTTACTGTATTGCATTGATTCTTTCTGTACTTATATATATTTGACATTTTCTCAAATTTATTTTCCCCCCTTTATTTCTTTACTAAGTATTCCCCAGTCTTTTTCCAGTTTGTGTTAGATTCCTGTTGGCAAAACACAGCTATAATACTATTAAATACCCATAAATGTGATGTTCAGTGAGAAAATGTATTTTTATAATCATGAAGAGTCAGACATAAATAGTTGGTAATAATTTATTCATCGTAGTAACTTTAAATTGTAATAAAAGGTGAGGATAAGAAAGATTATGGTGACATAGGAGGAGTTACAGAGTGACGTTATTGAAATATTTGGAGCACCAGGAGAAATGCTATAGCGCTGTGGGATGTGTTATAAGTAGTCATATATGTATGGACAGCAGGTGCTGTTAGATCATATGGATATTCAGGGGCATTAGGGGAAAATTTACATCTCTAATGTTTTGATGGTATGTAATATTTACATATGACAGGCTGGGAGAAAGAATTGTGAAAGGTTTGGATTAGATTGGAAATACAAAATGCATTTTCTACAGTGCTTATTTCCCATTGGCTGCCCTGTGCTCAAATATAGAAAAGTGCTATGTAGATACAGATTATGCAAATGTAAAACATCTAGCAAATGTATAGATTAAAATCCAGATTTCAAACTAAAAGCAAAACCTTATCTTTGCATTTACTTACTATAATGGTTATTGCTCTGTTTACATAATGCAACCACATGCTTTTGCATGGACAGCACACTTTAAGAGATGTTCTAGCTATATAAAGTTATATGTAGATGTATATGTAGTGAGAGGAAATTTAGGAAGCAAAAAATATGGTGCAGCAGAATGTATTATAGGGAATGGTTATATGGAATGGGATGGAAAATGTTATAGAGAGGGGTTGTTTGGAACAATAGGTGGAGTTAAAAGGAGTGACAGGGAGTAAAAGGTTAATAAAGAAGATGACACAAGGAGCAATAGGTGAGTTAAAGGGAATACTTATTAGGAGCAACAGGCAGGGTTACAGGAGCAATAATAAGGAGCAATAGGTTGGGTTACAGGGAGTGGTTTGTAGGAGCAATAGGCGGGGTTACATGGAGTGGTTTGTAGGAGCAATAGGCGGGGTTACAGGGAGTGGTTTGTAGGAGCAATAGGCGGGGTTACAGGGAGTGGTTTGTAGGAGCAATATGCGGGGTTACATGGAGTGGTTTGTAGGAGCAATAGGCGGGGTTACAGGGAGTGGTTTGTAGGAGCAATAGGCGGGGTTACAGGGAGTGGTTTGTAGGAGCAATAGGCGGGGTTACAGGGAGTGGTTTGTAGGAGCAATAGGCGGGGTTACATGGAGTGGTTTGTAGGAGCAATATGTGGGGTTACAGGGAGTGGTTTGTAGGAGCAGTAGGCGGGGTTACAGGGAGCTTATTAAGAGCAATAGGTGGAATTACACAGAGTCGTTTAAACAGCAATAGACATAGTTATAGGGTGTGATTATTAGAATCAATAAGTGGGGTTACAGGGAGTTGTTTTTAGGAGTAATAAGCGGGGTTACAGGGAGTGGTTGTTGGGAGCATTAAGTAGTGTTACAGTGAGTGTTTATTTGGTGCTATAGCTGGGGTTGTAGACAGTGTTTCTTTGGACTGATGGGTAGGGAGAAGGTAAAGTCATACAGGGTGTTATAGGGAGAGGATATATGTAGCATGGGAGGTATCCAAGGTGGATAGGTAGGAGCTGTAGATAGCATGCCAGTGAGGCAAAGTATGCTGCCAGTATGTGGTGTCACCACCCCAATAAAAAGAAGTATGTCAGTTATGTGAAAGGGGCTACATGGGCTTGCCCATGTGCATAGCATTTTTTAAAGTGCTATAGACAGAAAATTCTTAGTTGTTAGTGATGCACTTGTTTTGTGTTTATTATATACTTTTCTTCAGTGTCTCACTTCTAGGGTGGACAAGACCCCAAAATGTTATATATTTGCATATATATGGAGTATTAAGAAAGTTCCATAAATTAATTAAATATATGTATTATTAGAGGTGGTTGTATGGAACTCTATGGGAACTATAATGCAATACGGAAGACTTTATAGAATTACAGCCAATTAGAGGCAGTATTTTTTCAAATTGGAGAATATGTGATCCTTTAGGCAGTAGGAGGAGGTGCTATGAGCCATATGAAAAGGCTGAGGTTAATGATAGTAGTATAAAGAAATGTATAAAATGATGTGTCTCCGCATATCATTTTATTAATTTTTATGTGTTATTGATTGATTTGTAAATGGCCTTAGTGAGATATCACACCTGATAAATGATCTTATTAACCATCATAATAATTACCCGAATTAGCATGTTAGATGGTTTGGCTGGAAAGTTCCCCTTGTGACCTCAATCTGCCCCTTATGTTAAGAATTAAATTGTGTAATGAAAAAAAAAAGCAAAAAGCAAATTTGGTATGTTTATTGTTTTAACCCTTGGAATGACATGGAGCTTGACAGAGTTTTGCAAAATCAATGGGGAGTAGCAGAAAATCACACCTTTGGTTCCATTTTTACTACATACAACATGGGGTAAATAATTAGGCACCCTTTGGCACTCCATATGTTGTGCACTAAATCTCCCATAATTCTCTTACAGGCAGAATGCTGACAAAGCATTATTATTATTATTGGTTTTATTTATATAGCGCCAGCTTATTCCTCAGCGCTTTACAATAAAAGGGAAATTTACCAAATGAGACAATAACAAAATGTGACAGGAACAATAGGTAATGGGGGACCCTGCTTAAACAAGCTTACAATCTAGAGGAGGTGGGGTATAAAAACACAATAGGAAGGGTATTGAGAGAGACAGCAGATAGACATTATGGGAAAGTAGATGAACTGGAGGTGAGAGTGGAGTGTGGTCCTATAGGAGAGAGCGAGAGGAATGTTTGAGAGATAGAAGTTACTTTTGGAGGCCATAAACAATCCTGAAAAGATGGGTTTTGAGTGACTTCTTAAATGGTTTAAGACTAGGGGAGAGTCTGACAGGGGTAGGCAAAGGGGTGAGGTGTGAGAGGAGCGACAGGAGAGAAAGATCGGCCTGGCAGCAGCATTCATTATAGAGATTGAGCTTCAGAAAGATATAGTCCAGAACGTCTGAAATACCGATTGTTGCCTACCCCCTGTTCCATGGTGTTCATTCACTTAAACAAGAATTGCCAGAATAACATAACCGGTAGGAATTTGCAATGACCTTTGTTTCTTCTCACCCATTCCTAGTTAGTGAATAAACTCTAAAAATTGCACAATGCCAAAAGCATGACAATGGAGATCCTGCCTTTTTCCTATACGTGAATACCTGTGTATGATGAGGATTGCAGTCTATATTAAGATGAAGCAGTTACCTATCCTTGGTATAAAGAAACAATAATATGCCCTGTGTGCAAGCTTAGCATCTATGCCCGCAGCTCCGTAAGCAACTACACAGGGTTTAACTATATCTCCTCCGCAGCATACTGCCCATGGGACACTGTAGGGAAGCATCCAAAAAAAAGATGCTACACTGCAGAAAAATACAACTAACAAAGCACAGAGCAATATACAGCAGACATGACATGCATTGTAGAAAACCTTAATACTGCGGATTAAATGACAATACATTTACAGAATGCGTGTGCCCTACACTTAAACTCTCATGCTTCCCGTATGGGAAGGAGAAACCGTCCCATTTTTGGACCACATTACCTTTGTCCCTGTTTTCTAACTTTAGATCAATAAAGCCATGGGAATATCTCCTAAAACTATAATAAATGTATTTAGTAGCAATAATTTATCCTTGTTCCATAGTTATTACTTTGCAGCTTGTGGCTATGAATAGGAAATCCCTTTAATAATGCCTTTAATAATGAAATCACCTGTAATTTCTGTAAATAGCCACGCCCTGATTACACCTGAAGGCAAACACCCTGTTAAGGTGAAAATAGCCAAACTCTGTACAGCAAATGATAAAGAGAGGTGGAATGTTTATTATCATTATTTAGTGATGACAGAAATTGAGGGTTTGGTTTAAACAAACTCATCTGTTCTACCCCCATAAGAAAAGATCTGGCTTTATTGATTAACGCTATGTATGATGATTTAATTTGATCCTGTTATGCTGGCATTCTGACATGCTGATTAATGCTCCTTTTACATTGCACTGTATGGGCAAGTAACGCTTCACAAAAGCATAATTGAATCCATTGTACTCTGTGCAAAGAAGAACTGTAATTTCTATGTAGGAAGTTATTGGGAGTAACAGCATCTCTAAACCCTAAATACACCTGCTAATATAGCTATTATGGAAGAATAATGTGTCTTATAGATACATTGTGCACCCAGTAGAGTTAATATTATATACCCTGTCCCCCATCCTGTCTTATTCTATATACACTCCGCACCCCATCCTGTCTTATTCTATATACACCCCATCCTGTGTTATTATCTATACACCCCGCACCCCATCCTGTCTTATTCTATATACACCCTGCACCCCACCCTGTGTTATTATCTATACACCCCACACCCCATCCTGTCTTATTCTCTATACACCCTGCACCCGATCCTGTCTTATTCCAAATACACCCCGCACCCCATCCTGTCTTATTCTATATACACCCAGCACTCCATCCCATCTTATTCTATATACACCCTGCATCGCATCCCATCTAATTCTATATACACCCCGCACCCCATCCTGTCTTATTATATATACACCCCACACCCCATCCTGTCTTATTCTATATACACCCTGCACCCCATCCTGTGTTATTCTCTATACAGCCCACACCCCATCCTGTCTAATTCTATATACACCCAGCACCCCATCCTGACTTATTCTATATCCACCCTGTACCCCATCCTGTTTTATTCTATATACACCCTGCACCCCATCCTGTCTTATTCTCTATACACCCTGCACCCCAGCCTGTCTTATTCTATATATACCCTACACCCCATCCTGTCTTATTCTACATACATTGTGCACCCCATCCTGTCTTATTCTATATACACCCAGCAGCCCATCCTGACTTATTCTATATTCAACCCGCACCCCATCCTGTCTTATTATATATACACCCCACACCCCATCCTGTTTTATTCTATATACACCCCACACCCCATCCTATCTTATACTACATTCACATATACACCCAGCACCCCATCCTGACTTATTCTATATTCACCCTGTAACCCATCCTATCTTATTCTATATACACCCCGCACTCCATCCTGTCTTATTCTATATACACCCTGTACCCCACCCTGTCTTATTCTGTATAAACCCTTTACCCCATCCTGTCTCATTCTCTATACACCCTGCACCTCATCCTATCTTATTTTCTATACACACTGCACCCCATCCTGGCTTATTAAATATACACCCAGCATCCCATACTGTCTTATTCAATATACACCCCGCACCCCATCCTGTCTTATTCTATATACACCCTAAATCCAATCCTGTCTTATTCTATATACATCCTGCACCCCATCCTGTCTTATTATATACACCCCATCCTGTGTTATTATCTATACACCCCACACCCCATCCTGTCTTATTCTATATACACCCTGCACCCCATCCTATGTTATTATCTATACACCCCACACCCCATCCTGTCTTATTCTCTATACACCCTGCACCCCACCCTGTCTTATTCTATATACACCCCGCACCCCATCCTGTCTTATTCTATATACACCCAGCACCCCATCCTGTTTAATTTTATATACACCCCACACCCCATCCTGTCTTATTATATATACACTCCGCACCCCATCCCATCTTATTCTATATACACCCTGCATCGCATATATATATATATATACATATATATATATATATACACCGCACAACCCACCCTGTCATATTCTATATACATCTAGAACCCATTCCTGATTTATTTTATGTATATCTTGCACCATATCCTGTCTTATTGTGTATACACCTCGCACCCCATAATGCATGCATATTTCTGTAATGTACACCCTGCTCTATGCATCAGTTCTCCATTATCATAAGTGGTATTATATGCATGATGTATACTTGGCACAGTTTGCTGCTGCGTCTGGCATTTCTGTGGTGACTGCTCAAACACTATATTAGGGGTAGGCAGCTCCTGTCCCTAAGTGATGCTGACAGCCCAGAATTTAAGGATCTCTATGCAACGGCACAGGGCAGTTAATCACTGTCATCACCACTTTAATTTACCTGGTGTCTTATGTAACCAATAGGAGATTAAATTGTTAGCCTTTTACTGCCTGCTTGTTGTTTTAATTTGGAACTATAACCAGTATACACAAACTGGACCACATTAATATAAATATGCCATGAAATATCCTATTTTGTTTTATTGAAATAGAGGTATGTGCCTCTAGAGAGGAATTGATGATAAGTACAGCTCGGTGCGTGGCTTCATGCTGTAACAGATTACACTGCTAGTAGGATGCCATATTGGTTTATAATTTGTTGTGGATTGTTACAGTCATCGTTGGGCAGTGTGGGCAGCAGAAGGCCATAAGCTGTTAAAGCTTTTAGGTTTGCCTGGCAGTATGCATCAATGGCAGTGTTGCCCAATTGATCATGTTTTCCTGGACACATATCACTGCTTCATGGTGATGGCCAGCAGCAAATGAATAGTGCTGCCCTGCTGTATGCAGCATTTCGTATGCTTCAGGATGGAAACTAATTAATCGAGATGGTTCATTTGACCTCCCTAGCCTATTAATTCCACGTACTGTAGTCAACACATTTGATTTGCTGTCATCAACATAGAGAAGTAATTTGTGTCATGGAAACATGGTGGATACGGCAGCTGTAAGCAGAGCTACTGGAAGTGACTGACAGTATCCAGGAATGGTTTTGTGGTGCTTGGTAATAATTCATGGCCAAGTAATAGAGAACCATTTCCGTCCTTACGGAAGCTTAATTCTCACTCTCTCCATTTTCCATTTCCATAAGTGGTGTAGGTGTCCACGAGCACAGTGAGGGAGCTGTTGTATAGATGGGACAATAATTTCTTGAGTCTACAGGATTTCACACCCTGGTGGTGTGATATGGTGACCGTAATGGTACTGTCATGACTGCTTCCTTCTTCCAAACCACCGCTATAGTGCTGTTGTCTGACACTCCACGTTTTATTGCACATTCTGACACTTTAAACATTGCAGGAAAAATGTTAAGATGGTGTTTGGTCAGAGGTAGTGATGTCATTACCGAGATACAGCCTCTACAATAGCTGTTGTTTCCCTTGTAGACAATGCTTGAGTTTGGGTACCAGGTGTAATGATTAACCATTTAAAGGGGTACTCTATAGTACCATATCTCTACAACTCAATGTATTTGTTTTGCTGCTTAGAGCCCCTTGGTTTAATTTTAAACCATTTAAAAAGAGTCCCTTTGCACCAGGATGGCCCTCAGTTTATATCAAACCGTTTATGAACCAGTAATCTACACAAGGAAATTGAACGGTATTGAGTATGTTGAGCTTAGAGTGCCCCATTAAGCCCTAACGATCTATATACCAACATGAGGTGTCCTGCTTATTTAATATTCCATGAGCATTATATTTCCAGAGAGGGTTTCTAAAAACTGGTTTGTTATGTCAGAACTGCTTTGTAAACGGACTTTGAGGAGGTTAATAAAAATAGATGTTATGTGATAAATGTATGAGACATAGGATCAAGCTTTATTAATACGTTGACATACTAGCAATCCTCTTTAAAAATCATGACAAAATGGCTGACAATGCTGCTGCTTGTCTTCTGCTGTAGATACTCATGTATGTAGTTTTGAAATGAGAAAGGGAATATATCCATGAATATAATGGTGGGTTAGTCAAAAGGTAGGCCTCAAACTGTTATGGAAATACCACTACCATGATGCTTTGCTCTCAAAGCCATATATTATATGTCTATATGTTTTATGTCCATAACATCTTGATGGTTACATGTTGACTACATTCATTTTAGTGTATTAGTCATTTACACATTTTCTTTTAGTCAATGGGGTAGACATTTAGTCTTGGAAGGTGTTTTTAGCCGAAAAAAAGCAGAATATGGTAAACTAGTACACTGTAACAGACCATGTAAATATGGTTAAGGAGTTGGTTAAGTCATCTAATCCATTTTTAGTTTTATAGTAAATTTGAGCATGTATCATTTGCATTAACAGATATAAGCATAATTTATTTGCAGCTTCATCTTTCTCACATGATGCCTTAGGTCTTTACCTATCCGATGCAGGCCCAGGCTTTGGCAGAGTGAATTGGCATTGTGTGGCATTGCAGGACAGGACAGGGGTGATTCTTAGCTCTTGCCCCCCTCTCTACTCTCAGTTCACCCCCCTCGTGCCTCTATCCCTCGGGACGTAGCTCTAATAATGTGTTTGATCGACTGGCGGGCGGCGAGCACACGATTATTGTCTTGTAGGGAGTCAAAAGTATTGATCTTGCGAGAAATATGAGTGTGTGAAATGGAGTCAGTGTGTCAGTTACAATCAGCACAGACCCGGGGGAGAGAGCGAGAAAAGAAGAGAGAGAGAAAGAGTCACTGAGAGAGAAAGCATGTGAGAGAGAGAAGGAGAGAGAGCTGCCGGAAAAAGCCATCGTATTGCACACACTCCCAGCCTGCAGTCTCTTATTTCTTAATGCATTTAACACTGCTCCATCCTTTGTGCTGTCTCAATCTCTATAAATTGTCTGCTTTTTGTTGTCTCTCATTGTATTACCTCTTATGTGCGCACTATTCTGGCATGTGTCATGCTTGTCGTATATTGCACACTTTATATCTACTAAACCATGATTTCTGGATACATGACAAGGCAATTGAAAAACTTTTCCAACTCAAAGCTGTTTTTCCAGGTCAACTATTATGGTCTAAAATGTTTGATTCATTTCACAATTTACCACAATTCCTGTTTCAGTGAATATACTCCTGTTCTATCATGAATTGTGATGAACTGAAAATGGAATTTAAATAATCCAAACCAAAATAGCCAAACTGTGACTTAAGCTCATTTGGAGAATTTTTCCAAATTCACCTATCTGAACTACATTAAACTCCAGGAGTTTAATATTGGAGTCTGCACGCCCGTGGGAGACAGCTCCAGGTAAGTACAGCTCACCTCTGCTGCACTCCTGGGCTACCACTCCCAAGGTAGTGATTATTTCAAAGTCACATTAACTATTTATTCTATTAAGTCTATTAGAGAATCAAAGGATCCAGTATTGAATATACATGAGTCTGTGCTGCTGGGTGCATCCGGGTCCCCGCCACAAAACTTTTCTACTAGCTGCATCCGGGCCTCCGCCACAAGACTGTTCTACTAGCTGCATCCGGTCCCCTGCCATGAGACTGTTCTACTAGCTTCATCCTGGCCCTGCCGCAAGACTATTCTACTAGCTGCATCTGGGCTCCCACAATGAGACTGTTTTACTAGATGCATCCGGGCCCCCGCCACGAGTCTGTTCTACAAGACACATCCGGGCCCTGCCATGAGACTGTTCAACTAGATGCATCCAGGCCCCCGCCATGAGACTGTTCTACTAGATGCATCCGGGCTCTGCCATGAGACTGTTTTACTAGATGCATCCAGGCCCATGCCATGAGACTGTTCTACTAGATGCATCCAGGCCCCCGCCATGAGACTGTTCTACTAGATGCATCCAGGCCCCCACCATGAGACTTTTCTACTAGCTGCATCCGGGCCCTGCCATGAGAGTGTTTTACTAGCTGATTCTTGGCCACCGCTTTGCCGTGACTCTTGTACAGGGGTTCTCAGAAGGTAGATCCCCAGATATTTTAAAACTACAGCTTCTACAATGCTTTCTCATTCTAAATTCATGTTAAAGGCATGCAAAGCATCATGGGAGTTCTAGTTCTACAACATCCATAGATCTACCTTTTTGGCACCCATGCTCTAGATAGTAACCATGGTTGCCTAGCCACTAATATTCCTCCTCTGGCACTTATCACACTTTATAAATTGCAGAACACCGTGTTTTTATAATAGCTAATTAGGCATACATTATATAGAGCACTGGCCCAAGTGTACTTATATAGATCATCAGCTTTTATATACAGCATGCAGTGAAGTGTGTTTCATCCATAAACATCATGAAAGTCCTATAGACCTAAATAGCTATATAGATTGATCCAAGGAAACAATGGATACAAAGAAGCAGACTGACATATTCCTAAGAATAATATCCATTCCAGTTCAGTACACTGTGTTTAGTGTTTTTATTCACCTTCCCAGCGTACTCTTACTCGAAATGCACAGCAGAGCGCTATGTATGTAGCAGCACAGAGAGTAATCCGGCAGCACGCAGTGCACAATAATAACATGCAGAGCAGTATAATACCAGTTGCAGTAATTTAATACAGTACTGAGACAAATGAGAACATGCAAGGCTATAACATAACATGCAGAAATCTAAACCAAAGCAATGGAATGGTAAAAAAAAAAGACATGTAACAGCCAGGACTATGCAATAACTTGCAGAAACATAAACATACTCAGGCACCAATATGACGAAAAGCTAAAAGCATGCAATAACAAAAGATGTGTAGAATTTTACAGTGATAAAATACAAAGCTTTGCAGTGGCACAATGATACAATGTAGTAATTAATAATACTCAGAGAAATTAAATTTTACACAAGGATATAACATCAAGTGATATAAGAATAAGAGAGGCATGCAGTGATATATATTATAACATACATTGTTATAACATATAGCTTATTGGTTTATATCATATGGATAGTTATAATGGTCTAAGTCATAACATAATATCTGATAGAAAAGCACAGCAATATCACACAGATAATTCCATGTGATATGGTGAAATGGAAAGCAAAGTGAATGAGGTAAATATTTAATATGTAATAATAAAACCATGCTGCAGAGTTATGTAATGGCATTGAGCAATTCCCATGTAATCATTAGTGACATGCAGAGCAATGTAATGATGCATAGTGATATACTATCCAATAGATTGAAATACGCACAAAGTAACGGCACACAATCTGAAAATATGTAAAAATGGGTGATAAAATCTAATGACAGGTTGTTGTGGTGATGACATACACTGCTATAACTGCTTGGGCGATTGCATGCATAGTGATGGCATCCTGTGACATAACATGATGTGTAATAATATGTGGAGTGATGTGATGGCATACACTGATATAACATGTACTGGATAATAACATGCAGGACTATATGACAATATACACAACTGCAACGTGAAGGGTAATGATATGCAGGGAGAGTTTATGATTGCAAATGACTATAATGTCAAAAATAATCCACATTATGCAGAGAGGATGTGACAGCCTACCATTATCTGTAAACAAGCCATGAGGTTTAACATTATGCAAATAGATTTGAATGCATTCAGAGCTGCTTAAAGCCACGCAGGGATTTAATAACTGTAATGACATATTGTACAATATTAAAACAGAAGGAGACATTTAACAACATGCACAGAGACATGATGACATGTAAACAGGAGGCATAATGTAATAACAAACCTGGAGGTAATATGGGTACTTTAAATCTCTTCCTTATATTGAGTTACATTGCAACATGTATTTGAAACAAATGGTGCATAGCTACTACATGAAATGAGTGCTTAGTCCCAGTCCAGGTATTTCATACCCCAGGTGCTATTATCAGTGTATATATATATATATATATATATATATATATATATATATAGTCTCCAAAAAGAAAGCCAGCACTCAAGGACTTCAATGTGAAAAAATAGGCATTTAATCCAAGTGGTCAACGTTTCAGTTCACAACTGTGAACTTTCCTCAGGACACAAACTGAAACGTTGACCACTTGGATTAAATGCCTATTTTTTCACATTGAAGTCCTTGAGTGCTGGCTTTCTTTTTGGAGACTGTATTTGTGTGCAGCTGAGCACCGGGCCAAGATTTGGAGGAGAGCTGGAGTGCAAAACTCCCATCGTATTGTGTGTGTGTGTGTGTATATATATATATATGTATATATATATATATATATATATACACACTGAACAAAATTATAAACGTAACACTTTTGTTTTTGCCCCCATTTTTCATGAACTCAAAGATCTAAGGTCTATTTCTCTCAAATATTGTTCACAAATCTGTCTAAATCTGTGTTAGTGAGCACTTCTCCTTTGCCGAGATAATCCATCCACCTCACAGGTGTGGCATATCAAGATGCTGATTAGACAGCATGATTATTGCACAGGGGGCAAAAATAAAAGTGTTGCGTTTAAATTTTGTTCAGTGTATATAACAGTAGTAGGATAAATCACGTTTGCAGCAAATGATAAATGTGCTGCTCAGATATAAGTAGAAATGCTCAAATACCGGGCATTATAAACACGGAAGCTTGCAAACTCCAGCTCATTGCGAGAGGGAATAAGTGGGGCACTGTTTATAGTCCCTCTGACCATATCAGAAGACTGACCATATCAGGTGAGAAATTAGTTCCTCTTCCAGTAGAGGACCATAGTAGCAGCAGAGGTGAAACATATTCACAGTATTTTGTTGAAAATAAAAATGGGTAAAAAGTAACATCTGCACTGCTCAGTGTACTCTATAATACTAGATATGTTTAGATCTGGTTCTGGTCATAGCTGATCCTAAGGACTGTTATACTTCTGAGTAAATATTAATTATCAGATGCTTTAACTCTGCCTTACATTATAGCATGAATAACCACACTGCTGCACCATATGTTAAAACTAAAAACACTGTATTCATTCTTCTAAATAGTGAGTTTGGTGACTTGTGAAATTAAGGTAAAAAAAAACAGACTTGGAAAAAATAACCCTGTTGGTTAACTTGGGGACTTCTTTAAATTCTCTGAATTATGAAATAAATGTATTTTTAAATGGGATGGAGGGGGTGGTGGGTTGCATCTATACATTATAAACCAGCTGTCTAACAGTAAATATAATTATTTTTATTGTTTGTTATTTGTTAGTTACTAAAGTAAGGATTCAAAGTGAATTTTTAATTAAAGTGCCAGAGTAGCCAAACTTGAAAGCATATTTTAATCAGAGATCACATTCCCATATGTTATGGCATTGCTATTATCAGTGTTAGAGTGGGATAAATGGGCAATATACCAGAGCAGAATGACCACTACAAACATCTCCCCTGACTTACTGATTATGTGTGCAAGTAATGTCAACTACTGATTCACTCCCTGTGCTTTTAATAGATTTAGGTTTGTGTTTTCCAACTCCCTTTAAGATCATTCTTCCCATTCTAATGAGAATTGTAATATAAATCTGTAAGTCATGATATTTATGAGAGCCATGGCGAGAACTAGACTTTGGCTTCCTACAATTCCTTGGGCATAGCTTCACACAAAGCATTGTGGGAATACAAGGATGTGCACAATCCATAGCAATAGTTTTGGCTAATGCATTTAATGTATATATTAGCTGGTGATCACGCTATCTCGATGTACCTTAAACATTATAACTCTAAATTCACACATTTTTAGATGAGCGGTCCAGTTTAACCTTTTTTTTACAGCAGCAATTTTTCCAACCTCAACTTCATTTTATAATTTGTCGTGAGGTTTTGGAAGGTAATCTGTTAAATTCATGCACGGCTACCAAAAACCTGTGGAGTAATATAATATAACGTTGACATAATATGGTACCACGCGGGGAGATATGTTAACTCTCACAGCTGTATAATGATACATAATGGCAAGATAGAATGGCAGAATAGCAAGCAGAACAAAGTAATATCGTGCAAGGCTATATAATAACATGCAGAGAATAGAATGCAACTAGTAAAGTGGATTTATTTTATCATCTGTAAAAAAAAAAAAATATCTCTCTCTTTTATTCTCCAATCATTTCCATAGCAGAAACACTTTAAGACATCAAGGTAACAGAATATGGTAAAAGATGTTGGAATAACATGAATTATATTCAATATTTTACAAGGTCATACAATAAGGTGTTTTCCTGCCTGGGAATATAATAGTCACTAATGAAAGTCAAGACACATGGAGCTGTAGTCACTCAACAGCGTATTGTACTGGATTCACAACTGAGTTACAACATTTTTAGACCATAATAGCAATGGTTTAGAAAAAATTCCAGACTGACTATTTGGGCCAGGCCTGTATTATTTTGCCAACTCAACACAGATTGATGTTTAGTAAATATAGTATAATAAAATACAATGGATGATACATAATCCAAAAGAATAATGACTTTCGTGGGTTAATCAATCAATACAAAATGGTGGATGTGTCTTGTGAGGTCGTGTTACACAGTTGTTTATTTTCATGGTTCATACATATATTAAATTCCACTGACATAGAGCCTGTGACCGTAATGGTAATTACTACAACCGTGCTGATGTAGATATATATATATAATGATAGTGATTGAATGACCAGTTCAATTTAATTAAAAACAGTCATGTAATTATTTTTCTTTTAGCACCTGGGATTATATTTCAGAATTGAATGCTTCTTTACTATAGCTACAGCTATCTAAAAGAAATAGCTGTGCAGTGTATTTTTGTCTTTATTTTTCTATTTGTTGTTAATTTATACAGTAATTTATATAATAGACCTTCATAGTAACAGTATATTAACACAAAGCAAAGTAATGAATAGGTAGGAAATGAATGTATTTTTTTTTTAAATGGATTTCTCTTTTTATTTTTTAACAAGAAATCTTTTTATTTTTCCTAGTTGTCAATCTTCTTTGAAACAACCCACACAATTACTGCTTAGATATTGTGCTTATTATAATATCTATTGCTTAATGCAGTGTTTTTCTACTCCTGATTTGGGGCCCAGAATGGTCCCCATGTCATTTTAATGGATTCTACTGGTTAGAACAGGCACATCATTGCTACAAAACCCCAGGTAACTGTCCATTATATGTTTACTCAATGTCTCTGCCTCCACAATGCAATGGAAACCCTATCATACTGGGAAAAGTCTAATTAAGATGTTTTGCAACATTGATTTTAATGTTAATTATAATACATGTCAGAAATAAGTCACTGAGCTGATTTTCAGTTGAAAGAGGGCTCTCGGAGTAGATGCCAGGTACATAATATGGGAACCTGTCAAAAAAGAATCACTGGCTGAAAGCTACCAACAATATATTAGTGTAGGATTCTTCTTGATATGGTAATGTGCCAATATTTTGCAGGCATTTCTAACTTGACAACAATCCCCCAATACTATACATTGGGGTGCTCTATATGCCGTTATGTGCCCATTCTGTGACACAGTATTGATATCTAGGTGGGTATATTCCTATGATTTGACAACTCAGCATTGATACCTGTGTGAGTGTATGCCTGTTCTGTAGCTCAGTATTAATAGCTATGTGGCTATGTACTCATTCTCATGAATAGTATTGCCCTCTGTGTGGTCATATGTCCATTTGGCAGCACTGTATTTATATCTATGTGTGAGTATATGCCGATTTTGATAAGTAAATGGACATATGGACATCTTGTGGCACCGTATTTATATCTATGTGTGAGTATATGCTCATTCTGTTGCACAGTATTGATATGTGTGTGAGTATATATTCATTCCGTGCACTGTGTTGATATGTGTGTGAGTACATGCTCATTCTGTGGCACAGTGTTGATGTGTGTGTGAGTACATGCTCATTCTATTGCACAGTGTTGATATGTGTGTGAGTACATGCTCATTCAGTGGCACTGTGTTAATATGAATGTGAGTATATGCTCATTCCGTGGCACAGTGTTGATATGTGTGTGAGTATATGCTCATTCCGTGGCACAGTGTTGATGTGTGTGTGTGGGTATATGCTCATTCAGTGGCACTGTATTGATATGTGTGTGTGAGTATATGCTCATTTCGTGGCACTGTATTGATATGTGTGTGAGTATTTGTTTATTCCTTGGCACTGTGTTGATATATTTGAGTATATACTCATTCTGTGGCACTGTATTGATATGTGTGTGAGTATATGCTCATTCTGTGGCACTGTGTTGAAATGTGTGTGAGTATATGTTCATTCCGTGGCACTGTGTTGATATGTGTGTGAGTACATGCTCATTCTGTGGCAATGTATTGATGTGTGTGTGAGTAAATGCTCATTCTGTGACAGTGTTGATATGTGTGTGAGTATATGCTCATTCTGTGGCACTGTGTTGATATGTGTGTGAGTATATGCTCATTTTGTGGCACTGTATTAATGTGTGTGTGAGTATATGCTCATTTCGTGGCACTGTATTCATATGTTTGTGAGTATATGCTCATTCCGTGGCACTGTGTTGATATGTGTGTGAGTACATGCTCATTCTGTGGCAATGTATTGATGTGTGTGTGAGTAAATGCTCATTCTGTGACAGTGTTGATATGTGTGTGAGTATATGCTCATTCTGTGGCACTGTGTTGATATGTGTGTGAGTATATGCTCATTCTGTGGCACTGTATTGATGTGTGTGTGAGTATATGCTCATTTCGTGGCACTGTATTCATATGTTTGTGAGTATATGCTCATTCCGTGGCACTGTGTTGATATGTGTGTGAGTACATGCTCATTCTGTAGCAATGTATTGATGTGTGTGTGAGTATATGCTCATTCTGTGACACAGTGTTGATATGTGTGAGTATATGCTCATTCTGTGGCACTGTGCTGATATGTGTGTGAGTATATGCTCATTCTGTGGCACTGTATTAATGTGTGTGTGAGTACATGCTCATTCTGTGGCACTGTGTTGATATGTGTGTGAGTATATGCTCATTCAGTGGCACTGTGTTAATATGAATGTGAGTATATGCTCATTCCGTGGCACAGTGTTGATATGTGTGTGAGTATATGCTCATTCCGTGGCACAGTGTTGATGTGTGTGTGTGGGTATATGCTCATTCAGTGGCACTGTATTGATATGTGTGTGTGAGTATATGCTCATTTCGTGGCACTGTATTGATATGTGTGTGAGTATTTGTTTATTCCTTGGCACTGTGTTGATATATTTGAGTATATACTCATTCTGTGGCACTGTATTGATATGTGTGTGAGTATATGCTCATTCTGTGGCACTGTGTTGAAATGTGTGTGAGTATATGTTCATTCCGTGGCACTGTGTTGATATGTGTGTGAGTACATGCTCATTCTGTGGCAATGTATTGATGTGTGTGTGAGTAAATGCTCATTCTGTGACAGTGTTGATATGTGTGTGAGTATATGCTCATTCTGTGGCACTGTGTTGATATGTGTGTGAGTATATGCTCATTCTGTGGCACTGTATTAATGTGTGTGTGAGTATATGCTCATTTCGTGGCACTGTATTCATATGTTTGTGAGTATATGCTCATTCCGTGGCACTGTGTTGATATGTGTGTGAGTACATGCTCATTCTGTGGCAATGTATTGATGTGTGTGTGAGTAAATGCTCATTCTGTGACAGTGTTGATATGTGTGTGAGTATATGCTCATTCTGTGGCACTGTGTTGATATGTGTGTGAGTATATGCTCATTCTGTGGCACTGTATTGATGTGTGTGTGAGTATATGCTCATTTTGTGGCACTGTATTCATATGTTTGTGAGTATATGCTCATTCCGTGGCACTGTGTTGATATGTGTGTGAGTACATGCTCATTCTGTAGCAATGTATTGATGTGTGTGTGAGTATATGCTCATTCTGTGACACAGTGTTGATACGTGTGAGTATATGCTCATTCTGTGGCACTGTGCTGATATGTGTGTGAGTATATGCTCATTCTGTGGCACTGTATTAATGTGTGTGTGAGTACATGCTCATTCTGTGGCACTGTGTTGATATGTGTGTGAGTATATGCTCATTCTGTGGCACTGTGTTGATGTGTGTGTGAGTATATGCTCATTCTGTGGCACTGTATTGATGTGTGTGTGAGTACATGCTCATTTTTAAATTGATGAATGTGCTGGACCACGTTTTTAACTCTGAGTTTTTATTTGCAGCTCTGTGAGCCCCACCATTACCTTGTGACATTGTCCACCTTCCCCTGTTTGTATCAGTTCTCTCCTAAAAATTGCATTCTTACAATGTACACTAGTCTCCTGGTGGATTAGTTATATCTGTTTTCCTGTGTTAAATTGTAATTGTAACCGCCTTATGGTTTACTTGTATTGGTTTTCCTGTGTGTTACAAGGTAACAATATCTTCCTGACCGTTAAGTTATATCTGTTTTCCTGTATGTGAAATTGTAACAATATCTTGGACATTTTTTTCAAATAAATAAAACAAAACATTATAGATATATATATAGTGTAAGTTAGGTTTAACAAATTCAGAAAGAGGAAATAGTAAAGAATAATGCAGAATGTGTGCTATATGACTAAATACGGACATTGTGGGGGAAAAAGCCAAACCTGAAATAGAAAAGTGTCAGTGGGAAGTGAATAGTGTACATATAAAGCTTCCTTCTCACTTGTGTAACAGAGGCTTGGCTGGTCTGAGACTGCCCTCTGCTGGTCAGTTTTTGTGATATTTTACTTATGCCTTAGCTAACTAGTCTATATTCTGTATAATTCACACCATGAATGCAGATTGCCCAACAATATAACATTTTACATTTCACATGTATTGTAAATCTTATTTATATGAATTGCTGTGCATTTTGTTTGTGTTGCTAATAATAATAAATCTATGTATGTCAGTCAGTACGTGAGTATCTCTATCTGCATTAATACATCTGTGTGTGTTCCTTTTATTTGATAGTAAGAGTCAGTCAATAAGAGTCTGTGGGAAGAAACTCTTAACCATTATTAGGGTGGCTGAAAATTATGTGAATTTAGGTTAACACTGGCATTCTGTCACAGCTAGCACATCTCCTCTTAAAGGAAGGAATCTTATATAAAATAACGATCACGGGATTTCAATTCAGCTTAGTAGTGGTTTCATATTATCTCTACCATAAAACTCATTGGCCTTGTGTGTGCGTCAGTCTGTCCATGTGCACATATGTGATTAGTGTGTGAGTGTGTGTGTGTCATGGCATGTGTATGCGTTTTTTTCTTTTTTAACATTATGTGCGTGTACAAAGGGTCAGTTCTCTTCATGATTGGCCAGTTCTGTCTCCATGGTAACTGCAAGGATGCAGACACTGGGCTGCTTGTAATGTCTTCGATGAAAAGGACCAATGTGGACATTATATCATGTGACCTTACTAACCAATCTGGTCAGAAAAGCCAGTCTTGCCTGAGCTGCGCTTCGTGGAAACAAGCAACAATTAGAAGCCTAATAGAATCTGACCAAGTCTACGTAACCCACAGAAGAGCTATCCAGAGTAAACACAGCTCTAAACCATTCACAATGAATGATTATACATAGCAGACAATAAAGTATTATAGTCACACAGGAAGAAAAGAAATACTCTCTTTGACTGTAGTATGGGAGATACAGGCCTAGATTTAGGAAGTGATTACATTTTTCTTGAAAACACTATATTATTATATAGAGAAGGTCTTTTATATTTCAGATACCTCAATAATACAATCCCCTAGAGTCAAATATAAAATGTCAATGATTCTCACTAAAACTGTACCCCTCCAACAGGAGTGCCAGCTTTGCTGTGAAATGATGAATTGTGTATTATTGTTATCAGGTAGAGAAGTGAGATAAGATATTTGATATTGCCTCATTAGAAATCATCAGATCTCACATTGAATATGTAATGTGGTTATGAGTACCCTTTCATAGGAAAGATATGACAAAGCACTAAAGATTTCAAAGACATACAACAAAACAAATTAGAGGAATTGAAGAGTTCAGCTGTAAGCATATTCTTTCTAAATTGGGTTTGTTTACGCTGGAGAAAAGGCAAACATATGATATAATTATTATAAAGGTCAATATAAACATCATTCTAGGGGCTCTTCATACATATAAATTTAAAGGAGACATAGGGGAATCCTTTTAAAGGAGACTGCAGTTACATTGCAGGGATAATGCATTAAAAATACATTATAATTACAATTCATTTGCAGCAAATCCTCACTATATAGTGCTTTTGCAGTGACAGCTACACAAAACTATGAGTTAGGTTACCTCCATAGCTTTCAGAAAGAGAGCAGCACATATTCCATAAAGCCCTCTACATGCACAATAGATCCCATTGCATACAATTTGATTTTACTTGCATTAGTAGTTCTACTGATTGTTTTTTCATGAATGAAAACATATGACTGGGTGTATTGCAGATGCAACCATACAGGGTAATAATAGTTTAGGTTGCTTGAGGCAAAAAACTGCAGCAGGAGTTCCAATGGTTCTGGTTTGAGCAAGGACTCTTAATTAAAACATTTGTGGTGTAATAAGTCCAGCAGTCTTCACAGACTGGAGTAGTGTTTTTGCGCTCATTAATTCTGATGTAAGAATAATTGTTACATACATTCCCATTTCATTGGGGGAATATCTTAGTCATTGACATGTATAATACAGAATGCAATTTCGTATGGTCAGATTCCAACCACTTCTAAACACACATTTTACTATCACAATCATACAGCTCATAATCTGAAAAATATAAAAATGATGACGTCTACAAAACTAATCTCAGACACTTTGTAGGAGTAAAATGGATGGGATGATTCTAGACCATTCTAAACTGCAGTTTAGGGCTAAATAATGAATTTAATTCCATATTCTTTGCGTGAGTTTATTCTACAAGGAGGTCCCCCTTCACTATCTACTTTTAGTAAATTTTACTTTACAGCAGTAACACCTCACTCAAGTATGCCAATGGTTTTTCATGGCCATACAAGAACTTGTATGGTGTGTACCTGCTATAAATTGTAAATGAGCTTCCTAAAACCATGAATGGAGTTACATAAAAACTGACTGTAGCAGTACCTTGTGTGCTATCAGTGTGAAAAACAATGTCATCCAGCTTTTCTACTGAATGAAACCACTGCCAAGTGTGGAAATACATATTCCATAAAATCTCAACTGAGCACGAATGATCTATATGTTTAGTACAATGAGGAGGCCAGGATTGGCTGAAAGTTGTGAGCAACTTTGAATTGTGGGAAGAGCTCAATTTAGGAAACTATACAACCTGGTTATTTGCTGCAAACACACAAGTTTCCAAATTGAGGATCTTTTTTTTATTTCCTTAAATTAAATATTTTCCTTTTTGTTTTCATATATTGCCTCTATAATACATAAAAAATGTGAGGTCATCTGTGGCTTGCAGTGACCCATTGAATGTTATACTTTTTCCTGATATCTGCAACCTTTATAAATGTAATTTGCACTAAGCAAAGTTGCCCAAAAAAGCCATTTGTGTCCTGAGCTTTTTTCTCAATTGACTGGTTTCTCCTCTGGCTGTATGTGTTACTCTTGACAATCAGTATCTCTTGTTCTATATCAATAGAGTCCAAGCAGCCATTATTCATCTAGCAGATGAATTGTACATGGAAAGTTTTAGGAGACAAAGTAAGCGTTCTCTTTCACCTTTCCATTGTGTTGGAAAATCCCCAATGCTATGCAATATCCGTAAGAGCACTCTGATTGATTGGCCAAGGGTGAGAGCCAGGGAGGTCCCTATTTGGGGCCTGAATTTCAAAATCCGGACATTGTTAAATAGTGTAAAGAATGTCTGTATTTGCAGTCCGAATGGCCCAGATAGTTTTGCCCCATTCGGTGCAAGGCCATTCAGATTTTATATATGCAAAGGCTTGGCCTGCAGTTGTGGGCGGGGCATGTTACCCTACTTAAACCCCCCTACTCACCTTCAGCCGTCCCGTACGTGATTTTAGCGATTTGCATGTCCTGGGGCCTGCTGTTTCCACGCTGTTCGTTTGTCCCCGGTCCTTCTGGGCTCTGCTCTGGCTCTCTTGTTGTCCCTGGCACTCCGAGTTTCAGCTGTCCGTCCTGACGTCCTTTTCTGGTTTGTGAGTTACTTACCCTGCCGTCGCGCCGCGGTTGCAGTCCAACGGCGTCTTCACGGTTTGGGTGTCTCCCCTCCCCCCCAATCCTTTTCGCATATTTTCGTTTGATTTCCTCAGGTCGTTTGCCCGTTCATGAGTTTTATTAATCGTTCCTCTTGCTGGTTGGGTCACTTACACATGTTTTTGCGTTCGCCTGTTTCCAGGTGCGAGCTTCCCACGAACCGCAGCTGGCAATTGCAGCACACGTGCGATAGGCACTCGGACGCCAGCTATACATGGTACAGATAGCACTAGTTCATGGCTCCCCCAGTTAATACAATGGCTCGGTCTTTATATGTGTGCATTGCAGGATATTACATTTGGTTTGTAAGAAATATTTAATTGGTTTAGTTTGGCCAATTTTCATCCCTGTGATGTTTTGGTTCATATGAATTTCCCATGCCATTCAGGGGACAGAGACTGGTGTACACATGCAATCCATAAACATTTTTTTTTTTTTTTACCAATATGTGGTTAAATTGGTTCTGCAGCAGCAGGGATTAATAAACAGGGGAAACCTGTTCTGGAAAGCCCCTTGCACATAGAGTGGTAAATCACCCCCCTATTCTCCAATTATCTATAAATGTGCCTATCCATTTCAGCTATTTGTGTAACATATATGGCTAAGCCTATGGTAGTGAGCAAGTCCCATAATTATTGATCAGTTTAACAAACATAGTGAGTGTCAATTTATTCATCTCTCCAGTAGTGCAAGATAATCCATGGTGCTGGGAGATCGTAGATTTTTTAGTCAGAAGGTACTCGGGTGGCAGAAAACACAACGGCATGCACTTATGTTCCCTCTGCATAATGCTGTATGCTTCCTATAACCGTATCCTTTTGCATCCTAGAACATGATTGGAGTTTCCTTACATACCTTGCTTTCCATACTATCTGACACGTGGGGGTTCGGTCACTGAATTGGTGTACTATAGTGGATTGCAATCCGCATCTCTAAACATTTAGGCTAGTATATCCGTTTATGACATGGAGTGATTTACCGGTTACACGACTTTGCTTTAATTTCCACGATCTCGGAATTTCATTACTCGCGCTTTCCTGCTTGATAAATTGTTATGGTCTATGGGGGATATTCACTAAACAACCACAACAGGATTTGAAACATTCCTATTTACTTACAGCAAACCCGTTTTCGTCCCACGGAACATCCTAAGTTAGCTGTGGCTGGCTGTCAGGGTCGTAGGTGTCCACTAGTTGTAATTCCCCCTGGCTTCTTTGCCTTAGGTTAGTGGTCCTGCGAGGCCAACACCCATCCTCATACTCGGAGGTACTACACCCCTCGGGCCAAATCATAGTTAGTCGCCTCGCATTGTGGCATAGAGAGGGCCTCACCTGTCACTCCCATTCTATCTTATGTTTATACTGTCACCGAGAGGCCAACACCCTGCCACAACGTTCAGCGGCCACGTTATCCCCTCGCGCCAACGCATAGATAGAGCCTCTCACGCCGCTTGGCATCTAGCAGGGCCTCACCTGTCACCAAACCTAGTCTTAATTGTTTTGCCTTTTTGGCATTAGCTAGTGTGCCAGCACACACACAAACACACGCTCACACTCACACATACTCGCACTGGGTCTCGTGGGCCCCGTGGGCTTTGTATCAACTCGTAGTTCTATTACCTATTGCCGGGCATGCTCTATACGGCCAGACCACCTGGTCTCTGTCGTGCTTACTCTGCACTTCAGGGTAACTAAAATTATAGATCAGGGTGGTGCATTAGACATTGCTTACCTAGATTTCAGTAAGGCTTTCGACACTGTTGCACTTAGAAGGATTATCAATAAACTGCAATCTTTAAGTTTGGATTCCAATATTGTTGAATGGGTAAGGCAGTGGCTGAGTGACAGGCAACAGAGGGTTGTAGTTAATGGAATATATTCGAAGCTTGGACTTGTCACCAGTGGGGTACCTCAGGGATCTGTACTTGGACCCATTCTCTTTAATATTTTTATTAGTGATATTGCAGAAGGTCTTGATGGTAAGGTATGTCTTTTTGCTGATGATACTAAGATATGTAACAGGGTTGATGTTCCAGGAGGGATAAGCCAAATGGCAAATGATTTAGGTAAACTAGAAAAATGGTCAGAATTGTGGCAACTGACATTTAATGTGGATAAGTGCAAGATAATGCATCTTGGATGTAAAAACCCAAGGGCAGAGTACAGAATATTTGATAGAGTCCTAACCTCAACATATGAGGAAAGGGATTTAGGGGTGATTATTTCTGATGACTTAAAGGTAGGCAGACAATGTAATAGAGCAGCAGGAAATGCTAGCAGAATGCTTGGTTATATAGGGAGAGGTATTAGCAGTAGAAAGAGGGAAGTGCTCATGCCATTGTACAGAACACTGGTGAGACCTCACTTGGAGTATTGTACACAGTACTGGAGACCGTATCTTCAGAAGGATATTGATACCTTAGAGAGGGTTCAGAGAAGGGCTACTAAACTGGTTCATGGATTGCGGGATAAAACTTACCAGGAAAGGTTAAAGGATCTTAACATGTATAGCTTGGAGGAAAGACGAGACAGGGGGGATATGATAGAAACATTTAAATATATAAAGGGAATCAACACAGTAAAGGAGGAGACTATATTTAAAAGAAGAAAAACTACCACAACAAGAGGACATAGTCTTAAATTAGAGGGACAAAGGTTTAAAAATAATATCAGGAAGTATTACTTTACTGAGAGGGTAGTGGATACATGGAATAGCCTTCCAGCTGAAGTGGTAGAGGTTAACACAGTAAAGGAGTTTAAGCATGCGTGGGATAGGCATAAGGCTATTCTAACTATAAGATAAGGCTGGGGACTAATGAAAGTATTTAGAAAATTGGGCAGACTAGATGGGCCGAATGGTTCTTATCTGCCGTCACATTCTATGTTTCTATGTTTCAGTTGCGGTCGGCCCTGCGGTACTTCCTCGTTCACCTCACATTTTCAATACACGTTCATCAATTCCGTCCTTTCTTACGCTACCTTTTCTCCCCTCTTAGTTAGCTGTGGCTGGCTGTCAGGGTCCTAGGTGTCCACTAGTTTTACTCCCCCCTGGCTTCTTCGCCTTAGGTTAGTGGTCTCGCGAGGCCAACACCCATCCTCATACTCGGAGGTACTACTTGGGCCAAATCATAGTTAGTCGCCTCACATTGTGGCATAGAGAAGGCCTCACCTGTCACTCCCATTCTATCTTATGTTTAACTGTCACCGAGAGGCCAACACCCTGCCACAACATTCAGTGGCCACGTTATCCCCTCACGCCAACGCATAGATAGAGCCTCTCAACGCCGCTTGGCATCTAGCAGGGCCTCACCTGTCACCAAACCTAGTTATTAATTGTTTCGCCTTTTTGGCATTAGCTAGTATGCCAGCACACACACGCTCACACACACACATTGGGTCACTTATGCTCTGTTTCTTTGTCTCTTCACTCTGTGGAGTTTCGGCTACTCCTTCCTTCTTTTCGTGTCCCAGTCTCTTCCTCGCTTCGCTGCGGTTCTCGCAAGTCCACCTTTTCCCTCCCCGGCAGCCTTTCGGACAGCTGAACTCTCAGCGTCTGTCCGCCTCCTCGGGTTACGCTGTTGCTGGAGGGGGCCCCGATTTCTCTCTTCTCCGCTACCGTTGTCTATGGGGCGGTTTCGGATGGCAACTTGGGTACTTGGCGTCTGCCGATCTGGCTGGTTCCGAGACAGACTTCCTGCATCTTTTTCATACGATCTCTCCTGTGCCTCCTCTACACTTTCCACATGGCTCTGCCTGCGGCCTCTCCCGTAGCCGCTGCTGTTCCCTGCGTTTCGCGGACTGCCAGCCTTGTTAGCTCGTGGTCGTCATCTTTCACGTCTGGCTCTTTCTACTGGTACTCGCGGTACATGTGTTAGGGCCTTCTCCTTTGAGGCCTTTTTTTTTTTTTTTCGGGTATACTGTTAATGTCTCTTTTGCTTTGTTGTCTGCATTTGGTTTTCTCTTCTTTTGCCACCTCTAACTTGCATCAACTCTACCTATCCGGATTACAACTTCACATGTTGTACAGGTTTACCATTCATAAGCAGTTTTCATGTCCGCATACCAAATTAGTACCTTACACAAGACATTTCCGGTTCCCGGGACAATTTCAAATCTTACAGATTGACCATCTGCATCCAATTATTTCAATCACTGTCAGACCTATTAGAGGCCTGTCCTTATGAACCAGGCACCAACCTTTAAATGTAGGGTAATAACTGCTTGATCCAAGGATAAGTCTGACTGCCATTCTGGGGTCAAGAAGGATTTTTTTCCCTAGCTTGTTGCAAATTGGCAGTGCTTCAAACGGGTTTTACGGGACATACTTACTATTCTTTGGTTCATTGATCCTGATGCTAGAGTTATCCGTCCTACTGTTCTGGTCATCCATCTAGGATAGGGTGGCATCCATGGCTTCAGTATAGTTCATTTTGGTCCATATATTTAATCTATAGGCAATGGAAGTTCTCAGCATACGTATATGTACCACGTACCACCAAGACTTTCGACAGGCATTTACCATATAGCTAGGCAATTAAGGTTTTCTTATCAGTTGTTGATTGTTCTATGTTTCTGGCATGTATCAATTTTTGCCCTCTTTTATTACAGGCCTGCCGCGACGTCGGTTCCGGCACACCTCAACCGCCTTATTTCCCCCTTTACTATGCTACTCTTGGTACGCTTCCTATACGGCCTTATTTGCCCCTCACACAAATGCAACGGCTTGGCCTGCAGTTGTGGGAGGGGCATGTTACTCTACTTAAAAAAACCCTACTCACCTTCAGCCGTCCCGTACGTGATTTTAGCGATTTGCATGTCCCCACCCTCTACTCCCTCTATCTATATTTTTCATTACACCTCATGGGTGGGCCCTCTATTATTACAGGCCTGCCGCGACGTCGGTTCCGGCACACCTCACCCAACTTATTTTCCCTTTTACTATGCTACTCTTGGTACGCTTCCTATACGGCCTTATTTGCCCCTCACACAAATAATATTTTGGAGCTGATATGCACAATGTTTTTTAAAAGCGTGGTAAAGGAAGTTAAACTTTGCAGCATTTTAATTCTTCAGATTAGAGAGGACGGAACCTCATGCTTAATGTGACACTATAGTCACCAAAACAACTTCAGCTTAATGAAGCAGTTTTGCTGTTTAGAATGTTCTTATCTCCTGCTCTGTTAACAGCTTGCTAGACTCTACAGAAGCCTCCTGTATGTAATACAAGCTAAATTTACAGAGCAGGAGATAACACTTTTAAAGTAAGTAACATCTAATTGAAAATGAAAGCATTTTGTTTTCATGCAGGCTGTGTCAGTCACAGCCATGAGAGGTGTGGCTAAGGCTGCATAAACAGAAACAAAGTGATTTAACTCCTAAATGGCAGATAATTGAGCAGTGAGACTGCATGAGCATGATACTTACATAAAACTGATTCATTAAGCTAAAGCTGTTTTGGTGACTATAATGTCCCTTTAAATTGTTCTTTCAACTGTAAGTCAGCACAAGTGTCTAAACCAGGGGTGGCCAAAGGGTGGCTTCTGAGCTTTTTTAAAACTTAAACATAATAGCAAAATAGCAGATGCAGTTCTTCAACAGGGGATTATTTCTGTTGGCCAGTTCTGGTTCGAACCAATGTGCATGTCTCTTTATACAAGACTTGTGAGACTTCATTCATTCTTGCATAAAAGTAATGAAATTAACTTGAGCATAGATCTATAGTAGTAATGTATAGTACTTGAGTATATGTCCTTCACATTGAGGAAGGCTTCAGCTTTTATTTAAGAAGGTAAATGACTGCCATATTAATGTGGGTCAAAAGGATAGGTCAATAAATAATTCAGTCTCAATGATTGTACATATAGATACATAAATACCTATATATTTTCAATACAGATGCTTTTCTCTAATTTTCTATAGCAGTAGAACAATTATCCATCTGAAGTGTATTTGAGATTTCTCTTCAAGTATTTTCATCTTACACTTCAGTACGATGTTTACAAGTTTGTTACACAGACATCTTTTTGACTTGGACAGAATTGCCCATTCCTTTTGCATGTATGGAGACAAAATGTCAGCTATTGTATACAATGTACATATTCAAGTACAATACTTAAATACTTGACCTCAGTTATCTGTGTCCATCCTAACTGATTTGACACCCATATACTCTCAGGTGTTCAGATTTAAAGGGAATTATAAATTATGAGAGTGAGATGAAGTTCAGCAAAGCCATATTAAACAGCCACACCTCAGGGGTGTGAGACCACTGTCCCAGCGGCCAATGAGAGTGTATTAGAGTAGTAGCAAGCAGGCAATAGATGATAATAGGAGATAGCATCCACCTAAAATTGAAAGACTGTAATCAGTAATGTAATGTTCTCAGTCTTTCAAAAGCTCTGCAGCTTAAACTGTTACTCTGAGAAATCTAAAGAACATCGCTAAGATCAGAAAAAAAACATTTGAAAAGCTAAAATTTTCTTGATTATAGCTGCAATATATGGAAAACTAGCTATTGCAAACATTTAAATAGCTTATTTCAAGACATAATATACAAATATTGTCCTGACCTGTAATCATCTGTATTAATACAGAACTGCTGGGTCTATTTTCGGTGGGTTCTGTATGGATGGAAGATTGTTTGAGTGGGTATAATATCAGTCAGTATGGTAGGATGATGTCAGTGGGTGCAATGCCAGTTAGTAGGGTAGGATGATGTCAGTGGGTGCAATGCTAGTCATTACGGTAGGATGATGTCAGTGGGTGTAATACCAGTCAGTACGGTAGGATGATGTCACTGGGTACAATGCCAGTCAGTATGGTAGGATGATGTCAGTGGGTGCAATGCTAGTCAGTATGGTAGGATGATGTCAGTGGGTACAATGCCAGTCAGTATTGTAGGATGATGTCAGTGGGTGTAATGTCAGTCAGTACATTAGGATGATGTCAGTGGGTACAATACCAGTCAGTACGGTAGGATGATGTCAGTTGCTGCAATGCCAGTCTGTGCAGTACGAAGATTTTCGTAGGTGCAATGCTAGTCAGTATTGTAGGATGATGTCAGTGGGTGTAATGTCAGTCAGTAGGGTAGGATGATGTCAGTGGGTGTAATGCCAGTCAGTACATTAGGATGATGTCAGTGGGTGTAATGCCAGTCAATATGATAGGATGATGTCAGTGGGTGTAATGCCAGCTAGTACGGTAGGATGATGTCAGTGGCTGCAATGCTAGTCATTACATTAGGATGATATTAGTGGGTGTAATACTAGTCAGTATGGTAGGATGATGTCAGTGGGTGTAATACTAGTCAGTACGGTATGATGATGTCAGTGGGTGCAATGCCAGTCTGTGCGTTTGGATGATTTTCGTAGGTGCAATGCCAGTCAGTATGGTAGGATGGTGTCAGTGGGTGCAATGCCAGTCGGTGCAGTTGGATGATTTTCGTGGGTGCAATGCCAGTCAGTATGGTAGGATGGTGTCAGTGGGTGCAATGCCAGTCGGTGCGGTTGGATGATTTTCGTGGGTGCAATGCCAGTTAGTATGGTAGGATGGTGTCAGTGGGTGCAAAGCAGTCAGTACATTAGGATGATTTTCATGGGTGCAATGCCAGTCAGTATGGTAGGATGATGTCAGTGAGTGTAATGCCAGTCAGTATGGTAGGATGATGTCAGTGGGTACAATGCCAGTCAGTAGGGTAGGATGATGTCAGTGGGTGTAATGCTAGTCATTACATTAGGATGATGTTAGTGGGTGTAATACCAGTCAGTACGGTAGGATGATGTCAGTGGGTGCAATGCCAGTCTGTGTAATAGGATGATTTTCGTGGGTGTAATGCCAGTCAGTATGGTAGGATGATGTCAGTGGGTGCAATGCCAGTCAGTACATTAGGATGATTTTCGTGGGTGTAATGCCAGTCAGTATGGTAGGATGATGTCAGTGGGTGCAATGCCAGTCAGTACATTAGGATGATGTCAGTGGGAGCAATGCCAGTCAGTACGGTAGGATGATGTCAGTGGGTGCAATGCCAGTCAGTATGGTAGGATGATGTCAGTGGGTGTAATGCCAGGCAGTCAGTATGGTAAGATGATGTCATTTGGTGCTGTCCTTGCCTCTATTATACCCTGTAATGGGAGGGACAGGGGCTGTCATTCTCACCGCTATACCCTGTGATAGGAGGGACAGGGGCTGTCATTGTCACTATTATACTCTGTGATAGGAGGGACAGGGGCTATCATTGTCACTGTTATAGCCTGTGATAGGAGGGACAACGGCTGTCATTGTCACTGTTATACCCTGTGATAGGAGGGACAGGGGCTGTCAGTTAACTGTTACAGTAATTTTTGGGAAGGTCAGGGGCTTTCATTCTCTCTGTTACTCTCTCTGATGTGGATGTTATTTATTTCTTAAGGGGCTGTCAGTACCATAACTCAGTAGTAATATGAGCTGGGAGAAACATCACTATTGTACCATATAGTGGGAGGAACAGTGGCTTTGCGTGTTATCAGGACACCCTGTGCATGTGGCCCCTGTCTGTTCAAGTCATTAGGACACATTGCATGAAAGCACAGACTCTGTGAGTGCCATCCTATTGTACCATTTGTTGGGATCAACAGGAGCTGTCAGGGTCGCTGTTATGATATGTAGGAGGACTCTTGCATATCACTATAGCACCCTGTGCATGAAGGAACAGGAACCATGGATGTCATTAGTGCATGAAGTGACAGGGGCCGTGCTAGGTGTCACTATGGCAGCCTGTGCGTGGAGGGACAAGAGCTGTGCATGTAATTAAAACACCCTGTGCGGGTTGAACAGGTGCTCTCAGCACTCTCATACCCTGAGCTGGGAGGAACCAGCTCCAAGTCTCTCTGTTATTGCAGGATGTGGTTTAAGGGACTGTCCCACGCTCCAACGAACATTACGTTTGCTTTAGAGTCAAAGTACTCAGTAATGTAACTCTGCCAACACATTTCAAATCTAGCATTAATAAACTACTGTTAACAAAAAGTTTTTATTGAGCCACTGAAAGGTGTGAGTTTAATGCCCAGTTTTGGCATGCAAGACCATGAATTATCAGTAATTCAAGGTAATGTGAAATTCAAGGAATTGGGAAATGGGAAATGGTGATACAATTGCATTTTGAGAGTCTGGTGATGTAACATGTACCCATTGAATATGATAGTATGAATTTCATACTGCTTATCAGATACTGTAAGAGTTAATCCGTTCACTATGGTACGTATGGTTTTGACATAGTGAGCCTGACACCGTGAGAGTTAATATGTTCACTATGGTACGTATGGTTTGACATAGTGAGCCTGGCACTGCAAGAGTTAATCCTCTCACTATGGTACGTATGGTTTTGACATAGTGAGCCTGGCACTGTAAGAGTTAATCTGTTCACTATGGTACATATGGTTTTGACATAGTGAGCCTGGCACCGTAAGAGTTAATCTGTTCACTATGGTACATATGGTTTTGACATAGTGAGCCTGACACTGTAAGAGTTAATCTGTTCACTATGGTACATATGGTTTTGACATAGTGAGCCTGGCACCGTAAGAGTTAATCTGTTCACTATGGTACATATGGTTTTGACATAGTGAGCCTGGCACTGTAAGAGTTAATCTGTTCACTATGGTACATATGGTTTTGACATAGTGAGCCTGGCACCGTAAGAGTTAATCTGTTCACTATGGTACATATGGTTTTGACATAGTGAGCCTGGCACCGTAAGAGTTAATCTGTTCACTATGGTACATATGGTTTTGACATAGTGAGCCTGGCACTGTAAGAGTTAATCTGTTCACTATGGTACATATGGTTTTGACATAGTGAGCCTGGCACTGTAAGAGTTAATCTGTTCACTATGGTACATATGGTTTTGACATAGTGAGCCTGGCACTGTAAGAGTTAATCTGTTCACTATGGTACATATGGTTTTGACATAGTGTGCCTGGCACTGCAATTCTTTATAGTTTACAGTTTTTTGTATTTTTTTAGTAAGCAAAAGCTCTAACACCAAATATATTATTTTAATGTTATATATTAGCATTGCATAACTGTGGGTTATTTGAAGGTTTTTATGTCTGCTGAATGTATTGTACTACACACCTATTATAGTGTGATACAGAATTACCATTGTTAAAGCTGTCAGACAGGAAAGGGTTACAAGTTGCATTTAGTGGAGGATCTTCTTGGCAGGAAATGAGTTAAATGCCACAGTTAGGCTGTCTGCATATTTCATAGGGAAGGGGTTAAATTTCACAGAAGTCTGTCTGCTTAAAGGGGAACTGACTGATTTGACACCATTGAATAAAATATAGAAAAGGCAAAAGCAGGTCAAGCATTGCAAATGAAGAGGAAAATAATGACACTGTTTCATTTCTCCTCTTCTCTCTGTGCTTTCTCTATGCTGACTACCAGGTGCAAAGGACAGAATGTTTAACAGTGACTGACAGGGAGCTAAGATGGATTTGCCCTTTTGCAAGATCAAGAGTTTTTTTTTTCTACATTTATCTTCATTTTTCCACACCTCATAAATGCCTATTTTTTACCTATATGCACAAGTAAACAAATTATTACAAATCCTGGGATGTGACATTTCCCTTTTAACAGGAGTTTGATAAATTCACCATGGGGGTCATGTGACCATTTGGTGGGCAGTCTGTCTGAGAGTGCATGGTTCAAATGGCCCCACTATGGGTAAGTTTCTCTTGCAGGGCAGGGAAGGAGATAATTCAGTTTGGGGTAGCGTTGAACACCAATAATACAGGCAGTATGTAGAATTCACATGTTGCCACAAGAAGTAAATTAAAGGAAATATGTTACTTCTCAGGATTTTTAATATTATGTTTTCTTACCAACTACATTTGTGGTCTGAAAAATAATTGTAAATACAGAAATACACACCTCTACATTTATTCTGTAACTAAGTGCCTCCATCTTGGTTTTCTGTCAGCCATTGTTATAAGCTTTCACCTTTTCTGTTGTTGGAGGTGGAAAAACAGAAGCAATGTTTTTGGTTCTTCTAATCTAATACCATTGTGTGCCCTGACAATGCCAGGACTGAGCTGGATTGTGATGTCATTTGTTAAAACTTTATTATACGGTGTATTAAACAGTTTTTTTGTTCGGTGTGCATGGCCCGTTTAGAGGTTTCCGATTGGCTTGAGAACCAGGTTAGTTTCATTATAATACACTTCCACCCCATGACACACTGTCTGGGCAGGGAGGACCTGGCTTGGCAAGAAAGCGTGAATGGAATGAAAGAATAAATACTGGAGACGACCCCAAATGAATCAGGAGTCAAGTATAGCCGACACCTCATACTCTTTTTGACCCTCGACAGAGATAGGAGGAGGAAAACAAGGTTTGGTAAACCTGTTACAAACAAGAGGTTTCAACAAGGAGTTATGGGAAACATTAGGTATACGCATATTTCTATGTAGGTTTAAGGCATATGAGACAGTATTAACCTTGCTTAGTATAAGGAAAGGACCAATGCACCAGGGAGCAAGTTTCATAGCGGGTACTGGAAAATGGATAGTACAGGTAGAAAGCCAGACTCAGTCCTCCACCACATAAGAAGAGGCACACAGGGACGTATTTGCTGCGAGGCAAACAAGGCATTTGCCTTGGGTGGCACTTTCCAGAGGGCAGCAAGAACACTGCCCCCAAATGCCCAGGCAAATACCTTGTTAGCTAGCTAAAAATCTAGGCGGACGGGCGGCACTGGCGAGGGAGCACTGATTTGTGAGCTCTCTGCTCAGCTCCCTTGCGCGCTGCAGAGTGATGCCGGGAGCCGGATAATGACATCATATTCTGGCTCCCGGCATCCCTCTGCGGCGTGCGAGGTAGTTGAGCAGAGACAGCTCACTAATCAGTGCTCCCTCGCAAGTGCCGGCCGTCCGCCTTGATTTTTAGTTAGCTGCCCAACCGCCTGCCTTCCTTCCTGTCAGAAGCCCCATTGGACCCCAGGTGAAAAACTAAAATATAAAAAGTAATCGGTTAATGTTTGGGGAGGGGACGGGCTGTCAGTGTGTGTGTGTCTGAGTGATTGTGTCTGTCTGGCTGTCAGTGTATGTCTGACTGATTGTGTGTGTTTCTGGCTGTCAGTGTGTGCCTGAGTGATTGTGTGTGTGTCAGTGTGTATGTCTGGCTGTCAGTGTGTGTATGTCTGTCAGTGTGTATCCGAGTGATTGTGTGTGTCTGGCTGTCAGTGTGTCTGGCTGTAACTGTGTGTATGTCTGGCTGTCAGTGTGTGTATGTCTGTCAGTTTGTATGTGAGTGATTGTGTGTGTGTCTGTCAGTGTGTCTGTCACTGAGTGACTGTCTGTCAGTGAGTGAATGTGTGTGTGTGTCTGTCAGTGAATATGTGTCTTTTTCTGAGTGATTGTATCTGTGAGGGCGCCTGTGTGTCTGAGTGATTGTGTGTGTGTGTCTGTCAGTGTGTGTCTATGAGTGAGTGTGTGTGTGTGTGTCTGAGTGATTGTGTATGCCTGTCAGTGTGTGTCTGCGTCATTGTGTGTGTATGTCAGTGATTGTGTGTGTCAGTGAATCAGTGATTGTGTCAAATCAGTGTGTGTATGTCTGATAGTGTGTCTGTCAGTCAAAGTGTGTGTTAGTTGTTTAACAGGAAGAGAGGAAGAGGTGTGGCATTGACAGGAAGGGGTGGGGCAAATGTAAATTAGGGGGTGCCCGAGTTCCGTCATGCCTAGGGCAGCACAGATACTAAATACATCACTGGGTGCACAACAATCGCTATCTGCCAGTAATGTCTGTCGATCAGAGAAATCCACCAAATAACGCTGAACCTGCTCCCAAGTACTTCAGAAACCTAAAAAAAGCTTAATGTTTATCCAGAACTGGCATTCCCTGTGAAGAGAAGGCAGACAGGAAGACTCATGAGTAGTGTTATTACAAGGAAACTCAGCTCTAGGAAGCAAGTTAGCCCAATCATCTTGGTGGTAAGAAACAAAACAGCAAGGATTCTCCTCCAGGCACTGATTGGCACATTCAGCAGCTCTGTTAGTCTGGGGTAGGAGGCAGAGGGAAAGGATAATGAGCAAAAGGCTGCCCCTAAATAAACTGGCTGCCCCTATGAGAAATAGATTCAGGTATGTCATGTAGTCGAAACACCTCCCTGGTGAATGGTTTTGCCAATTTTTTGGAAGTGGATAATTTGGATAGTTAGTTAAAATGAGCCATTTTAGAGAACCAATCGTACAATCTATGGGCTGGTAGCTTGTCTGCCTCTTTTTATATCAAAGATCGCTCTCAAAGACAAGAATTGCGGAGACAAATGAGGAGCTGTAGGTGCATTGATTGGATTTTCATTATACAAGAATCATGACATTTAGGACTGCATGACACTATTTTACCCGATTCCCAATTAATAGTAGGATTGTACTTAATCTGAAAAGAGGGAGAACAAATTACCTGAAATTGTATACTCTCAGTTTGTAACAACCCTTTAGACATGAGTGTAGTCACAGTTTCATCAGAGAACATAAAGGTCTACCATCTAAGGCCTCAAAGACCAAGAGTTTTTCTTTCTTCCTTAAGGGTATTTGGTATTGTTTGGCAAAGGTGAATTCTAAAAAATCCTCAGTCACATCTAAGTCAATCAAGGCTTGGATAGTAGTGATTTGGTTGAATATTCTCAATGCAGAGTAACAGTTAGAAGCAGTCTATTTAGAGGCAAGAGAGTGGACTCTAATGTTACACTCAAGGCCAGTCCCCTGAACAACCTTAGGTGCGAGAGCAAACTGGGCACTCTCTATGCCGATGATTTTTTTTGCCTTCCTGCCTCCTAAATGTTTTTTTTCCTCAGATAACTTTGTTACCACTAATTGCGTGATTGTTACCTCTGCCAAATTAGAGATATCTGGGTTTTTAATTCTGGGCATGATGGCAATTGCAGGGTGTCTATTTCTGTTCTTGGTGTATTGTCACTCTCCGATTCTGCTGTCTATATCGATCGGGTAGTCTATAAGATCCTCTAGTCACTTCTAGAATGTTAAGAGGATGTTTGATCCTCTGCATGAGGACATCCAGTGTCGGCTATTTCCCCATAGGAAAGCATTAAACCAATGCTTTCCTATGGGGAGGGCCTTATGCGCGAGCCAAACTTTCCACACATGTACATTAGCCCCCCCTCGTCGAGTGACATCAGAGGAGGCAGTGCCGCGACCCAGCGTAATATAAAGAGGAAATTAATCACATACAAGCCTAGGTCAGGATAACAGAAAGGCAGCGAAAATGAGATCTAGCCAGAGTCAGGTAAATGGCATACCATTAGAACAGGTAAACAAGTCAGAAAAGAGTTACAGAGAAATTCAGGGTCAGGAACAAAGCCAAGGTCAATACCAGAAATATCACAATGTAACAAGGAACGCACTTAAGGGTACTGAGAACAGAAGCCATGATAGGGTACAGCAATTGGGGCTAGAGGAGTTTAAATAATGTTATGTGTGGTTTGATTGATCCATATCAAGCCAGCAACCGCAGAATATGTGTGAACAGGGATACCGGGTTGATGTGCACCAGCCTGTGCTTAGAATTATGTTACATCCACCGTGTGTCTTTAATGCGAGCAGCATACTCAATGCTGGGATTTTAGTCTGGAATGGGTATATTATTCAGTGCGCTCAGCCTGTACAGAGTTTCCTGGCAGGCTTGAGGACCAGGTAAGTATCGTTACAGTTACATATCACATTTATGGGGTGAGGAGATCACTCTTTTGCTCCCTGTCACAACCAAACCTGCTACCTTTGTAATACTGACATAACATTATGCATTGTAATAATACATAACTATGTACAGAGTGCTGATACAGCCTATTCTACTTTGCTAACCTTACCACTGTGTGAATTCTGCATCAGGGAGCACGAACAACTGTGATAGGAGAAAAATTGATTATTTCCAATTTACTATGCTAAAATATGAAATCTTCAGAAATTAAAACATTTTAATCTAGCTGAGTGGTGGAAAATCAGTGAGACGTTCAGGGTTCAATGTGTTGTCACTGCAAGGGTTAATTCCACGAACTTGACAGTGCAGGGTTAACTCTGAGTGTGGGAGGGTTTGTTCCTGCTCGCTCTCTCTATCTTTCGGTATTCTACTGTATCCTCTGTGATTGCTGCTTGCATCATGGTGATCTCCAACCACTGGGCAACAGGTGAGCATAGGGCTGGTTACTATGGACCGTGGCCAAGATAGGCTGTGCATGTGCAGGTTGATGCAAGTGTTGTTTGGGAGGGACATTGTGTTGTCTGTCTGAGGTTCAAAGTGTACTAGTGTGTGCCTGCAGGAAGAAGCAATGTCAAATATACTGCATCTGGGGTGGCCCGAGTTTTTTGTTTTGTAGCAATTTAGTACATTTGGGTATAGACTTAGAAGCGCTGTGTGCATGAACATGAGAGAGTGCTGTTTATAGAAGAGGCTGATTGGGAACGGGACAGCAATAAGAAGCTATCGAGGAGTGCTTGCTGCTTTTATTAAACGTTTTCCCATCAGAGTGCAGTTTTGGAGACTTTCCTGTAGAGATAATATTTAATAAGAGAGAGGTTTTTGATTGGGCCACTATATTTGATATGTTTTATTTCAGTGTCCATATTATCTGTATAATATGTGCAGATGGGAAGACAGAGCACAGTCACATCTCATTCCAGTTCTTTACATTAGAACAATAAACACCTGGCATTGCTGCATCTCCAGTTAATTTTGGAAATGGTTTAATTCGTCCAAAGATGACCTCTGCGATGTTTCAACCTCCTTGCTTTTTGTCAAGTGGCTCAATAAAAAGGGTAGAAGCGCTGCATGGTCCACCTTTAAATGGATTAAACAGTTAGCTTATTTGTCTTATATATCAAGGCTAAATTCACAGTAATTGTGCTCTATGTGCCTCTCTTACTTTGGTAGGGCCTGTGGGTGGAGTGGTATGATTTGGCATTGAGAAGTTTAGAAAGAGTGCAATTTAGCGTTCGGCATGTGGCAAGCTCTTTAAAAGCAAGTGGACATTTTATACATTCATGGCTGAAAATGTCATGTTCTACAATACTAGCCAAGCCTTAAAAGTTGCTTGAAGCCTGGAGAGTCCATGGCATTCTCACCAGAGGTGAATTTATTGACAAGTGGTAATGTTAAGCCCTGTTAATTATTGGGGATCACTCTCCAATAATAAACAGCTCCAAACGTTTTACTGATGGAGTTACCCTTTTAGGGTAAATGCTGTTATCGCTACAAAATGTGCTTCCTAAGACAATGAGTTGGCCTCTAAATCATGCATAGATTTGTCCAGCTCTGATGATTTGTTTTGATAATTAAGAATCCAATACTAATTGCCTGAGCTTTTTCTTTTTTTGTATTTCTTGTGCACCTACTTTTTCTAGAAATGACAGTGGCTCTTTGAGATGTAAGTGTGGTGTGTTTGCTGTAAATATGCTAAGTGTGCGAGAATGATATAAGTACTTTTACTCTGATTGAGAGATGGTAAAAGCTTGCTATGTGGTAGGGCTCATGGGCAAAAACACTATGTAAAAGTTGAGTTTAATACATTTGTAATGATTTAGGTTTTGCCAAACAATAGACCCCAAAGTCTTGTAGAACTTCAACTCGAATGATTCTTGACCAGCCTTTTGGTTGGCCTACAGCATATGGCAGAGCTACATTTATGGCCATCTCTGTTGAAGAATATCTGTCTTTAGAGGCATAAAGTATATTTCATACAAATATTAAATGGACTGCATGAAAATATTTTCCTGTTGCCATGTGAAGGAAGATTGCGCTATAACACGTCATAAAATTACGTCAAGTTTTTCTGTGCGTTAGCCACCTGTTACCACTGAATTTCATCTTCATCTGCTTTTGATTGCTATCTGGTATCTGCTATGTGCAAGGGTCAAGATCATTTGCATTGCTGCTTTAAGACAGAGTAACAAATGACGGCCCTTTGTGTTGTTACTTATAGCAACAGGCACTGAGCAGTAAAATGGTTTTGCTCCTCCATGTTTACAATTGGGGAGAGAGAGGTGGAATTTGTTTACCTGTTTAATGGAGATCCTTTATTTATTAATTTTTTTAAATATAAAAAAAAAATCTCATCCTGTCCAATATGTAGAAAATGCTCACTGGACTTACTAAACTGAAAATTGTGTAGACTTGACAAGAGAAGTGCAAATTTGAAGTCAAAGTAGCTAAGCTGGGAGAACAATGGTTGAGTTGGAGAATATTTCCCAAAAATTGCAATTCTCAGGGTTTGCAATAGATATAGGGTAGTAGAATAATGCTGATGTGGAATGTGTAAAATGGTCTGGCATAATCCTTTCTCAATTTGGTTCATGGATTGCAGGATAAAATTTACCAGGAAACCAGGTGTAACCCACAATGTAGATTACGATAAGCTATACTGGTTTTGCCATGCAATGTTGCTTTTACTGCTTTTTCATATGCCTTACCTGTTAACCTGATGGCACAAACCCTCCAGTACACATAATCCGGTCTGTGGGCTACTTTAAGACTTGCTAGAGATATCCTGTTCTATTGCACTCTTAAACAGAATACAGCTTAACTATTTTCCACTTCTAACAATATAAAAATGTGCCCCAAATATGTTTGCCATACCACTGTTCTATGTATAATAAAACGCCTGCATCAGCTGTTGTGGCAATGCAGGTAGCCTGTATACAACATGCACAACAAAAATAAAGATTTAAAAAAAAAAAAAAAAATTACCAGGAAAGGTTAAAGGATCTTAACATATATAGCTTGGAGGAAAGACGAGACAGGGGGAATATGATAGAAACATTTAATTACATAAAGGGAATCAACACAGTAAAGGAGGACACCATATTTAAAAGAAGAAAAACTACAACAACAAAAGGAAATAGTCATAAATTAGAGAGGCAAACGTTTAGAATTCATTTCAGGAAGTATTACTTTACTGAGAGAGTAGTGGATGCATGGAATAGCCTTCCAGCTGAAGTGGTAGAGGTTAACACAGTAAAGGAGTTTAAGCATGCGTGGGATAGGTATAAGGCTATCCTAACTATAAGATAAGGCTAGGGACTAATGAAAGTATTTAGAAAATTGGGCAGACTAGATGGGCCGAATGGTTCTTATCTGCCGTCATTCTATGTTTCTATGTTTAAGAACAAACTGATGTATTTTGTTTTCTTGCTAATATAGCTTTTTGAGACAATATTTTTGTGTGTGTGTGTGCGTGCGTGTATCAACTTTTGTCTTTAAATGTGCACTATTTATAAGCCCAAAGAATCCATATCTATATTGTTCTACTCCCTTTTTAGATTCAGTGCCCCGCAGTCGATGCTGACTCTGTGCAGCTGCTAACTCCACCTTCTGTGAGGACATCCTGGAGGCTGTCTCTTCTTCTCTTGTCCGATCCAATGATTCTCATAGAGAAGCATTGAGGACGAGTAGCAGATGCATGGCAAGGGGCCAGTCTCTTCCAATCAAATGCTTCTCATAGGGAAGCAATGAATACAATGTGATCAGCATTAGAGGACTTTCAATGCAATGCATGAGGACATTGAAACCGAGTCTGACAAGAGCAGATGGCCACTAGACTAGAGTGTGTTTAGCCCTGCAATGGAGACATTACTGTATCTACACAGGTTTACATTGCAGGACTAAACAGGCTGCAATACTGCTCCTAGAGCACTTCACATTTTCCAGGGTCTCCCAATTTATATGAAACTCCTCCAGTGACTGTCTACTATTGAAAGGAAAGTAAAGGAACACTATAGTGTTAGGAATACAAAGCTTTATCTCTTCTTCTGTCCGTCCCATGGCAATCAAAGAGGTAAAAACTCATTTTTCACTTACCCGATTCCACCTGAAGTCCCTGAGTGCTGAAGTCCCTGAGTGCTGGCTCCATCTCCATCTCCATCTCCTCCTAGTACGTGATTGCGAGTGGGAACCCAATGTGCATGTGTGGCGAGTGCTGCACACACAGTAGGCATTCCGCAAAGGAAAGCATTGGCTTAATACTTTACTGTGAAGATTTTGAAGGCTTTGTTTCACAAAGTTAAATAAACGAGGGGCAGTCTTAACCCTGTAATGTAAAAATCTAAGTTTCTCTAAACTTCAGTGTTTTACATTGTAGGTTTAAAGGTCTGGGACACTACACCCAGACCACTCCAACGATATGCAGTGGTCTGGGTGCCTATTGTGTCTCTTTAAGCCAGGAGCTGGATGAGATCGTTTAGACAATCCCTGGTGTATATATTCTATGAAACAATAGGTCTTATTGACAAGTGCTGAACAGCAACTGTATGAGGTTTGGTTGTCTAAATCTGGCTCTTACAACTGAAAATTTGCTGTGTGAAACCTACTTCACTGTTCACAAAAGGCAAATGTAGTTATTTTAGCTGCAGCAGTAGTATAATTTGGCTGCTGTTTGGTTGGGTAACAAACACCATTAAGGTCTCTATATATGTCTTCTAATTCAAGGGTTTGATCCCAGTCCACTGATACAGACCAACAAATATACACCCTTAAACTTTAGGTCCCTAAATAACACTAACCAAGCCTCATCACAAAATCCCCATCACCGCTTATTTTCTTTTGTTTAAGTTCAATTTGTTGCCATGGAATTACAAATCTCACGGCCGCAATAAGATCCATTTGGCTTAATGCTGCATCAGTTCAATTGATAGTGAATACTTTGACCCTCAATAGATTTTCTGAAACATATTTGAATCCACAGACATCTCTTCCACAAGATGTCTTTTCCCTACAAGCTGTTGTGAGGAATGGCAGATGAGAAATTGCAAAGTATTGCAAGCTTAATCTTTTGCCATATTTTTCTAAATATTGTTCCACACAGTGCATTCTACTCTATTCTATGTATTTCTATATTCAATTGAATTCCAAAGCAATATATATGTGTTTTTTGTAAAAAATGTATGTGGAAGATTTTCAAAAAGATTTCATAAGGAGCATTATGGAAAACATGATCTGTAGTGGCTAGGGTTCATTGTAATTAGTCAAACCGTTTTAGAACGTCCTTCTATCTTACCTGGGGTAAGCCCAGAGATGCAGGGGTTAGCTCATAGGCTGATAGTGATCAGTTGACAGTCTCAGCCAATGAGCTACGTCCTGCACTGCAGGGCTTAGCTCATGAGCGTTAACAGAAGCTCCCAAACAGGAGCTTCCAGCTCTCTGTGAGTTGTAGTGGAAGTTTGACTTCTTACAATGGAGGTCACCCGGACATCCAGTGTGCTGTAATGATTATGGTGTTCGGAATATTCCTTTACGTTTGCCTAGCTTGTATGTATTTACTAATAACATTGTATCATTTTTCAAATAGAAAAGCTAGACGCATCATGCAGCACCATGATACATTCTGTTAGGTACCTTTACCAGCTGATTAAATATCTCATTTGTTTTTCTATTGTAGTTTCCTAAAATGTTGTCACTGTGAATGTTAGAACTGCAGTATTACAAAAGAGTGTAGTGTCATTACATTAAAGTGATGCTACTAGGGCTAACGTTAGCTTTAAAGGATTGAGGTGGGATTTAGGATGAATCAGATTTAGGGTAAGGGAGACTCAGGGTTAGGGGGCATGAGGTTAGGGCTACAGATGGTAATTTATAGGATCTAAAGTTATTGGTTAAAATCAGAGGGTTAGAGCTAAACACTAATCTCCCTAATTTAACTGTAATAGCACAGGATTACTGCATGGGGTCCACGGCTCTACCCTTTACAACACGGGGTACAGCAGAACATGTTATAATAAATGTTGCTATATGTTGACACGCTGTTTTCAAGTCAACCATGGGAGCAGTTGTTCTGCCTGTACCTGTGTATATGTTTAGTGCTATTTTGCTTTGTGTGTACTGGTGCGTTTTTGTTTATGTGCAAAAAGCAGGGTAACGATCTGTGTCTTTAATCCTGTCTTTGTGCATTTGTGTAACCCTAAGTATTTTTAGTTTGTCGGTAAATACTGTGTTTAGCAGGAACATGAGAAGCAGAAGTGAGATTCCCACCTCTTAACCCTTTAATTCTTCCTCCTTAACCCCAATCACCCAATTCACTAAATATTTTACTTCCCCTGTTTAGTAGCTACTCATTCTCATTTGTTGTATAATAATCAAATTACCCACATATGATTGGTTTACTATTTGCCCTTTTATCGTCTACCATCCATGTCACATGTATCTCCTTCAGTTAGTCTCCTTCTCATGCCAAATGCATAGTTCCACTCTTTTACGACTGCATCTATGACCAAATCAGACTCTTCACAGTAAAATATGTTGAGTTGCACAATGTTATTATAAGTTACAGCTTTACCCCAGATTCTGCAGGTCAAGCTACCATCTTAGCCAAAAATATTCAGTTCAGGAATTTCCTAGACACGCCATAGGATTTTCAGATGTCTTAATAATGAAGGTTAGAACATTGACACTTTGTTGGTCTTAGTGGAATTGAGGACTGTCTATGTCATCTATGTCAAAGACCACTATGTGCTGTCATTGTCATTATCACCAGCAACATTCATTCGATATTATTATTTTTAACTTTCCATTAGTCTCTACCTTCCGTTTCCGTGACTAACACCCATGTTTTTCAGAACCTTGTCTTGTCCCTTCTTAGTGTCCCATTCGTAACCTATCACAATCAATGTGTGTTCCGTAGATATTCTCCTGTCTCGTTACCCATACTTCTCACTCTCACCTTAACCCCTTTGTAATCTCATTCAATTTTAACCCCTAAATCTTCCCCATCTATTATTTCACCTAAATGTGTCACCGTGCACTAACCCTCCACCCCCTCTCATCTGTTTTACTTTCGTCTCTTCACTCTTCACTAACTCCACCAATTCCCATCTGATTTGAGGTGGTCCACCTGTCGACCTACTCGTGAGAACATTGTATGATCAGCAGCATCTTGTTGCTGGTGACCGTACAGCCTGAGACGGCACCAAGGGTCCTCACTCCCTGTTCTGAGGCCACCTCTTTGTATGGAACTCATTGGGTAGGTTATGTTACTAAGTAAATCAGATTGGGGTACTGTCACTTTTCTGTTGCAGCCTGTTTCAATCTATGCCAACTGAGCACATATTTATATCTAACTTACATTGTGTATGTGTATGGGAATAAGTATATTAACTCCCCTTTATTTCTCTCTCTCACTTCAGAAATAAGAATGTCTAAACCGGGACATCTCGGCAAATTGCACGCAGTAGGGGGTATAACAGGTAACAGGACACTCACTATGCAATAGGGCAAATTGTGGGAGCCACAGTTTGTGAGTGTGTGATAGTGAATAACTGAGGGAGCTTTTTTTGTGAGTGTGTTATAGTGATAAACTGAGGGTGATTCTCTCTCTAAGTGTGTGATAGGTTCTCACTATGAGTGTGTGATAGTGATAAACTGAGGGTGATTCTCTCTCTGTGTGTTAGGTCCTCACTGAGAGTGTGTTGTAGTGATAAACTGAGGGTGATTCTCTCTCTAAGTGTGTGTTAGGTTCTCACTGTGAGTGTGTTATAGTGATAAATTGAGGGTGATTCTCTCTCTAAGTGTGTGATAGGTTCTCACTATGAGTGTGTGATAGTGATAAACTGAGGGTGATTCTCTCTCTAAGTGTGTGATAGGTTCTCACTGTGAGTGTGTGCTAGTGATAAACTGAGGGTGATTCTCTCTCTAAGTGTGTGATAGGTTCTCACTGTGAGTGTGTGATAGTGATAAACTGAGGGTGATTCTCTCTCTAAGTGTGTGATAGGTTCTCAATGTGAGTGTGTGCTAGTGATAAACTGAGGGTGATTCTCTCTCTAAGTGTGTGATAGGTTCACACTGTGAGTGTGTGCTAGACTGTGAACTTTTTTTTCTTTTGTGTTTGTGACACTATAAACAAAACAGGTATATATCAGTGTGTCAACATATTTCACACCCATGAGTAAACACAGTTGTAATTGAAACAATGTTTGTCTTGTTTATTTAACGTCGTGTTAGTACACATTTATGAGAAATATAACATTTTTATTCACTACAGTTTCAGTATGTGTGACTCTGAGGTTGCAGTACTGTCATACATGAATTATCATAACATATTAAGGAAGTAACTCAATGTGTGTAACCCCCCATACCCTGTATTTGCGTGGGCTTAATGTTAAACTGAGGAAACCCCTGAGTGTGTGCTGTAAATAGCTTGAGGAAGCCTTTCTATAATTGGAGTGATTGTGACATAAGTGAGTAAATTACAAAATAGAGATAAATTACAGGAATAATTACAGTATGTGTGACTCTCTTAAAGTGAGTAAACCCATTTTCTATGTGCACTATTTTATATGTAATGTAAAAGACCCTCTCTTAGATCATGTAGACCAGGAGTTCCCAACCCAGTCCTCAATTAACCCCCTACCAGTCCAGGATTTAGGGATTACCCTGTTGTGTCTAAAGTGTATTTTTTTTTCTTAAAACACAACTGGTTAAACCCTAAATCCTGGACTGTTAGGGGGTACTTGAGGACTGGGTTGGGAACCGCTGATCAACCCTGACCAGGTCGGCTTTATCCCACAAAGACAGGCGCAAGATAACACGCGGAGAACCATAGACCTAATCTGGTACGCCAACCACAGACGGATCCCAACAACAATACTTTCCCTAGACGCCGAGAAGGCTTTTGATCGCCTCCTCTGGCCCTACCTCTTTGCAGTACTCCGTAAATTTGGATTCCCATCCGAATTTACTCAATTTCTACAAGCAATGTATCACTCGCCGACCGTGCAACTGCAAATACCCAACATCACCCCTCCCTCCTTCCCAATACTAAACGGCACCCGCCAAGGTTTCCCACTCTCCCCCCTCCTATTTGCCATATCCCTCGAACCCTTACTGGAGACCATACGAAATAACCCACATATCGAAGGCATCCAAGTCCGCAACAAGCTGTTCTCTGTTGCTGCATATGCCGATGACATCCTCCTGACCCTAACCAACCCCATGCAGTCCATAACTGCTCTCTTGGCAACCCTACACGACTACTCAACAATCTCAGGATACCAATTAAACGCCGCAAAATCAGACCTTATGTAGCTCAATCTCGACACATCCACCATAAACACCCTCAAATGCAGATTCCCCTTTCGTATCTGCCCAACGACCATAACATACCTAGGCATCCAAATTACCAACGACACCAACACCTTATACGCCACCAACTACCCCCCTCTCTTACACAAAGCACTCCTGGACCTTGAACGTTGGCAGCCCATGACCATCTCGTGGCTTGGGAGGATAGCCTCGATTAAAATGAACATCCTACCCAAATTCCTCTATACCTTCCAAGCACTACCCATCCCCTGCAAAAAACACGACCTCAAACTCTTACAAACAGCAATAGACCGATTCATCTGGAATGGCAGGAGACCCCGAGTCCGCAGAACCACTCTGTATGTACCAAAACCCTCCAGAGGACTAGGCCTCTCCAACCTCACACACTATCTACATGCCACCCACCTCAAACAAATCCAACACTGGCACCTTCCCCCCGCTCACAAGAGGTGGGTAGACCTAGAGCACCTCATCTTTGGTCGGGACCACCCCTCCCAATACATGTGGACCCCAAAACAGCATAGGCCTCTGCCTCCCCCCACCTCTCCAACGATTACCCATTCCTTGGACCTCTGGGATCGCCAAATTCGACCTATCTACTGGCCTATCACCCCTCACCCCAATCCTCCGTAATAAAAATGTTTCCACCCGGCCTTACTCAGAGGCACTACGCCCACTTCGGAGACAGAGAGACATAGTTAGACTAGGACACCTTTACCCCAATGGTAAACTCCTACAATACGCAGAGGTTCCTAATTCGGAATCGTTAACCACCCATGACTACTTTGCAGCATCAGACACGGTTCGCTTGGCAGCCACCTCGGCCCTGACAGGGTTTGAGAGGGATACCCTCAACTCCTCGGCCAGAAAGAGCCAAATATCAAACCTCTACACAGCCCTAACCACGCATCACACCCAAATAGCACTCCCATACATCGCAGCATGGGAGAGCGACTTGGGGCCCCCTGAGGACGCCACTGACTGGGCAGACATTTGGACTGCCACCAAATCCATCTCCACCAGCTTAACCCATAAGGAACAGGCCTACAAAATGCTCTTTAGGTGGTACCTCACCCCCCTCCGCCTAAAGGCAATGCAACAACTTCCCAACAACTTATGTTGGAAACTGTGCGGCGATGCTGGCCCGTTTCTCCACTGCTGGTGGACCTGCCCCAAAGTCGCTCCCCTATAGACAACGCTAACTACACTCTTAACCAGATTACTTAACAAACCAGTACCTCTAGACCCTTTGGCCCTTCTCCTCTCCAAACCCATCGACATCTTCACTCGTAACGAAAACAAACTCATTGCCAGAATAGCCCTAGCCACCCGAAGAGCAATAGCGGAAACATGGTCCACACCGCGCATCCCAACCCAACTGCAAATACACACTAAAATAACTGACAGCGTAAACATGGATAAGCTGACTGCACAAACACATGACACCCCCAACTCATTCCACAAAGTGTGGGACCCATGGCTGGAAGGGAACATTACTCTCCCATGGTGACCCGCGGCAATCCCACCGACCAACACCACCCAAGCAAAACCACAACATGATGCAAATCTGAGGCTCGCCCCCCCCTACCGCCCTAAACCTACCCCATTCCACAAAGGGCCTTGAGGGGTACCCAAGAGGGCAGCACCATCCTGCCTTTTCTCTCCCACAACACCCCCCACCCCAGTCTCCCACACACCCACCTTACCCGCCCCATCGCCCCCTTGAACAGTGAAAACGACACACCCAATGGGCTCTGCTGACTCAGCCTCTCCCAACAAATCTACTCCAGACAGCAACCCTCAAACCAGCCACTCCTCCCCCCCCCCCAACAGACTTGGACTAACATCTCTGGCTCAGCTGACTCACAAGTTAGGCCTCCCTTAGACAGGTTAAGCATCAACTATCTCGCTGTATTTTATTTAACTTCACGCTAACGATTTAACTGTTTAGCCAAGCTTGCTAAAAATATAAAATTGTGCAGACTCTCATGCCACTGTTTAACAATTGTATATCTTGCAATAAGCTGCTGTGGCGTCTGTTGATTCCTTGTACCCACCTGCACAGCAAAAAAAAAGAATAAAAAAAAAAAAAAAGTTAGGCCTCCCCCCTCAGCCATACCAGGCGACAAAACGGACCATTGCCTAATCTGAGACCACACGAGACACCACCACACACCGGTCCACAACAGACGGTATAACACACACTCTCGGAGACTTCAATGCCAGACCTACCCACGGACAACTCAATGTTATCCCCCACTGTTCTTACCCACCTAACCATTTATTCTTTTTGTAAGAATGTTTACTTGACCTATGAAATGAAAATAAAGAATTATCAAAAAAAAAAAAAAAGAGACACTCCAGTCTATATCCCTGTGATTTACTCTGTTTTTATTTTATAGCAGACAATGAAAGGAATGGTGCAGACTCTCTGCATGAGGTGAGTAAATTGACTTTTTGCACCACACAGAACCTCCAATGTTCAGGAGTGTTAGAGGGGGAAACTGATGTACACACATGCTCTGTGGACTCAGAATTATAGAAAGGCAATGATGTCTTCCACACTGTGATAATTTGTGCCATTATGTAATTACATTGCAGTAATAGTCATGTGGTCTTTTGAATGTCTTGTTATTGTAGCATTGTTGTAATAACATCTGAGATTTCAAAATAAAAATAAAAACATCTTTATATACACTACACAAATGTGACATTTTTTAGTTAATCAATTATATTCCTCCATTTCTAACCATATGTATAGCTATACTCTATGATTAATGTAATCATTATTTTTAGGTGCAGCAAAACAAAGGATCATCACCCTTCTCACTTTCTCCAAAGGTATGTTCCAATTCTCTTTCTATATCCTTGTTCATAGCTGAAGAGTGTATATGAAAATATTGTATAGTCGGTCATGCTTACTCACTAAAGTGTGAATTCTCATGAATTTAAAGCTATTTTTAAATATAGGAACAAAATAACAGATTTTGTCGTTCAAGTAACCTCGAGGAAGGTATTATAACTTTTTAACCCCTTAAGGACACATGACATGTGTGACATGTCATGATTCCCTTTTATTCCAGAAGTTTGGTCCTTAAGGGATTAAAAAAAGTTCTTTATTTTTGTTGTGCAAAATGTTTACAAACAGGCTTGCAAAGCCACGACAGCCCAAGCAAGCTTCATAATATTATACAAGAGAATACCTAGGCATGTCATAAAGAATGATTGCACAAATCTTTTGTAACTTGAACACAAGATATATATTCAGGCTAGTTATTAACTTGTAAAGGGTAGACATAGGTAAAGCTTGTAGTTTGTGTTCTAGACATGTAGATAAGGAGTAAAACATGAGGTAAACAATAAGTACAGTCGCTAAATATTTAACCACCAAGGATGGAGAGGTGAGCTTATGGCAGCATGACATTTTCACAGCAAATAAAACCCTTATTTGCAAGTAAAAGAAAAGAAACTGGCATGTGAGAGAAAAGAATAAGATAGGCACATTGCGTCTCAGCAGCTGCGTGGAGGGTGAGGTGAGGCAACTTGCTGCATAAATGTCTGCTTGGTTAGCCTATCCCTTTGCACAGACAGAGTCCCGAATAGCCCTCCAGGAGGTGAGGCACAACCTTAGGTATCTTATTATTCCAGCCCCAGGCCATTATCGAAGCCTCTACTTTGCGTCCACTGACCCAACCAGCAAAGGTGCAGTCAGACTCCCAAGACCGTTCCCAGCACCCACCTCCTGTAACGAGGTGCAAGTGGTAGGCCTCCCGAGAGTATGGACTGTGCTCCGGTTCACTGACCGTCTTGGCTCCTTGCCAGGTGAGTAGCTACTGCATGAGGCTCTTCCTGTTTCAGCAGGGTGATTTGGGAACTTGCGTTGCCAATTTTGGATCCTCTTCCAGAATGTGGCACACAAGTAGTCAAATGCCTCAATGATTGAACGCCTTAGCTGCTTGGGCTGTTTTGGTTCACTGCCCACCACTATCTTAAAAGCTGCCACGTGGTTTTAGCTTTCTTCTTGCTCCGATGGAATCAGATAAATAAATTACTTTGGTGGGGACCGGGATAAACCCCACCGACCCACAGAGGGGGAGTACAGGGCTGGAGATAAATAGGTATGACTGCTCAGGCCAAGTCAGGGAGATTGGCCGCTTCTTCCAACAGGACCAGGAGCTAGGCCTCAAGCTTCGTCCCCGCTGGCTGGGAAGAGTTCCAGAGTCAGCACCAGCACAAGCAAGTGCGCCCAACAGCTTCCTCTTTCAGGTTAGGATCAGCTTATGTCTCCAGGGGGCAAAAAAAGGTGGTTTACATGCTTTAAAATTCAGGATTCAGAGGAGCAGAGATATTCTGCTTCCACCCAGCTCCGTGGTCAGACCCCGCCCTCCAAGGTTTTATAACTTAAAGGTCACTTCCCTGAATTTTTTATATAATGTTTACTTATCCTCTGTGTTCAAAATATGAATTTGAGAGGTGTTAAAAATAAAATTAAATGTAGGAATTCACACCTCTTATCTGTAGCTGGGTGCCACTGTTCAATTTTCCCATCTGTCATTGTTATCTGCTCTGTCCTTTGTGCCTGCCAGTCAGCATAGAGGATACATAAAGAGACGAGGAAAATCAAACAGTGGTTCTAACATTTGCAATGTTTGCCCTGCTTTTGCCTTGTCGGAATTGGACTATGATATAATTTGCTAAATCTTTAATGGATTACTCTGGGCACCATAACAATTTAATCATAATGACATTGTTATGGCACAAGGAGGCCCTGGGCTCCGTCTCTCCTGAAAGGGTTCACATTAACAAGTGGTTTAACCCCAAAGACTTCAAGCTGGAACCCGATCGCTCAGCTCTTGAAATTGCTCTCAATGTCTAAGTCTTTAATGCCAAGGACCAGGTCACGGTGCCAAAGACCAGGTGCTGCTGATAGGCTGAGAGCATCTGTTGATGCTCTCAGCCTATCATTCAGATTCCATTCAGAAAAAGTGAGTGAAAAAATTATCTTAATTTTAGCGATGAAATTGTTATGGTGCCCAGAGTATCCCTTAAATATAAATGTAAAAGAAGAAAAAGGAGCATTACATGAAAAATAAAAGATTAATACAAGGCTTAATTTGTTTTCATTATTTCATTTAGTGGTGCAATTAAAAGAAAGTTACAGGTTCATAAAACACCGGGTTTGGTTAGAGTGATCCCGTTCTGTGGTGCCCCCCCACAATACAAAGAAAATAGAGAAAAAACTTAAGCTGACCTAATTTCCATTCCCATGGCCAAGCATTCTCCACAGTCCGATCCTCCTTGGCTGATGTCCCTCACCTCCTCCTTACTCCAAGGTCTTGGAGGAAAGACTGAGAGGAGGACCGGGGTGGCACAGAGGGGTGAAGACTGTCTGCCGGCACCAGCCTCCCAATGACGCTGCTGGATATGGAGTTACACCTCCAGCAGTGGTGGGGTTAATCTCCATATCTGCAGAGTTTCAAAGCAACCATGACCACTTCAAATCACCCTGATTCTGATTAGAACAAGACCACAGTATATAATGAACACAAGCTAATCTTTACATATATTGAGTGCAGTGTGAGAATACATTACTGTAAATTTTATTTCTGTTATACACTCATATACACCACAGTTTCTAAACTCATGACATTAAGGACACCATGGTAGGACATAAGAACAGGCTACTGTTGACCCATAGCCTCTCATCTTTGCACTCTGATGCCTCAGAATGTGGTTTTCTATAATGATCCGGGAAGGTCACGGGGAAATCCCTAAGCAGTCTCTGTGCTGTACTCACTTCCTGAGTTACGCATTTTACTTCCCCATAGTCCCCACTGCATCTTCCTTTGTGTATCCCCTTTCCCCCCCCCTATAATTCTCACTCTAGACTGGAGTTTTTTTTACAAATACATTTGTATGTTTGCATTTAAATCATGTGCTTATATTTGTGTGGATGGACAGATAGATAGCAACATTGAGGGACTGGGCATCTGTATTAACTCCCGCATGCCTGGACTCTCATGATAACCAAGGATGTACCTAACTCCAAAGAAGTTAAAATAGGACCACAAGATCTCCCTCTTACTGTTATTTACTGATTTCTTACTTTTTTGATGCCAGAGGGGTAAGAAATATTATGGATTACATAACCCACTTAAGCATAAGAGGGCATTGTGCATATTTACAGTGTACAAAGAAATAAACCAGCACAAATATAATAAAGGTTGATGCAAAATATCAGCAATTGTAAAATCCAGGTCACTACAAATATCTTAAGTCTCAAATGTCTCATGTTTTTCTTGATAATACATTTACATTTAAATATTATGACATGGATGAACATGAAATATTTTTTTAATTTTTGCCTTACATGTTTGTTTGTTTTTTCAGCTTAAAGATGATGAATGTGGGGACAGGTCCCCGTCCCTTCCTGGCACACCAGTTCCCCCAACACCTTCTGCCCCACCCACCCCACAAGCTCCCCCTGCATCGCAGCAGCCTCCTACCTCCCTGCCCCAAACACAGCTTCTCCTGGCCGGCAGCCAACTTGCAGGGGTAAGTACTCTCCACTTAAAGACACGGTTTAAATATTAAGTGACTTACTCACTGCAAAAATATTGCAGACACAACTGTATTAAAATTTGACCAATTAATGACCCTTGAAATAGATCATTGAAAGTCACCAAAGGTTTATTCACTAAACTCCAAACCATAGAGAATTGAAATCCGAATGACAGATTGAAGATAAAAAAAAAACTGCTCTGGAAGAATTCTCCTAATAGGCTTTAGTCACAGCTTGGTTCTCTTGCCATTCAGATATAAATTTGTTGCAGTACCTTTGGTACATCAGATGCCATGGCCTGCATTTATGTAGTTCTCAACAAAGGTTTAGCTATTACTGGCATACGCCAATCTGTGTTCTCTCTAACTTTAAAGTATTTAACCCTTTGCATGCTGGGAAACTGACCCTCTCTTAGGTTACATGTGTACAGTTTAATGGATATAGATACACTAAGTTTTGTGAAATCTGTAATGCTTATGAGTAAACTGAGAACATGCTTCCCATTGTGACTTAACCAAGGGGTTATCTAACCTGACTCAAGCAGTTGTGCAGGCACTGCATCATCCGGAGAAAATGAGAGAGAAAAATAAAATAAATAATGCATTTATATTGTAGATATGGAGCAGATTAACTAAGTAGTGCTCTTAAACTGGACTAAAAGGTATACCATACAATATCGCAAATAATCAAAGTTATCCTGAACCGGTTCTCGACTCACTAACGATGTGTGTCTAACTCTGATCCAGCTCATAAGAGAGCCAGTAGTAGTTAGACGCCAGTGCTGACCATACATATTATTAGACGTCTATTGTACATATCCTAGTGTTCAGTTAATATGTATACAAATGTATATACCGCTTGTTGCAGCTTTGCTTTATTTAAACTTTCTAATGTCTTTTTTCACCCTGTATTGCCTTCCCTTTCTATTCTTTCCACATTTTTCTATTATCGTTATCCCACCTAACACCCGTCTCTAACCCTTCTTTCTGTATCCTCACTTTCTCTCCATTACCTCCCCATTTGTTTCTCTCTTTCTCTCTCCCGTTTCACTCTATCTCCCACATTGTATCTTGCTCTCTCTATTGCGCTATCTCTTCTCCCCATTTCTCTACTTTCTTTCATATTTCACTATCCCAAATAATATTTCCTTTCCTCTACCATTTTTGTTTTTTTTCTTCCTGGTTTTTCCCTTCACTCCTTCTTTCCCTGGCTGCAGCTCACTGCTCTCCTCCCCGCACAGCAGCAACTGCTTCTACAGCAAGCTCAGCTTCTTGCCGCGGCTGTGCAGCAATCCAATGCCGCCGCTGCTGCCAGCGCATCCCAGGCAGGGTCTGAGGGCCAGACTAATGCTGCCAACCAACAGCAACCCCCACAACTTGCTCTTTCCCAACCGATCCACCTCACAGCACAGGTGAGCCTTGCTACTAACTGTGAACTCACAGCTTGCTAATCACAGGTAGCCTGGTACTCATGGACAGGTCACTGCAAGTCTAATGATCACTGCTTCCCTTGGCACTGAAACTATATTACCAGTGGTGTTCAACCAACCTTATGGCAGGTTTTTGGCAATAAAATAAATGGTATTTAAAACAAATGGTGTGTCAAATTTAGGCATCAGCGTCTTACAACTACACAAGAACCATTAATAGTCTCTCCTCATCTCTACTGTAACACACTATCGGCTGTCCACACAAGATCAACATGCTGTCAAATCTCTGTACAATCTGTATAAAATGTGGTGGAAATAACAGCCATGTGCTTCATACATTGTTTTGTGTTTGACAAGCAATCTCTGGTCCAACGTAATTTGTCTATGTTTTTGCATGGGACACACATGAATACAGATCTTCTTATTTCCCTTCAGCCTTAGTTACAGCGCTGGCCCCTTGGCACCCCAGATTTTTTTGAATATCATGGGAACTATGAATCACAAATTTCTGGTGTGCCATGGCTACTCATCACTACTCTGTGACTTTGTTGAAGTCTTTTATCAGTGTTTGCAGACTGACAATCCAGGAGAGTTGTTCATATCCCTCCTTCTATAAGTGGCATTTTCTTCTGCTTTTTGCCTTAGGCACCAGGAGCAAAAGTATAGTGGTTCTGGAAAATGCCAAATTTTTCATGCTGCCTGTGGACTTCCATAACACGTACACCTCTCTTTCAGAACACCCTCATTGCCTCAGCAGCAGGATGTTAAAGTTACTTGACACAGAGAGTATTTTGTTCCTTTGCTGTTATAGTGTATAATCTTTTGTTTCATTTTGCTGTAGCAAATCAATACCCCTTTTAATACCCACTCCCAATAATGTTCTATTGTCCATTATAGATTAAGAGCTTCCCCAGGGTTTCCACGGCTTCTACGTGAACTTTCTCAGCCCAGGGCTATATCACTTGCATTGTGTGTATTCCTGCCTAATCTCTCAACAAAGGGCGATATAACGAGAGCATTAAGCCCCAGGCTTGCTATGATGACCAAAATGCCCCCAGGGGGACTATTGGTTTAGTGTTTTGTAGCCATATCTCTACCCAATCATATCAAGGAGGGAGACCTGATTTCTGGAAATGTCACGTAAATGACAAACAATGAAAAGTTTCTGTATTTTCGCACTTCTCTTTAAATACTAGAGATGTTGCACATTTCTACATTGTTTTATAAAATATATTTCTTTCGAATAATATATCTAAAGCCTTTTTTTGGCAATCAATTTGTTTATTGAGATGATACCATATAACAGTGGACATATAAGTACCAGCATATGACAAAATAGTAGATCTGATGCTTTTAAGTGTATCAAAATATTAACAGTATTGTTTGGGAGATATCTCAGTTGGTTGATACACCAATTATAGACCTGTTTAGAGCTCCACACGGCTGAATCTCTTCCCAGGACGGCCAATTCAAATTTTGATCTTTCCAAGGCTGACTAAATGAGCAGTAGGGACATTCCTAAAATTAGAGAATTTGTCAGTGGCTCCTAAAACGTTTTAATAATGATTATTACAAATTGCTTTAATCCTGGTACAGAAACTTGATTTGCTTTAAAGATGATCTGATATTTAGTTCTATTTACCATTGAACATATTATTGAATTATCATTCAACATGGTTTACATGAAGCTTCAGTCTAATTAGTAGTTGAATATAGGAAAAATAACTAAAGCACTCTTACATGTCATCGTATTTTCTAAGGCTCTTCATTGTTAGGGTACTTCCTTTGCTGTTAATAAATGATTAATTTAATATTTTGTCTATTTGTATCATACTCACTAGTATTAAAGAACCCGACTGTCACTGCTAATTTGTAAAAAGGGGAATACACATACAAATTAGATCATACTGTCATAAATCAATGCTACTTACACCATCATTTTATTCCTCTCCCTGTGTGTCTGATCACTATATAATATTATTATTGCCATTTTTATTGTTTATTATCTTTTTTGTAATAGGATATTCAGCAATTATTACAGCTCCAACAGTTGGTTTTAGTCCCTGGGCACCACCTCCAGTCCCCAACTCAGTTTCTGTTACCCCAAGCAGGGCAGGGCCAACAAGGTAAGTAAAAAAACATTTTTTTCACATTTTCTCTTATAACTTATTTTTTAACACATTTTCCTACATCTACATTTACCAATGCTTTTCTTTCTTTCTTTTTTTTCCAGGTCTGATTTCTGCACCAAATCTCTTCCAGCTACCTCAACAAGGCCAAGGAAACCTACTCACAGGTCAGCCCAGGCCCGGTATCCCCACTCAGGTGAGTTAAACCAGCATATATATACTTCATCTACAGACTAGCTCGGTTGCGAGTCAGTTTTATTTAGTTGCGCCAGCTCGTTCTAGAGCTATTTGATTTTAGGAGCATTAAAAAGTGCTTCACAAACAGAGATACCAGTTAATTATTTAACTGGTCCTAGGAAGTAAGTGCAGGCAGAATAGGAACAATGGCCAAAATATCATATATTGGGATTTTTCAGTTCAGTGTAGCTCTGAGATCACACAGAGCCCTCTACAGGTACAAATATTTGTATTGAGAAGTCACACACAGCCCAAGAAATTAGAGTAGTAGCATATTTTCTATTTTATTTAACAACTTAGAGCTAAATTATATAAAAACACTGTCTACAAAATCACACAAGACTTTAACCATGGGATGTGTTATTTCCCGTAGGCTGTGACCCGACCCGGGCCCCAAGATGCCCATCTTCTGTCACACAGTGAGCCTGTATCTCACCCCGAGGAACCAAGTGACTTGGAGGAGTTGGAACAGTTTGCGCGAACCTTCAAACAACGCAGAATTAAACTGGGCTTCACTCAGGTAGGTGCAAGGGATTCAAAACAAACAAACAAACACCTTCAACTCAGTGCTCTAATCAAATAAATTACTTAGCTTCAATCAATCTGCAGCCTCCCAGAATCGTTATCCACAACAAACGATCTTTACATATGCATAGAACCACAAACAGAAATGGGATACGGCTGTACAATCTATAGAGGGAACATATAAAGGAAAAAAGATGATGAAAGTAGAAGAGCATTCATGAGGTGCCTCCCCAGATAACATAGGGAAAACGACCAATGGAACACGGGTTCCATTGGTCGTTTTACACCGGAAAGGGGAACCACTAGCCCCCTATGTTATCTGGGGAGGCACCTCATGAATGCTCTTCTACTTTCATCATCTTGTGAGTGCATCCATTTAAGCGCACTATTCACTGTATTTACTGTATTACACTATTGTGTGTTTTTTTTCCTTTATATGTTCCCTCTATAGATTGTACAGCCGTATCCCATTTCTGTTCAGGTGCAAGGGATTGCCTAATTGAGCTACTGTGGCATGGTAATTTATCACGGGAGTTGTTATTCTACAACAGATGAGGTCCTACCTCTTGTCCACCAAAAATTTAGAAGTTCTTGGATAGTTTTTTTGCAATGGAACTCCATTTAATATTGTGTTAAAATGTCTTACAGGGGGATGTAGGTCTGGCTATGGGCAAACTATACGGAAATGATTTCTCGCAGACAACCATCTCACGATTTGAAGCTCTTAATCTGAGTTTCAAAAATATGTGCAAACTGAAGCCATTGCTACAGAAGTGGTTGAGTGATGCAGGTGAGGATGCACTGGGGCATTATGGGTCAATGGTTGGTGAGCTTTTGTAAAAGTGGGCAGTGTTTCTTTAATTCACACTTTGTTTTTGTCTTCTAGTCTCAGCATGTTTCTTTGTTGCATCTTTGTTTCCTTTTACTGTTACCCTTTATATTTTATTACCATATAGTTACATAGTTACATAGCTGAAAAGAGTTCAGCCTACCTCACATTTGTTTTTTGCTGTTGATGCTGTTGATATGGTATTTTAAAACTCACATTACCTCTGAAACATTTCCCATCCCACAGAGACTATGTCTGTGGATAGCACTCTTCCCAGTCCTAACCCCTTGAGCAGCCCTGGAGGTGGATACGAAGGGCTCCCTGGTCGCAGGCGCAAGAAACGTACCAGCATTGAGACCAATGTGCGCTTTGCACTAGAGAAAAGCTTTATTGCGGTAAGAGGCTGACAGAGAGACTGGAGATGGCAAATGAGGTTTTACAGATATGCAGAGTGGTAGGACAAGTTAGAAGGTCTAGAGAAAAATAGGAGGACAGTAATTTAGGAGTTGGGTTAAAAGAGAACTGGAAAATTTCAAATGAAGACAATGTTTTAATATCGTGTACACCGTATTCATTTATGTGAGAAGGAACTTTAAGTAGAGAAGGACAGCAAAAAAATTAATTCAAGGTTCTGTAGAAAAACATGTGAAGCACTCATTACATTACTGATATCTCTTTCTTATACCCTCTTCCACCCCACCATTTATTCTTCCTCTTTTGTGAATCTTCCCTTGTGTATTCTTTCTTTTCTCTGCATACTTTTGATCATTTATGGTTTGTTCATCCACCTTTGTCCTATCACTGTTGTGCTCTCCCTCATGTTTTCAACTGTTCTCCACCAAAGAACCAGAAACCTACCTCTGAGGAGATCCTTGTAATTGCCGAACAGTTGAACATGGAGAAGGAAGTCATTCGTGTATGGTTTTGTAATCGTCGGCAAAAGGAAAAGCGTATTAACCCGTGCAGCAGTATGCCACTTACCCCCAGCCAAGGCAAGGGGCAACTGTATGGAGCACACATGGTAATAATCCGCTGCTATTTAAAATATTTTTCAACAGAGCATGTTATATGAACACTATTACCCCATTGAAACACACACATAGTAGCTCAACCCATTTTGTTAAATTCCATGTAGAGAATAATTCTGATATATGGGGCACACATGTCTTATGGTAAAGTATAGTCAATATGAGGCATATTTAGTTGTGGTCACAAAACACTTTATTTAAAGAGGCACTTTCAATTTACAGTTTTGTGTTTAATTGAATCCTTTTTTGTCTCTCTGTTTTTTGGGGTTTTTTAAATTCACCTTATAACTAATAAATATAAGTAGTGGTGGGGGATGTAAGGAAAGGATTCAAGGAGCATAAGAAAAGGAAAACTGAAAAAAAAATGACTGTGCCGCTCATTACTTCCCAATGTACATATGTACTGTGAAACCCTTACCGCAGCCTTGCTGCCCCTGATTTTTCCTAATTTTTCCTCCTGTTTCTTGAATTCCTTCTTTATCACTTCCCTTTCTCCTTGGTCTTCTCCAGGTATCCCCCCCGGTGTCTGCCCCTATCCTCACTTCCCAGGCTTCCAGTAACCTCAGCACAACAGGTAACTGTCTAGTTCTTGTACCACATTACTTGTAGCTTCATTGAGCCCAGCCCTATTGCCACACTATTTGTTGTTCTACAGTTGGGGTGTAAATCTCTGCTCTCCACCACCCATGTTATTGGGTTACCGTTTTCATAATTCTCTTCTAGACACAGGTTATACAGATTCATTAAATGGCTAGTGCAATAACAGCTAGGCAAGCCACATTTTCATCCCCTGATATTGTCAGGATTAGCCCCAGTATTTCTCCAGGTTACAACATGTCATGCCAAACCTATTGCCACAAAGCTTCCTTGGTTATGCTGGAGTAGTTAACCATTTAAAGTGTTTTGGTTTTAGACCAAAGCTCCAGGGTGTTTGAGGGTTATCTCACTTTGGCCAAGTCATGTGTCCATCCTTTTCCCACCCTATACTATACAGCATGTGGTTGGCATTAAACTCATTAGAACTGCTTTATCACAAATTATTGCTGAGGGATTGTGAAAATGGACACAGCGGCTTTGTGGTTTCATTAATATATGTATATGTAGATACGTGTGTGTTCAGAATGGTGACATATTTGCTGTATATCATAATTCCACTTTAAAGCTTTGAAACGGCACTCCTGCAATCAATACCTTAGCACAGAGAATGCATGCACACTCAATGCTCAGCTGGCAACGCTGCTGTTGGACACATGTCCTCAACCTTTCCAACCTCTCTTGTTTATCTGTTTTTTCTGTTTCAGTGACTACCTTACCTTCTGCAATGGGCTCTGCTGCCCATCCACGACCCCTGTCCAACACAGCTCCCCCATCTGCCACTCCCCCTCCAAGCAACAGCACAAGCGCCAGTCCCCAAAGCAGTACCCATTCTGGACTTAGCCTAACTGGACTTAGTCCTAACACAGGGTAAGTGATAATGTTTTAAGGGCTGGGGTAAAACATAATGTACTGTATTTCTTAGGTGTATGTTCAAGCCATTCAATGCTAGAGTTGTGAATGATCCATACTTCTACCCTATGGCAAAGTTGTAACCATCCTCATTCACGTAAGCTAGCATAAGGTTACCTTATTTCTGTTTTTCGCATTTAAAAAACAAAAAGGAGTTTATTAACTTAACTGTGAATGGAAAAGGAAATTCACATATTACACTTAGCTGGAAAAGCTTGAAACATTTGTTTATTCAGGGCTAAAAAGAGAACTTGATGCATCTATAGCAACTATTGCTATCCTGCTATAGTTTAGTGGTGCAGTAAATATCAGAATAATATGAGCATGCAGGAATTGTATTCATAGTAGTGTTTTTTTTCATCAGTAACAAGAGTATTATTTATTCACTAAACTGTGAGTTGAATAGATGACAGTGGTTGGCGAATTTAAATGATCACTGTAAGTGCCATAACCACTGCCTCACAATGTAGTAGTTATGGTGCCGTCCCACTGTTAATATCGAATAGTTTTTTGACGTTTGACCCTTTAATGGGTCACCTAGATACCTGCTTCACAGATGCAGGTAATGTAGGAGTTCCACTTAGCCCATTAATTCCATCCAAAGAGTTGATATGCTAATGTGGAATAGAAAGTTACACTTTAATGTTATCTGTGAATAATAGTCGAAGTAAGGGAATCTAGGGAACCCAGAAAACGAATACATTTAGTGGTTATGCTGATTAGAATGGTACTTTATTCAATTTCACAGTTTTGGCGTTAACTTTACAAAGCTAATGTCAGTACCTGACAATTCCTGGTTCAGTGACGGCAAACGATAACACATAGCATTGCCAAGGTTACCTTACTCTTTAGGTCATTTTTGAATTTGTATTGGAAGTCTGCAGAGTTCTTTAGCTGCAGACTTTCATTTTGCCTTCCCTTTTCTCACAAGATTGCTCACACAAGCAGTGATGAGCCTCTTCTTCCCCCATCTGTCAACATCCACAGAAGAAAGGTAATTGTGAACAGTCTTTCTGTTTATATGAAACTGGAACTGCCAGACAAGGAGTGATGGATCAAGGAGATTTAGATATATACATTGAGCCGAAGCTCTAATATATATTGTTTTGTATATATAATCCAGTTACTGTCATGATTGAACTTGTCAGCAATTGTCTTCATATGTAACAGCCCCATAATCATACGAGTGGTATAAAATATAAGATATGCCATAAACGTTGAGTTTTGTAAGAATCAATCCCAAACTGATATCAAGAAATGTAGACTTTTACCAAACATTAATCTCATAGAATTAATAGAAAAGTGAAATAATTCTGCATGTCCAAATGTCAGTGTGACTGATTTCTCTCCTTAAGAATTTAAGCAGTGGTTGCTCCAGACAGATACAATTAAAATCATCACAGTATGCAAATTGCAACAAAACAAAAATGACAACTATGAGCAGACCATCTGATAAAATCAGTAGCTCAAAACATGTAAACCAAAATTGTATAGATGCCGTAACATCATTTCTTTACCTTACACTTTTCTCAATTAACGAAATGTAGATCAGCAACACCATAAATCTTTGTATTGTTACTTTTTATTATTCTATCGTCAGAAAGATGGAATTGGTAATATTTTGAGCTTGAGGGTCATTTTCAAGACTAATGCAGTTGAAACATTGCAGGGTCCATTGTTTTGGTGTGCTGATATACATTATTTTAATTTGATGGATTTTGGGGTTTGAACCATGGAAAGTTTGCGGAGTGCATCATCTCACACTGCATATTGATTCCCTTACACTTTTCTGGTTGTTTTTGTGTGTTTGTGTGTTGTTCTGTTTTGGGGGAAAATGTATATGTATGGAAGTAGTGGGGTTTTATGAGTTAGTCCACCTTTACGTTAAGTTTCAGATATATATTGTGCCTTATTGGTGTGGACGCAAATGTCCTCAGAGCCAACATGCTTAGATGTAATTAATGCATGGTTATAGTACTTTGGCTTTTGATTAAAAAATGCTTTCACAGCTCCAGTAAACGGCTTATTACTTAGAGAGAGAAAGAGTATGTGGTTGTGCGCATGTGTTCACGCATCCACACTCTACCCAAGGGAGAGAGACATATATGTACTAGGCATAAGTTCCAAATTGAGGCATATTGTTTGCTGTATAAAAAGTGCCTCTATGAACAATATAGACATCAATGCAAAAATCAAATATATTGAGTGTCCCTTAGAGGTTTAGGTACTAAGCCTAGATATATGGTGGATTATGAAATTGATAACTTGGTCATGAATGGTAAATGGGGGTCTGTTTATTGATAAACATTATTTTATTTGTTTTCAATACAAGGATAGGCAACTTGCAGCCCTCCCTAGCTGTTGTATTATAACAACCATCTCAATTAGTCGATTGATTATGAGTGATGAGGGTTGTAGTCCAACAATAACTAGGTAATGCAGCTGTAAGATGCCCTATCCAATTTTATTGTCTTATGTTCTGAATTACATATAAATTAATGCTCCTGATTAGCACAATAGTCTATTGTTCCCTCCTGAATCCACTCTTGATCTTGCAGGAGTACAATGCTCGGGGTAGGCGCGGGGTTGAACCCAGCCCTAATGGCTGGAAACCCACTGGCCACAATACAAGGTTTGTAGGAAAGGAAAAGTCACATGATCTCACCTCAAGTCACATGATAATTCATGGAATGCTTCATCACTCTCCTGCCATTATTGTGACATGAACCTTGTTTGGTGTGCCCCATGTAAATTTCCAACCATATTCCAGCCCATCCCATATCACTATGTGCTCGTGTCAAGGTTTAACCATGTGTTATATTTTCAGGAAGGGTATTTTCTGACTTACACTTTTTATGTATATGTCTTCATTATGTTTATGATTTTTGGCATGATGCATTTATTTTTTTTAGTTCAGTGCCGTATTGAAAGCCAAAAGCAGGACAAAGTTTGATGAAGGGTTGGTAGCTGGGTTACTGAAGAATAAAGATAAAACATATTTTGAAAAGAGGCAAGATAAGGGAAGGTGTTATATAAGATCAAATTGTGAGCACTTACTTGAGTGGAGGGTGTAATTGACCTCTGGTTTTGCCAGTCTCAATAATTTTCTCAAATAGAAAAATTTCCACCGTCATGAAGACCATGCTTATTAAAACTTTGTCATTTTTGATCAGTGTCACACCAATTAAATACACTAAATAATGCAAGGATTGCTAGGCTGTTTTCTGTTTGGGTCTCTTTAGATGTAGCATATGGTAGATCCAGATGGTTATGTAAAGATGCAGAGTTCAGATTTCTGACAAAGTCATACAGTAAAGTTCGTTGATACTGACTTATTCTTTTTCTTCTTTTTGTATCTTTGTTTTTCCCTTCATTTCTTCCAATACTACTTTTTTTCTGTCTTCTTTCTTCTTCTATTATTCTTGCTTTCCTCCTCTTTTTTCCTTATCTTTACATAGCTCTGACCAGTGGTGGCTCTCTCCCTCTCTCCGGTCTTGATGCCAGCGGTAACCTCGTCTTGGCCAGTGGCTCCAGCATTTCCAACGCCCCCAACCTGGTGAGCCCACCGCTCTTCCTGAACCCAGGGGGCCTCCCTCTCATGGGTTCCAGCCTTGGACGCATCCCCTCTGCTGGTGGAACTCCCAGCCTTTCCCCTTCCTCATCCACTTCTTCTATGGAGGCTGCAGTACCAACTTTGCAGCACAGCCCAGGAGGCTCCCAGCACAGTGGAGAATGTGAGTGAAAACCCCTCTCTCCCCCCCTTCAACACCCACCAGCACCCATGCTGAGCCTCAACCCAAGACGAGGTTTCTGCATACAGCAGGGGGGGTGAGGAGAGGTGTGAGTGAATTCTAGGGGACGCTGCCTCTTTTCCCCTCCCCAGTGAAGAAGAAATATGCGTGAAGGGGGGGAAGGAACCAAAAAAAGAACCAAAAATAAGAACCCTAAACCAAATAAGAACCAAAAAAAAACAAACCTCGGAAATACTGCAGAGAAACCAAAAATACACTGCCCCCTAAATGGGGTGCACAAAGCTCCCTTCAACCAAAGGAATTCCTAAAGACTGATCCCCCATGCTTTCTTGTTAGTCATATCAAGCTATGTGCCATTTTAGTTAACTTGTTCAGGATGAGTGTGGGGGGGAATACAGAACTGGGGGCAGCAAGGTTCTCTTTCCCCTGTCTATCATCCTTTTGCTCTGCACTCCCTAGTTATAGCGGAGAAGCATTATGGATTATAGGTAAAGGGAGGAGGCTGCAGCAGAAGAGAGACCACTCACAGGGTGGGCTTCATGGGTATCAGGAGGGTATCAGGGTTGACTGAACCCGCCCTCTAAACGAATGCCTATAGCCCCCTCTTCAACTTACACCAAAAACCAAAACAACAGCTTTATCCAAAGCCTAACACATCTCTAGAACCTCAGAGTAATTCTGTGTAATCGTGTGATGTCCATACTGAAAAGTACACACACATAGATTTATCTATAGCTTTTTCTTGCTTATATTTAGCAGCTTTGAACCCCAGCCTCGTTTTGACATCTGTATAGTTTACTTTGCTACAGGGCTAGCCCTCCTACTTTATTTGACCCTTACTTACAAAGACATATATAGTATTTAAGATCCTGTTTACAGACGTGTGATTACATTTTCAGTTCTACTTGCTGAACAAAAAACAGTATTTTATTTTATTTTTTTGTGCAAAGTGAGCGGAAAATTTTTATACTCCTCCCTCCCCCTCCCCCCCTGTCCCCCCTCTTCTGCCCGGATGTTTTTTTTTTGTTTTTTTAATGTTATCATTTTATTTTTCCGTTCCAGTTGTTTTAATTTTCCTTCCCCCCTCATTGCTGCATTGCTCCATCATTAATAGTTATATACACGTTTTAACCCATGCTGCGCACATTAGTTTTTAGCATTTCTAATGTTTCTTGTGTACCTTTTTGCTACACTTATTTGTATTTCATTTTTATAATTTTGTATTTATTTATTTATAATCCTGCTGAAATTTTTTTTTTGCATTTTATTATTGGATAAATTTCAAGGATCACATATCTCCACTGATGGACATTAAAAAAAAATAAAAAAAAGCCAAACTAAACCAAAAATGAAACCAAAATAAACACAAAGGAGATACCAAAAAATAAAATAAACAACAAAAAAAACTTAATCCCTCAGTGGCACTGTGCCAAAGTACAGACTCTGAGTGCCAACTGAGAGGTGTTATATACCAAGAAATAGTATTACCAAAAATCTCATGTTCCCCCTCCTTCAGCGCCCTGACACCCTTGGACAATATAAAGAGGAGTCAAAGAGGGTAAGGGCTGAAGGGGTGTGTCTTTCTCTGTCTTATATACCTCATCTGAAGAAGCCGATATATAAAAAAGGAAACTCAAGGAGGGAATGTTGTCGAAACCAAAAAAAAAAATTTACAAGATTTCCGGTGAGGTGTGAGTAGCTCGGACTGTTCTTCACGCCCCCCATCCACAAAAGCTTTAACGGCCTCTTTGAAAACTCATTTTATTTTTCCATTTTAATTTTTATTTGAGGATTTTAAAAAAAAGTTGTTTTTTTCCTCTGTGCCAAAGTGTTTTCAAAATAGACTACGATTATTACACTTCAGAGAAAGCGCCATGAAAATGAGGGGGAACCGACAGTATACCAAAAATTTCTGCACCAGACGGAGGACATATCCAAATGAGGAATGAACGAAAGAAAGAAAAAAAAAAAAAGGAGAGAACAAACCAAAAAAGAAACACTCTCTTTTTTTTTAATTTATTATATAAAATAATTTTTTTGTTGCCATTCTTTTTTGGAAATGTGAACTTTGAACTTTCTTAAAGGGATGTGGAACTCATTTTAGCGTTAGCTTTAGATGTGATGGGAAAAAAAGCGTAATCAGGGGTGATAGGAAAAAGATTGTACTGTGAAAGGGAACAATTTATCAAATGCTGTCTGAAGTTGATTAACCTGTTAACTGCCAGTAAGGCTTGCTTTGAAAAGTTGTTTTATTTTTTTTCAACGCTTCCCTCGCAGAGGAGGGTTTGAACCCTTTTATTTCAGTGTTAAATGGAGTAAGGTTACAGTTTTACAAGGGGATCGGGGAGGGAGAAACCAGAATGTGCTTCTGTGAACTGTATTTAGGACCTTTTCAGAGTTGTCCCATGTCTACATTTTAAACGTAAGTTTGTGGGAGAATTTTTAAAAAAAAAGACATTTGTAACGATTACTGGATCAGCATTTGTGCTGGATGCCACTGTCTACTGAATAATCCTGGGTTGTCTATATATGCCCCTCCATATGTTAAACTAAAAGGTTGGATATAACCATTACTACACTGCATACTTATGTATGCATAAATCCACCCTATGTGTATGTATATATACTTTATATGAGCACACACATATACACAATTAAAAATATGTTTGTGTGTGTGTGTATATATATATATATATATATATATATATATATAGATATAAATACATGTGGCTGGAAGTATCACTAGTTTTCACCAGTGCTATAGCAAAAAATGTTAGTTAGAAGGGGAAATGTTATCAGTTAAGTTATCAGTTCAATGTTCCAGATCTAGAAATTCAGTATTTCTGACTAATCTGCCCAGTTTTCTATATTTTTATGAATTGACATATTTCATTTTCCAGGCCAATATTGTGGCACATATATTCTATTTATATATTTGTTACTGGCTAATCTCTATTTTAGCTGCATTTAGGAAATGGATACATCTAACGCCTGCACTTGTCATATTCACCTTGATGACTTCTGCTGACCTGAATGTTAAGTTTTGGAGAGAATGTTAAATTCTGCCTACTTTAGAATGTTGGGGGGGGGTTAAATGTCAATTAGGGAGTCCTTTTCCTAAAACCTTTTAACTGCAGGCCAAATTTTAGGAACACAAAACAAATTTCCAACTCATTGGGACTTATTTAAAAGCCAATGATGCCCTTTTATATCTCTTTTTCCCTTGATTAAAATCCACTCCTGCATTGATCACTGTTAGATGAAGAGATTATCAACTTGGGGAATTATTATGTAACAATATAGTGACTCAACTCTCTATCTAAAATGCTGGTCTTAGTGAATAGGGCAAACAGTCTTACAAAGTACTAAAAAGCTTATACCTCTCTGAAAGCTGATTAACAAGATGTGAAGTTATGGCTCAACCCAGATAAACCTACTAGCCCAAATGCCTGATAAATGATTTCGGTCATTAATATAAACATATATAATAGATGAACATGTTCAGATGCACAACATCCACATCCATTCACACCAATGTATCAATTCACGACTAGAGAAATGCAGAGTTTTAACACATACAGTTACTCAGTAACAAAAACTATTGTTTTTCAATGCATATTTTCATTGTATGCGCATTTTTCTAGAAGACCAAAAGAGGTGCAATTGCCAATTTTGATGGATCCTGAAACTTATGGATCATAAATCTTTTAAAACACATTTGGCCCATTGCCATTGAAAACGTATTTAGGAATAAATTTGAGTAAACTCACCTTTTCCATGCGATCGGAGCGGGCTGCACCCCCCCACACACACTGCACCCCCCACACACACTGCACCCCCTCACACACACATACACAGCACCCCTCACACACACAAAGAACCCCTCACACAAGCACACTGCACCCCCTCACACACACAGCACCTCTCACACACACCCAGCACCCCTCACACAAACATACTGCACCCCACACACACAGAACCCCTCACACAAACACACATACACAGCATCCCTCACACAAACACACTGCACCCCACACACACAGAACCCCTCATACAAACACACACACACAGTATCCCTCACACAAACACACTGCACTCCACACACTCAGAACCCCTCATACAAACACACACACAGCATCCCGCACAAACACACAGCACCCCTCTCACACACACAGCACCGCTCCCACACACACACACAGCACCGCTCTCACACACAGCACCACTCACACAAACACACTGCACCACACACACACAGAATCCCTCACACAAACACACTGCACCCCCTCAAACACACAGCATCCGTCACACGTACTCTGGACCCCTCACACAAACTCTGCACCCCTCACACAAACTACACCAATTTTTTTAGGCCTGGCTATTAGTGTAGGATATGGGAATTTGAGGCCTTATATCACCATAGTGATCACAGAGTGTGATGTTGCATCTTGGCCTTGAATCCCAGAGGGACCTGCAGCTCTGCTCTGGTAGGGTGACCATATTATCTATTTATTCAGGGAAGCCTTAGAAAAATGTATACCTCAAGGCCGCAGTCAGCCAAATGTAGTGCTGCTCTGATGTATTCCTTTTTCAATTTGTCTCTTAATAAATAGAGGATATGGTCATGCTGGTAATAGAGTGGGTGGGAAAAATCCCTGTCTGGTGTCCTGCATTGAAAATGTTGGGATATAATGGCAGATTAAAGGTCTCCCAGCATTTGCTAGGTAGAGGTGATACTTGTGAGTGGGATAGAAGTCCGTACAGCTCGGGGTATCTACTTTCTCCGATTAGAGAGATGTTTTGCAGCAGTTGGGGGCTATAGGTTGGCTAACCATGGTCTGTATACTGTTGTGAAGCGGAAGTGGTTGATTCAGTATGCCTGCAGATCTGGTCAGGTACATTGTAGTTGCAGAGCTTTCTTTCAGTGTAGTATGATTTCACTAGCTATGTGTGCAAGGTACACAGCTGGTATCCTTAAGGGATAGGAATAGACTTGGATTAAAGGAAAATAAACCGCACAACTGTTAGGTTAGTGAGGAAGACAAACAAAAGAGAAATGTCAGGATTTTTGCCACCGCCGTGAGCTGTCCAAACTGACTTGCATTGTCTATCAAATCTATATATAAATTTACATATGGCTTTATTTCTCTAGGACTTGAGGAAGATATATATAAATCTAAAATTGACAGTATACACACTATAATACTAATAATAGTATTTAAGATACATGCACACACTGACCCAGCTACTCAAATAATGATCTAATAATGTTCAAGTACTCTAATCCAATATATATTTTTTCTTGTATGACATTAAAATGGTGAAAATTGAAACATGTGCCATAAATGGTGCATTAATATGTATGAAAAGCATGCACACATGTGAATATAGCATTTCTTATTCAGAGTAAGTGTGTGTAATGTGGCAGGTTACAGCTAGAGATATTTAATTATGTGAAAATCTCCATTAAATGAGAAAGATTGGTAGTTATCATGTCAAGTTCTCAAACCACTAGGGAGCTGTGTTTGCTCGAGAACCAAGTATCCTAAATACAGTTAATTAGGCAAGATCATTGTCAAAGTTGTCTTTTTTTTCTAGATCAAATATGATTCGAGAATAAAGACTAATAGAACATTTTGCTGCAGAAACAGATTTTTGTCATTATAGTGACTAACTCAAACATTATTATTAAGGATAATTGAAAGGCTTGTTAGAAGAATTTTGACTAATAACAGACATTGCTCACCACATTGAAGAAAGCATTAGCCTCGAGTGTAAAAAAACACACAATATTTTAGGACTATAAATTCCATAATTCTATACCAGGCATAGGTTGGGGGCTGCATATTATCAGCAGTTCTGTAAGTGGACTTGATGAGCCTAGAATCAAGTTTACCTTGGTTCAAGCTCATTAGAAGTACAATCAGGTAAAAATTCCCCTTACATTATGGATAATGAGCCTCTATGTTTAAATTAATTAGTTGACTTTTTTTTTTTTTTATTATTTATCATAAGAGGCCACTTTATTTGTCCTCTTTGTGTATTATTTTGTAATGGATGTTTATAAGCATAGGTTTACGAGATACGTAGTTTATTCACAAAGAGCAGGTACACTCACAACACATAATGATTAGAACATGCGCAGTAAACTGATCCCATACGGATTCCATACTGTAGCGGCTGTCACATTACACAAATGTTAAGCTTTTTGGCTGAACTGCGGCTCAGCCCACGTTGTGCATGCAGTGTTCCGATGCTTCACACAAAATTGATCTAGACATCCTGAAAGTTGCAGCGTACTCTGAAACAGTTTCTTACACCTGCAGTAAAGTGTATAACTTGCCGGAGTTCTTAGCCACCCTTGCAGCTGATAGTAGGCTCAGGTTGCTTCATGCAATAATACACATTTGCGAAGGTGCTTAAAATGACCGTTTTAGATAGTCACCCCCACACTTAGCAAGGGAGGTGGACTAAACAGAGGTATTTTCCTATATAGATGCATTACAAGGTGATTTACATGGAGGGCAATATGCATGTCAAGGTTTTAACTAAAAAATCATGACAGTGTTCCTTTAAAATTTGTGCTTAGTATGGGCTGATATATATTATATCTGGGCATTTAACCATTCTATATGTCTTTGATCCATGCAGGAGTCAATGTAATTTAGGAAAATGGCATATTTTGATGTGGAAATACAATGGATTAATGTGGAAAAAATATATTTTCAATTTATTTTTCATGCCAGCTAAACATTGTCATTATTGCACCTTGGTGGAACACCCTAAGTACAATAACAACTACAGCTCATTGTAATGGTTACAGTGCAAAGAATGTCTGTGCACTGTTGCCCCAATTTATGTCTAACAGTTTTCAAGTGGTTTGACCAAAGACCAGGTCTGTCCTGGGATCCAAAGTGCAACCCATCGCCATAATCGCACACAGCATGTAGTCAATGACACTTTGGATATGTGACACTAGTATATTAAATTCTATACACACATTTCAGAATATCAGTGCCAAACTATAAATAGAACAACATTCTACCCTATGTACACATACTGACACAAAGCAATAACAAACTAACACATATATCAGCAACAGCCTGAATGTGACACCAACAAATACATGTGGCATATGCAATTCTTAATGCCAAAAACATACCTCCTAACGTTACGTGACCAAAGAAAAACAACATTATGTTAGTAGTATGACGTATGGCCAATACTAAGAATTTTTAGGTGATTAATTACATTTTTATAGCATTTATTAGGGTATGTCATTCAGAACTGCATATTATTTCCATAATCTATTTTTTATTTATTTATTTTTTGCTGTGGAACTCTGAAATACTCTAATACACACTGTACAGTATTGTGAATTTTATTGTCGTGGAACGCTGTGATCCATTCATACACACCAAATCATCCTATATATGAGCAGTAGATAGATTTGGGTCTCCAGGATGATAACTTGGGTGGTATGCAAACTGTAAATAGATATATACACACGTCTAGTGCAGATTGCCATGCTTGCAGAAAAAGAATCAAGTCAGTTTGTGCATTGTACATCTATCAAAGTAACTGGTAGACATTCATACATTCCAATACAAATCTATTTCTGAATAGAATCTGTCGACTTTACAAGTTCCTGCATCATAAGTGAGAATTACCAATTTCAGCAGGAAATCGATATATGAAGGCAGATGACCTGTCTTTGGGGAATTTTTATAAAGCAAAGTGATTTATCACCAAATTGTAAAGATCGATTAGATTAATAATGCCCAATTCCACTGAATAATCAATTAAACCCAGCAAATCACCATTAGATTTTTTTTACCTTCATATTAATACTCTTAGCTTGAGTGGCTGATAATCAATAATAAACTTTAATTGGTGCTAAATAATTATATAATGCAATATCACACAAATGTCACAACCATTAGAGTCTGAATTATGCATATCAGTGTGCTTTTACTGGGAAAAAAATAATAATATATTATTTTATATATATATATACACACACATACAGCATATCAGTCTTTATCTTACCCTCCAAAAACTGTACAGTGAGAGAACATACAACAGAAAGTAATTTTGTTGCAGTAATTAGGAAAGATTACCGATTTGGAAAAATTCTCCATTTAAGCTGTAATCACAATTATTACTTGGTTTTCTTTTTTTTTTTAAATGGAAAACTGGGGCAGTGTCATGTAGAAGTGTGTAGGTGTGCACTTATAAAGCCATGTTGTATTGATGGTACACACTCATTGTCAGATTCTAAGCTGAAAGCATTGTGTGTCTTGTACTCTTACCATCGCCCTCTTTTTTTTCACTTCGAACATAACCCAAATGCATTGTTGGCAGATTGTCTGTATTTTGTTCTGATAATGTTTGACTTTATTTCTTTCCCACAGTTGGCAAAAAATGATGTAAGAACAGTGAAAGTTTAATAAAAATCAAAGCAAGAAGAATAACTGTAAGGAAAAACAAAACAAAAAAAGTGCTGAATTTAGACCAAAAAATAAATCACACCCTGTACAGTGACAAAAAGCGATTGATCGCAGTGCATAATACAGGCTGTGTTTAGCATGACCCACGCCTGGCTTGGGGTGTGCAAGTCTACCAAAGACAATATATATTTGTGTGGGTGTTTATGCCCCTACTCTGCTGGAGGGGGGTTTGCAAAAAATTGCAATGTACAGCCCATAAAGCAACCAAAGTGTTAAAAGTGCGTACATTTCTTCCCTTATCCTCAGTATGAGAAATGTTTTTTCTTTTTTAAATTCTTTTTATTTCATTGCCTTTTATTTGTTTTGTGAAAATAAAAATGGTGTTTTTCATTATTATTTTCACCGGGGAATTGGAAATATAATAATTAAAAAATGAACAGCCATTATGATTCCCCCCCCCCCTTGAAATTGATATTTATTATTTAATTAAAAAAAAAAAATAAAAGAACCAAAACAGTTTTCTACATTTAGGGCCCTGGTCAGTACACCCTTGGAATCGCTACAGCGCCTGTTCCTCAGTGAATGTTCTAACCCCTAAAGAAAGCAATGTGTATTGTATATTCTGTGGTATTTGTCGTTGTTCTGTTATGAGTTAGACCTATGTGGTCTACATTTGAAAAAGCTATTAAACATATCTTAAATCATGATTGAAATGTCTGTTACTGCTACAACCTGACTGAGTCATTCTTTTCTTTTAGATACAATGGATATAATTGTTTTATCAACTGAGTTTTGGAGAAATGGTAATTGACAGGCTTAATCACTGAAGTAGAATTTGCTGGGAATTCAAAATGAATCTCAAATTTTAGGCCAAAAAACCCAAATTGGAAACATTGACCAGGTCAACTATGCTTTAATTTTGGCTTTTTATTTGAAATTGATTGTGAATTCAAATCAATTTAAACTTTAGTGAATAACCCTACAAATGATTTCAAACACACCAAAATTAGGAGGTCTGATCATTGAATAGCAACGTCATGGAGACTTGAGAGCCACTTAGCAAAATAGATGTTGAATTAGGAAAAATGTTAATATTATCTGGACTTCATGGAAGATTTATTTTCCCCAAATTGTCTTTTGTAGTCTAATTTCCAAAGCATATTTACTAATTCAAGAATTATCCTGAATTGGCTAGTAAAATACAATAGCATTTAAAGGGACACTAAAGTCAGCAAAACAACTTTAGTTTAATGAAGCCATTTTAGTGTATAGCTCGTGCCCCTGCAATCTCAATGCTCATTTCTCTGCCATTTAGGAGCTAAACCACTTTGTTTATGCAGCCCTAAGCACGTCTTCCTACATGTGACCTACACAGCCTTCATAAAAACTTCCTGTAAAGAGTCCTCTAATGTTTATACTTCCTTTATTGCAAATTCTGTTTAATTTAGAACTTCTTAACTCCTGTTCTGTTATTAGCTTGCTCCTGCAGGAGCCTTCTGTATTTCATTAAACTTCAACTTACAGAGCAGGAGATAAAAACGTTTAAATTAGGTTACATCTGATTGAAAATTAAACCATTTTGTTTTGATGCAGGCTGTGTCAGTCACAACCAGGGGAGGTGTGGCAAGAACTGAATAAACAAAAACAAAAGAGAATTGAGCCATGAAATTACAGAGACGTGATCTATACACAAAACTGCTTTATTAACCCCTTAAGGACCAAACTTCTGGAATAAAAGGGAATCATGACATGTCACACATGTCATGTGTCCTTAAGGGGTTAAAGGAACACTATAGTCACCTAAATTACTTTAGCTAAATAAAGCAGTTTTAGTGTATAGATCATTCCACTGCAATTTCACTGCTCAATTCACTGTCATTTAGGAGTTAAATCACTTTGTTTCTGTTTATGCAGCCCTAGCCACACCTCCCCTGGCTATGATTAACAGAGCCTGCATCGAAACAAAACTGGTTTCACTTTCAAACAGATGTAATTTACCTTAAATAATTATATCTCAATCTCTAAATTGAACTTTAATCACATACAGGAGGCTCTTGCATGGTCTAGCAAGCTATTAACATAGCAGGGGATAATAAAATCTTAATTAAACAGAACTTGCAATTAAGAAAGCCTAAATTGGGCTCTCTTTACAGGAAGTGTTTATGGAAGGCTGTGCAAGTCACATGCAGGGAGGTGTGACTAGGGTTCATAAACAAAGGGATTTAACTCCTAAATGGCAGAGGATTGAGCAGTGAGGCTGCAGGGGCATGTTCTATACACCAAAACTGCTTCATTAAGCTAAAGTTGTTCAGGTGACTATAGTGTTCCTTTAAGTTAAAGTTCTCTTGGTGATTATTGTGCCCCTTTAATAGCTCAAATGTAAATAAAGCAACAACTTGCTTTTAAAAAAGGACTATAATGAACTTAAAATAAAAAGTGGATACGTCTATTGTTATGAATTATGAGCAGAGGCAAGTAAATTGCAAAATGGGATGTGATATGATGTCAGCTGTAGCAGTTTCCAGTTACACCATGCTGCTGTGCAGTATATAGAATTCACATGCTGCATTATGAAAATGATTAATTAAGTATGGATCTCAGAGAAACTACCTTATTTGGGTCATTGAACCTTTGCTACGTACTACAGGGAATAATTTCTCATGTACTGTGTATCAGTGTGAAGAAGTGATCTGTGTGCTAGGAGATGCAGAGGGTTTGGTCAATCCAGCTGCAGCAAAGGATTAGGAAATGTTGTCACTCTGTGGACTGTTAATTAGTTATTTTAATGTTTCAAAGAAATTTGCATAAGTAAGTCCGGCCTACTTTGTTTTAAGATGCAGATTGTCTCGCTAACTTTATATTCGCTCTGCAACCTTTTTGTGAGGAACAGCTTTGAAACTTTCTACGGCCAAGTGTAAAACTGGAGATACTTCCCTGGAGAGGTCTTTGCAACCTACACTTTAAGTGATATTGGAGAGCTGTTCAGCGAAGCCCTGCAAAGTAAGTAAAATTATGGTTACAGTGAGGTTTAAGATGAGGGGCTGCACTACACCACCAAAAACTAGGAAATTTAGGATTTTGGCTAAAAGACAACGGTACAGATTTTACATCTGTAGATCATGATACTTGAGGTTGCAGTTGGGATTAAAATAAAGTTTAGCGTTAAGTTTAGTATTTATTTAGGGTTAGAATAAGTTTTAGGGTTTGGTATAACCCATGATTTTAACCCTTACCTTAACCCTAAATGTCCTAAATCCTGTGCTGTATCACAACTCTAAACTGTAAGACTAATCAGGCCTTTTTAATCAGTGCGCATGTAGATTCCCAAGCAATCAGGTGGGTGATCTCTATGGGTAACCAACATGAGTATGGCATCAGCAACTATTAATGGTCCTTTATTAAAATGATTTTTTACAGTATAATCAAGCAATGTTAATAGGATCCGGAACATGGCGATGTCCTGGTATAAATAATAATAAAAAAAAAACATCTTTTGAACATGTGCCTCTACCTATTTGCACATGGGCAGTGCCATGATGAAAGTGGCAACTCTGCATACTTCCGTATGTTGGACAGAGCAATGTGAGGGGTGCATGAGCAATGAGGTAACATGTCAGTGATGCTGTCCCATGTTGCTCTCTCATGGGTAGAAATGATTTGCAAAAGAGTCACACAGCCATGGTTTTTCTAGTGTACCCAGAAGTGGCACTCGAGGAAACAACTGGGGTGACGGGGCAGCAGCATCAAATCAGGGCTGTTCAATAAATTAAATCCTGCTAAACAGTTTAACATAAACACACTAAATCAGGGTTTCCCAGAAGATAGATCCCCAAATGTTGTAGAAGTATGCTTTGCATACCTTTGGAATGCTTGTCGAATGACAAAGCATCATGGAAGCTGTAGTTTTAAAACATCTGCCTTTTAAGCACCTCTGCACTAAATTATATTCATCACAACATATTCAACATATTTACAGTCAGTTTGCGGTTTTGTTGAATTATATTAACAGCTATCAAAGGGAATATTTAAATATGCTTGTGCTGCACAATGTCCTGGTGACAGAGCCACACTGTTGGATGATCAAGTGTAATATTTGCAAATCAGTCTGTAATCTTTCTGTTGCTTTGTACTAATTCAACTTACACTGAAATCGTCATACATAGGGAAATGTAAAACACTTTATCCTGTATGTTCAGTTAATATAATGTACTCTGTTACTGGAATAAAGTTCTACATGTGTCTCAAATTGCAACTGTTATCATTCTGCCCACTGCATCCACGAGCAAAATCACTTTACTGCTAAAGATAGCCATTTTGGTGATATCTAAAATTTCAAGTTCTATTGCCTAACGCAGGGCTTGACAAATTTGCTTGGAATCTAGGAGCCAGCTAGAAAAGGTATGAGCCAGAGAAAGCAACGCCAAAAATACAATTCTTAAAGAGACACTATAGTCACCAGAATCACTACAGCTTAATGCAGTTGTTCTGAAGTCTATATCCTGTCCCTGAATGCTTTTCAATGTAAACACTGACTTTTCAGACATAAGGCAGTGTTTACATTGCTGCCTGGTGACACCTCTAGCGACAGTCACTCAGACGGTCTCTACAGGTGTTCCTGGGTCAGTGCTTCACACTGTGCAGCACCTACGTTACTGTTCCCTAGAGGGATGCATTGATTTAATGCATCTCTATGAGAAGTTAAATTGGCGCAGTGGCATTTTGCCATACATGCGCAATTGTCTCCCAATGCTTTCCTATGAAGGTGGGGCCAGATGCGGCATCACCAGCACGGCGTGAGAAAAGGGTGAGTAAAAACACCTTTCCCATGTGAGTGGAGGGAACACACACTCACAGACAAACACACTCACAGACAGACACACTCACAAACAATTACCCTTTTAATTTAAATTAACCCAGTCTCCCAACCTTTGAAGAGCTGGAGTGGATAGGCTTTCCCTGGGGTCCAGTGGGGCTGCTGTCATCTCCCTACTCAGCTCGCTCTCGCGCACTGTTTAGTGAGCTGTGGGGGGGCTGGAGTGACATCATAACCCGGCTCCCGGTATCACTACAAGGCGCGCGAGGGAGCAGAGCAGGGAGATTACAGCTCCCTCGCCGCCGCACTAAGTCAGCTGCCTGCCTCCCTCCCTCAACTCTCCATGAGCCTTTCTCCCTCAGCAAGTCATGAGCCGGCCGCTCCCCTTCCTCTGCCAGCTACCTACCTGCCTCATCCCTCTGTGAGCCGTCTGCCCGCCTCTGCTCTCAGGCAGCCGGTCACCTCGGGGGCTGCACAGGCTCACACATTCTAGCGCCAGGACAAATGTCCTGGTTGCCATGGCGACCTGAAATTTGTTGAGCCCTGGCCTAACATTTCGGGGTATACGATATAAATCCATATAGATGCAACTATTTCTGGCTCCTAAAATTAAAGGGTTAAACATTACTCACAAAATGCACCTCAGTGCAGGTTATATTTTGCTTATAAGTCTGCTGAGAAGCTTTATAGTGGCTCTGTCATCGGAAATTTTCTTTGAACTTTCATTTATCTTTTTATAAACAGCTTTTATCGTGTGCTTATACTTTTAATCTGTTCAGCATTTTTTAAATTAAATCTGAATAAAAGATTTATAGCCAATCTGGACTTCCTTATGGCACAGATGGCAATTAGCGTCATTGGGCAGAAAAAAAAAAACAATTGAATGCCGGGAGTTAACTGTCTCGGGTTCTGATTGGCTGCTGACCACCCGTTCTTTGTGTAGCTATTTTTAAAGTAATGACTGGAAATAGAACTGAAAAACTGTGCTGTAATTTCTAAATGGCTTCCTCCACACAGAAAACATGTTCTCATCTCTAGTGGCAATTCTAGGTAAACTGATTGATGAAGATATAATTAGCCTGTTTAAAGTTTTGTATTAAAGGGAAACTCCAAACACCATAACCACGACAGATGGCTGCAGTATGAAATGTACTTTTTAAATTTTTGATCTTTTATTACTCTCTAGAAAGGAATCTTCAGCTCTCGGACTCTAAGCCCCAATCACTGACATTTTCTGGGGTATGTTCCGTACAGTTCACAGGCAAATCTTGCATGATACGATTTGTCCAGATATGAATTAAAAGATTTTCGATTCGGAACAATCGGTCTGAACAAATTTTTGCACAATTCTAATAAGCACGCAGAGTTTTCTACAATTGTAATCATCACAATGGGGCAGACAGGAGCAGACATTGCATGGGTTCTATGCGCAAGTTGTTATGGGTTGCTACATGGCAGGGAGACACACCAGCCTACTTGCTTAATCTTATAATCCACACCACTCTGTATTTGGGGCACAGTAACAGAGGTATTTTTGTGCAGGGTCCTTATAGTACTTAGAGTGTTCAGTATCACTTTTTATTTTAAATGAATCGTCACATGGCTTGCGCCTATTACAGGGAGATAGTAGATAGGAAATCAGTTAAAGTTTGATTTTTCGACTTGCTTTGGATCAACAGCAGAAATTGAGATATGTGAAAGATCAAACGTTATAGGCTTAAGTCTTTTCTCATTCTAAATTAATATATAACTGTGTACCATGTGTGAAATATTACTCAATAGGTTGAAATACTTTCCTATATAGGTGGCATTTTACATTTTATTTTTTAAATGACATGGTGAAGTTATGATAACACAGTAGAGCATTCTATAACAATTGGACTTGAGTTAACTCTTTAATTGGGTCATTTGCCAATTCTAATTAACAATAACTAAATTGCAACCAAATTTGCAATTCTTATATTTACTAAAGGAAAAAAGGGTTTGAACTTGATTTATTCAACACAACAGACACGTATCATTAGCTGTGCGCCCCAGTTCTTCTTTATGAGATATATTCTGTTGGCCAGGATATCCGATCATCAGGATGCAGGATTATAAATAAATATGTAAGTTTATTTTGGTAATTAGGGAAAGGGGCCCAATTACCTAAATTGTCAATACAAGGTATTTGTTATCCTCAAATATTCCATTAACCTTTCAGAATTTGAGACATCTCTTATTATAAATCAAAAAAAGCTAAATACATTTATATTCTAATACACAAAAATAAGTCCTGCGCTGAAAATCCCACTACTACTGGACGGCAGCAATGACCATAGTACACATCAGCCCCAATACATACAATGCAAAACAAATAAAAAGATTTACTTGTGCGCTATGCCTAATCCCTGTGCAAATTGAAATAACTGAAGATAATTATTATTGTATCATCATATCATTGTAGAATATAAATGTACAATAAAACCCAAAGAAAATAGTTACTTGCACACTATCACAAATCCCTATACACATTTAAATAACTGGAGGGTTTTAATATCACTGTAATGGCCATGTCGGCGGCAGGTGAGCTTACACTTAAGTGGCCACTGGAGTGATACTAAAAACCCTCCAGTTATTTAAATGTGTATAGGGATTTGTGATAGTGCGCAAGTAACTATTTTCTTTGGGTTTTAGTGTACATTTATATTCTACAATGATATGACGATACAATATTTATTTTTTATGATAACAGATCATAGTCAACTAAAGTAAGTCATATATTTGCTGTTTTCATAACTGTAAGTGCACAGCAAACACAGTTAATATCTGGCCAGTGATCACACTTCTAGTTCATTCTAATTATATGAATTGCATTCGATGTAGCTCTTCTGAGTTTCGTTTTTTTTCATTGCAAATTACATAAAGAAACATAGAATTTGATGGAACCATTCGGCCCATCTAGTCTGCCCAATTTTCTAAAAACTTTCATTATTCCCTAGCCTTATCTTATATCTAGGATAGCCTTATGCCTATCCCATGCATGCTTAAACTCCCTCACTGTGTTAACTTCTACCACTTCAGCTGGAAGGCTATTCCATGCATCCACTACGCTCTCAGTAAAGTAATACTTCCGGATATTATTTTTAATCCTTTGTCCCTCTAATTTTAGACTACGTCCTCTTGTTGTGGTAGTTTTTCTTCTTTTAAATATTGTCTCCTCCTTTACTGTGTTGATTTCCTTTATATATTTAAAGGACCACTAAAGTGCCAGGAAAACAAACTTGCTTTCCTGGCACTATAGGTTCTTTAGGTTCCCCCCACCCTCAGGGTCCCACTCCCGATGGGCTGCAGGGGTTAAACACTTACCTTTCTCCAGCGCTGGGCTCCCTCGTTGCTGGGGAACTCTCCTCCCTCTGCCGACGTCAGCGCCAAATGCTGTCCTATGGACGTCAGCGTCTTCTCAGTGAGACAGCCACTAGAGGCTGGATTAACCCTAGTGTAAACATATCAGTTTCTCTGAAACTGCTATGTTTACAGCTGTAGGGTTAACACTAGATCGACCTGGCACCCAGACCACTTCATTGAGCTGAAGTAGTTTAGGTGCCTATAGTGGTCTTTTAAATGTTTGTATCATATACCTGTCTCGTCTTTCCTCCAAGCTATACATGTTAAGTTCCTTTAACCTTTCCTTGTAAGTATTATCCTACAATCCATGAACCAGTTTAGTAGCCCTTCTCTGAACTCTCTCTAAAGTATCAATATCCTTCTGGAGATACGGTCTCCAGTACTGTGTACAATACTCCAAGTGAGGCCTCACCAGTGTTCTGTACAATGTCATGAGCACTTCCCTCTTTCTACTGCTAATACCTCTCCCTATACAACCAACATAGGCGTGCGCACGCTGTTCCTGCAGGCACTCAGTGCCCCCTGTTTCACCTCTTGCCCCTGTTATGGGGGGGGGGCAAGAGGTGATGGATCCCCCCCCTCTCTGCAGCTCAGCCGCGGCGAGAGAGCTCCCTGCTGTCTGCTCTCTGCTCCCTCTCGCCGCGCGCTGATGCCGGGAGCCGGAATATGACATCATATTCCGGCTCCCAGCTACAGCAGACAGCCTGCGCGGCAAGAGGGAGCAGAGAGCAGACAGCAGGGAGCTCTCTCGCCGCGGCTGAGCTGCAGAAAGGCGTCCGCCCCACTGGACCCCAGGGAAAAGTCCACGCCAGCACTCCAGGTAGGAGGCTGGGTGGACATTTTTTTAAATGAAAATATAATAATTTGTTCTTGTGTGTGAGTGTGTCTGTGTGTGTGTGTGAGTGTGTCTGTGTGTCAGTGAGTGTGTATGTGTGTGAGTGTGTGTCTGTGAATGTATGTGTGTGTTTGTGTGTGAGTGTGTGTCTGTGAATGTGTGTGTCTGTGAATGTATGTGTGTGTTTGTGTGTGTGTGTGTGTGTGTGTCTGTGAATGTGTGTGTCTGTGAATGTGTATGTCTGTGAATGTATGTGTGTGTTTGTGTGTGAGTGTGTGTCTGTGAATGTGTGTGTCTGTGAATGTGTGTGTCTGTGAGTGTATGTGTGTGTGTGTCTGAGAATGTATGTGTGTGTTTGTGTGTGAGTGTGTGTCTGTGAATGTGTGTGTCTGTGAGTGTATGTGTGTGTGTGTCTGAATGTGTCTGTGAGTGTGTGTGTGTGTGTACGCATATATATATATATATATATATATATACACACACACACACACACACGCAAAGCCGGTGCTATCTGAGTGCCGGCTCTGCTCTAAGCCTCCATGGGCCGGCGGGGAGACCAAAGATCTACCTCACTTGCCCACAGCAGCATGGAGGGAGGCAGGAGAGGACCCAGGGAGCTCTAGACAAAAGCTACGCCAGGTTCCTCTCGCGATATCTGAGCGTTGCTGCAGCAACGCTCAGATCTCGCGAGAGTGAACTCTAGACCTGCAGGCTAGAGTTCACTCTCCACTGGACCACCAGGGATGGCACATGGCAGCAAGGATTTACTAATCTGCCAAATCCCTCCAAACATACAGCACACACACATACAGCGCCTACACACATACAGCTCACACACACACAGTACACTAACCGCACCCTCACAAACACACACAGCACCTTTAAAAAAAACACAACACCCTCACACACAGCACACTAACAGCACCCTCACAAACACACACACACAAACAGCACCCTCACAAATACACGACACTCACACAAACAGCACCCTCACAGGACAAACACACACACACAAACACCCTCACACACAAACAGCACAGTCACAAACACACACACACACACAAACACCCTCACATCACACTAACAGCACCCTCACACACACATCACACTAACAGCACACTAACAGCACACACAGCAGTGTGTGTGTGTGTATGTATCTATATATATATATATATCAGTGGCACAATGTATCTATATATATATATATATAGATACATACACACACACACACACACACATGGCGTGTGTTTGTGCTTTAGGGTGCACACCCTAATGCAATAGGCTGTGCACGCCTATGACAACCAAGCATTCTGCTAGCATTTCCTGCTGCTCTATTACATTGTCTGCCTACCTTTAAGTCATCAGAAATAATCACCCCTAAATCCCTTTCCTCATATGTTTATGAGTTTATGACTCTATCAAATATTCTGTACTCTGCCCTTGGTTTTTTACATCCAACACATTAAATGTCAGCTGCCACAGCTCTGACCATTTTTCTAGTTTACCTAAATCATTTGCCATTTGGCTTATCCCCCCTGGAACATCAACCCATCAATCTTCGTATCATCAGCAAAAAGACAAAACTTACCATCAAGACCTTCTGCAATATCACTAATACAAATATTGAAGAGAATGGGTCCAAATACAGATCCCTGAGGTACCCCACTGGTGACAAGACCATGCTTTGAATATACCCCATTGACTACAACCCTCTGTTGCCTGTCACTCAGCCACTGCCTAACCCATTTAACGACATTGGAATCCAAACTTAAAGATTGCAGTTTATTGATGAGCCTTCTATGTGGAACAGTGTCAAAAGCCTTACTGAAATCTAGGTAGGCAATGTCTACTGCACCACCCTGATCTATTATTTTAGTTACCCAATCAAACAAATCAATAAGATTAGTTTGGCATGATCTCCTCCAAGTAAACCCATGTTGTCACTGATCCTTGAAATCCATGTGATTTTAGATGTTCAACAATCTTATCCTTTAACATGGTTTCCATTACTTTCCCCACTACTGAAATAAGGCTTACTGGCCTATAGTTGCCAGACTCCTCCCTACTACCTTTCTTATGAATGGGCACAACATTCGCTAACTTCCAATCTTCCTGGACTACTCCTGTTAACAATGATTGGTTAAATAAATCTGTTAATGGTTTTGCTAGTACACCACTAAGGTCTCTTTTAAAAAAAAAAATTAATTTAGTATTTTTGTAGTGGAAAACAGTTGAACTGACATGCTTGAGGTACCCCAACGGCATTCCTCAGGCCTATTATCACGTTTGACATCGAGGTAATAGATGAGTCATGCACAATTTTATAGTATTTTAAACAAGATTGATAGTCACAAGAGAGACAAGAAGTGAGAGCATATAGAATACAAGCTTGATCGACTTATTATGTGGCAGGAACATTTGTTACTAAACGAGTAATGAACATGCAAAGGCAACTCGTGTACCGCTGGATGCTGTATTAGAGTAGCAAGGAGTAATATAACTCTGCGGTGCCGCACAGCAAAGGTGTCCTTGAGGAGCATTCAGCATACACCAAGCGGAGGCCATGAGGGAGAGTTTTTCTCTGAGGTGAATACAGCCTTTAGTAGGCAGTGTCCTGGGGTGGCTTCCCTCCAGCACTGGACGATTACAGGGGCTAACACCACTGAGCCACAGACGCAGGGGCTCTGTGAGTCCAAGTCCTTCCCACAAGTGGGATTGCGTGAGGTCTTGCTGGCGTGCCGCTGGTTCAGACCGCCAGGCCTCCGCTTTCGTGGACAGTGCTTTGGGGGCAACCCCTTGGTGGCCCTCAGTCCAGGAGGGCATACTCTGGGAGATACATTCATTCTCACCCCTAAGCTCTTTTAATAACTTTGGGTGTATTCCATCAGGTCCCAATTACTTATTTGTCTTTGCTTTTGACAGTTGAAATAGAACCTCTTCCTCTGTAAACTCACATGTAACAAATGACTCATTTGTCCTTGTGGCGGAACCAGCCTCGCAATTGGGCATTTGAGAAGACTGATTGCCGGCCTCCTGCCCTGTGACTATGGCCCCATGTTGAAAGGATGGATTTTCCCCTGCAAAGACCCAAAAGCTGGGTCTTTCGGTACTTTCCCTATGTGAGCAGTGTTACCCAGATAGCTATGGCATGGAGCCCATTTGTATAATGAAAGACTATGGTAAAGACTGGCTCCATGGCAATTGAACTGTATGTGTGTGCTCTGAGCACCATTCAGTAATAATGTGCGCTCAGATCTGAGCTACCTGGTGATATGTTGAATGTACCTGTTTTGTGCAATGGCTGCACAGTTATATGTTTTTATGTGTTTTATTGTCTTTTGCTGCTATGTGGCTAATGTAATTTTATGTGAATGTGATGCATACTTTTCAAGTTATGAATAATGTGGAAAAATTTTATTTTTCTGCTTGTGCTAAATTACATTACCCATTGTGTAAGGTAATTGAATCACATGCAGAGGGGAGGAATTTGTGTGGGAGTGTCTGAGTGTATTTTATGTGTTTATTGGTTGTGTTCCAAAACCCTGTGGGTGGTACTAATGTGTAAGAATGTGTACATAAGCACAATAAACCCACAGCTCTGTCTGTTCACTGTTTGACCCTCAACACAGAGCTTTGTCTCGTTCTTGGGGGGATTTACTGTATGCTGTTCCAGTTTGACTGCTAGGAGTGTAAACCTATTCGTATGGTTTTTCCTATTCGGCTGTTTACAGCATTCGTATGGTTTCCTGTTCAGTGGATTGGTGTTCTGCAGCAGCTGTGCCTGTGCATCTGAAAAGGGGAATATCGCCTAAACGCTTTTAACCCCTTGTGTGCTGAAACGGTCCGTTACAGTCCTTATTCCTACCTGAGGCCCCTTTCCTTCATTTTCATCTGTAAATACTGAACAAAAATATTAATTGAGGCATTCAGCTAGACCTTTATCCTTGTCTACATACCTTCCTTGTTTTGTTTTTAATCTAACTAATTGTTTTTTAATTTCCTTTTCTCATTCATGTATCTAAAAAATGTTTTGTCCCCCTTTTTTCTTTTTACTGACTGTGCTATTTTTCTTGTGTGTGTGATTTGGAAGCTCTTATAACTTGCTTAGCCTCTTTCTGTCTAATCTTAAAGATATGTCTATCTTCCTCACTCTGTTTTTTTATATAATTACTAAATGCTAATTTTTTGTTTTTCACTATTTTGGCCACATCTGCAGAGTACCACAGTAGTTTCTTACTTTTTTTGCTTTTACTGACAAGCCTAATGCAATTGTTTGCCTTTAGTAGTGCAACTTTTAAATAATCCCGTTTCTCTTGTACTCCATTTAAACTGATCCAGTCTAATAATGACTCCTTTACACATATTCTAATTTTAGAAAAGTCTGTTTATGTAAAACTTTTGTTTTTCTGTGGTGTGACTCAGTCACTGTTTCTGTATTAAACCACACTGACTGATGATCACTGGATCCTAAACTTTCACCTACAGTAATATCTGATATGCCATCCGTGAGCTCTCTACCCTCTTAGTAACACAGCTTGATTATGCCCTGTGGCTCACATCAAACTTCTCCTTGGCTTTCTTTGATTACATCACATGTAACCATACAAATTTAAACATGGTGCCCTGACACAACACCTTTTGGATAGTTGAAATACCTCTTTGATCACAAAACATACCAAAATTGCAGAAACATCTCTCACTGTAATCCATTATTATACCATGTAGGACTGAGGAAATTGATCTGTGACATATCACTTCAGAGGAGGATTGAAGAGTCACTTTATGTACCATAACCACTGCCGCTCACTGTAGAATAGTTTACTCACGAATGGAATCTTGCGTATATATGTTTAAGGAAAATTCCCTGAACATAGATTAGTGAACTAGCAACTAGCTTATTTTCGGTCTTATTTTCAGGGAAACACGGTAGGTCAATAACTCTTTCAAATCTGCCTCCTGACTTACCATTTTTCAATAAGAGCAGCCTTCTTGAGCTCCTCTTTAATCAGTAGCATTAGTTAACGGCTAGAACTATGCACAGTTTGAATATCTGAAATACTAACAGAGAGCACTTTGAAATGCCCTGTTCCTGTGCGTGATGTTAGGAGTTATGACTGTGCACTGGCTTTTGATTGCCTGTACCACCACTGGTTATATGAACCATATTTGTGACCAAAGATGACTTAAAGATGGGTGATCCCATGGATCAAGTAAGCCAGGAAAGAGTTAATTTCTCTTCATCTGAATACACAAGGCTAACATGACAACTTTGTATCATGCTCAGTAAAAACATACATAGTTTGGTACATGACCATCTTTGTTCCTCCCTCTTCTATGAAGACACTTCCACTACACCCTCCTATTCTAAGACGACCACAGCTATTACACCCCCCCTAGACAGGGCCGGCCTTATGCCATTAGGCACCCTGTGTGAAAAGTCTTCTCGGCAGGCAGTCACAGTCACACACACACTTACCTCTTTCCAGTGGAAGCAGTTGGTTTTTGGGGAAGCAGGACTCCTT